GAGTTGGCCTACTCAGATGCCGGCTTCCAGGGCACCGTGACCAAGACCCAGGTGTGGGCCCGCGCCCTCGACATCACCTCAGAGATCCAGAAGCAAGTGCGCGACTGTCGCTCGGAACCAGTACTCTATCCCGGTCTTATTCTCAATTGGGCCGGCTATGAGGTCACCTCCGGGGGCGTGGAGCGGAATGTACCCTCGCTGTGCGGACAACGCAAGTGTCCTGTCGGCTATACCGGCGGCAATTGCCAGCAGCTGGTTGTGGACAAGGAGCCACCAGTCGTCGAGCACTGCCCTGGCGATCTGTGGGTCATAGCCAAGAACGGTTCGGCCGTCGTCACCTGGGATGAGCCACACTTCAGCGACAATATTGGCGTCACGAAGATCTACGAACGCAATGGACATCGCTCGGGCACGACCCTCCTCTGGGGCACCTACGATATCACCTACATTGCCTCCGATGCGGCTGGCAATACGGCTTCCTGCAGCTTTAAGGTTTCGCTGTTGAGTAAGTATCCACCACAAAATATCCTGCTTTTGAATATCATTTATTTAAATCTGAAATTGATTTGTTTAGCTGACTTCTGCCCTGCCTTGGCTGATCCCGTGGGTGGCTCGCAGGTCTGCAAGGACTGGGGCGCAGGCGGACAGTTCAAGGTGTGTGAGATTGCCTGCAATGCTGGTCTACGCTTCTCCGAACAAGTGCCCGAATTCTACACCTGCGGAGCCGAGGGCTTCTGGCGTCCCACGCGCGAACCCTCGATGCCTCTGGTCTATCCATCCTGCTCGCCCTCGAAGCCCGCGCAGCGTGTGTTCCGCATCAAGATGCTCTTCCCCTCGGATGTGCTGTGCAACAAGGCGGGACAGGCAGTGCTGCGGCAGAAGGTGACGAACTCTGTGAATGGATTGAACAGGGACTGGAACTTCTGCTCGTATGCCATCGAGGGAACGAGGTTTGTTTTTGCATGAAAGAAAGCTTTGATATCGAATTAATCTTTGTTTTTCGATAGAGAGTGCAAGGACATTCAGATCGATGTCAAGTGCGATCATTACAGAGGGGCGCAGAACAATCGCGTGCGTCGCCAGGCCAAGGACGGCGGTGTCTATGTGATGGAGGCGGAACTGCCGGTGGTCAAGTAAGTAGAGCCCCAAAAGAGAGACCCTCAGTGGTCCAGCATGTCGTGTTTTATATATATATTTTGTGTGTACTTCCTGTGTATATGTTATATGTTATATGTTTTATGTATTGTATTTGTTCGTTAACCCACAAAAACTTACAGCGATGAGGATGACGATCTGGCATTGACGGGTCGCCAGGGACGCCAACAAACTGGCGGTGATACATACACCCTGGAGATAGCCTTCCCGGCTGTAAAGTATGTCCATGTCCTTAGCATTCCATTCGTTTTGCGGTTCATGCACCCCGATATATCTGCCCAGCACCAATCCACCAAAAAAACCAAACCAATCGCCATGCAAAAACACTTTCTAATGCTTTTTCTAATACCATACTACATGTCTATGCGTGCTAACACCACTCGATGTGGGTTTCTCTTGGTTTATTTAAGGAATAGACGAAAAATATTACTTGCACAAAGATATTTCAATAGAAAACCATGGATATCTGAAGGTTTATCTATCTGTTGCTCAAATCAAGTAATATTTATCTCATAAACTTTAACTAGAGTCCGAGAAATCCACCATTAAGATTAATTGTATTAATATACAAATGAAAATCCCTTAAAAACCCACGTAGTAACTTGTAATTTTCCTGCTGCCTCTTTAGCGATCCTGTGGTCCATACATCGACGGGCGAACGCTCGAGTGTCAAGCAGCTGTTGGAGAAACTCATCCTCGAGGACGATCAGTTTGCCGTGCAGGAGATCCTGCCCAACACAGTGCCCGATCCGGCCTCCCTGGAGCTCGGCTCGGAGTATGCCTGTCCCGTGGGTCAGGTGGTGATGATACCCGACTGTGTGCCCTGTGCCATTGGCACCTACTACGACAGTGCCAACAAGACGTGTATTGCCTGTGCGCGCGGCACCTATCAGTCGGAGGCGGGCCAGCAGCAGTGCAGCAAGTGTCCGGTGATTGCAGGACGTCCTGGAGTCACGGCTGGACCTGGAGCCCGGTCGGCGGCCGACTGCAAGGAACGCTGTCCGGCTGGCAAGTATTTCGATGCGGAGACAGGTCTGTGCCGCTCATGCGGCCATGGATTCTATCAGTCGAACGAGGGAGCCTTTGGCTGCGATCTGTGCGGCCTGGGTCAGACCACCCGCTCCACGGAGGCGACCTCGCGCAAGGAGTGCCGCGACGAGTGCAGCTCTGGCCAGCAGCTCGGCGCCGATGGTCGCTGCGAGCCCTGCCCGCGCGGAACCTATCGCCTGCAGGGCGTACAGCCCTCGTGCGCCGCCTGTCCCCTGGGACGCACCACACCCAAGGTGGGTGCCAGTTCCGTGGAGGAGTGCACCCTGCCTGTTTGCTCGCCCGGAACCTATCTGAATGCCACCCTCAATATGTGCATTGAGTGCAGGAAGGGCTTCTATCAGTCCGAGTCGCAGCAGACCGCCTGCATCCAGTGCCCGCCCAATCACAGCACCAAGATCACCGGCGCCACCTCCAAGAGCGAATGCACCAATCCCTGCGAGCACATAGCCGAGGGCAAGCCCCACTGCGATGCGAATGCCTACTGCATCATGGTACCAGAGACCTCGGACTTCAAGTGCGAGTGCAAGCCGGGCTTCAATGGCACGGGCATGGCCTGCACGGATGTGTGCGACGGCTTCTGCGAGAACTCGGGCGCCTGTGTCAAGGACCTGAAGGGTACACCCTCTTGCCGTTGCGTCGGCTCCTTCACCGGACCCCATTGCGCCGAGCGTTCGGAGTTTGCGTACATCGCCGGCGGCATTGCCGGTGCGGTGATCTTCATTATCATCATTGTCCTGCTCATTTGGATGATATGCGTGCGCTCGACGAAGCGCCGTGATCCAAAGAAGATGCTAACACCCGCCATCGATCAAACGGGCTCCCAGGTGAACTTCTACTATGGCGCCCACACACCTTACGCGGAGTCCATAGCCCCCTCGCACCACAGCACCTATGCGCACTACTACGACGACGAGGAGGATGGCTGGGAGATGCCCAATTTCTACAACGAAACGTATATGAAGGATGGTATGCGATAGAATTGTTTTCCATCACAGTTTTCCTCGAACTAAAATTGATTTTGTGCAGGTCTGCATGGGGGCAAGATGAGCACATTGGCCAGGTCGAATGCCTCGCTTTATGGAACTAAAGAAGACTTATACGATCGACTGAAACGTCATGCCTACACGGGCAAGAAGGGTATGTACTTATTTTCTTATTTCTTACCTTTAAATATTCATTTTTGTTGTTGTTTTTTTTTGCAGAAAAGAGTGATAGTGATAGCGAAGTGCAGTAAACAATAAACAACGAAAGCATATGTAATTAAAAGCTGCTTTAATGTAAAATGTGGTCATAAAAAAATATAACAAAAAATACACACACACACACACAGACAGATCAAGGGAATGTTCCAACACTGCCCCCCAAAATACTCATTGGAGGGAGAGCCTTGCATTGAATCAACGTAATTGCTGTGAACAAAATCATCTATCGAATCCGAGTCCAAATGTCAGCCAATAACAGCAGCAATTACGTGGCTTAATGCCAGGCTTTAAGAGAGAGAGAGAGAGCTGCTCGAAACGAAGCGCAAAGAGAAATCTGAAATCTTAAATAAGTAAAACTCCAATATGTGCTCTTTAGGTATGCAAACTAAATGAAATTAAGTCGAACTTATATGCATAAATTAACATAATATAATAAAGAAATTATATTGTTTTAATCTTAAGTATTATTTACCTATACCACAACACAACTCGGATCGAAAATCATATTTGCTTGACAGACAAGCCACCAAATTGCAATACATACTTACTATATACTTATATGCTATACTATATACATTTAAATATAGATTTTTCCAACCAATATAGGATTGTGTGTCCAAAACTTGTTGAACAAATTCCGCGAGTGCTGTAAAAAGCAAATCAAATATAGTCGTTATTTTGTAATTTAATAAAAACAAAAATCAATTTAATTATTATGTATGTATGTATGACAATTAATTTTATGAAATTCTCTTGTATAAAATAAAAACAACAACAAATGAAACTATTTGAAGTCAGTGCTTTTATTTCGCACCAAAATTTCGGCAGTATAAGCCCTATGGATGCTATATCTCCCTAATTATATGATATAAATCGATCAGTAACACACAACTTTCTACCCGAATGCCTTGTTTTCTTTTTTTATTAAATATATGTATCCCAAAAAAAACAGAATCAAGCAACCCAAGCCCAACGAAACCCCAGTTGTCAAATTCGTGAACGTGTGAGAATACTGAAAAAGTATCAGTGTTATTCGGAGTGGCAACGAGTTCACAGCTCGGTAAAAAATAAATTCTAAAATTTTGTAGTTTTTTTTCGGCAATATTTTTTTGACTAGAGATTAAGAATAAAGTGATATTTTTTTAAAACTAATTTAAGCAAAAAGTGAAAAACACAATCAACAAACAAAAGACAGTGAAAAGAAAACAACAAAAATGCTCGGTTCGTAAGAAAGTTTTTAGTTCCGGTTCGAGTAATAAGTTCACTATATTTACCTATCTTCCTTAGAAGAATAAAACAACAATCAATCAACACCTCCTACTCACGTTCAGCATTAAACAATAATCAAAAAAAAACCGCGAAAAATGTTTGTTACGAAACTATTTATTAGTCCAGTTACGTGGGAATACTGAAAAAGTATCAGTGTTATTCGTGGGGCAGAGAATTCACAGCTCGGTAAAAAAAAAATTCTAAATTTTTTATTTTTTTTTCGGCAATATTTATTTGACTAGAGATTAAGAATAAAGTGCAATTTTTTTACAACTAATTTAAGCAAAAAGTGAAAAACACAATCAACAAACAAAAGACAGTGAAAAGAAAACAACAATTATGCTCGTTTCGTAAGAAAGTATTTAGATCCGGTTCGAGTAATAAGTTCACTATATCTACCTATCTTCCTTAGAAAAATAATAAATGCAACAATTAACAGCTCAACACCAATCAAATACCGCGAAAAATGTTTGTTTGTTACGAAACTATTTATAAGTCCAGTTAACAATATCTACCGATCCAACAGACTCTGGGGTCTCACTTTAGATGGCAGTAGGTTTTCCTCGGGGTCCAATGGATGCTGGATCATAGACGACTAATACAACAAATCAATCAACACCTCCCGTTCAGCATTAAACAATAATAAAAAAAAAACTGCGAAAAAGGTTTGTTTGGTACGAAACTATTTATTTGTCCTGTTAACAATATCTACCGATCCAACAGACACTATGGAGTTGTTCCCACAGCTGGCAGGAGGTCGTCCTTGGAGTCTAACGGATGTACAATAGGATACACGGTCAAACACGTGCGATAAAACACTACACTATATTTTGATACTAATAATTATATATTTTTATACCAAAAACAAATTGATTGTCAACTTATTTCATAGAGAATTGGGGGGGATTATAGATTTATAAATTATATGCCTGAAGGGCTATGATATTTCACTATTTTTTTGATTGATTCTGACGGAAAATCCAGTGCCCAGTGTCCAAATCCAAATCAAAAATCGGTGCTCTTGTCTCAAAAACTAAACCAAAAGTCCCACTTGTAAAGCTGATTTGCATGTACTTAATGCATATATACATACATATCTACATATGTACACACATATCTACATATGTACAGAGTGTTTACTAAACACAATTCCGACAATATTGAAAGTTTACGACGGACGAAGACTCGGGAACTTGAGAATTACAATTGGAATTTCATTTTGAATAAGAATTGCCAATCCAATGTCTTAAGCATTAGGAGAGAGCGTGGAAGAGGAGCAGAAAAGAATACCATTTCCAATTCTCCTCTCTCCCAGTTCCAGCTTCCATTTGCACGCGCTTACAATCAGCTCCGCGTTATTTACCCGGTTTCGGGTCGCGAAAAGCGGAAAAATTGTGTAAACAATTCAGAATATATTGTCACGTAATGAGTTTTAGTGTAGGGCGCTGAAAATATGAAAAATCCTGTCTTTAAAGTGTTAAATTTATGAAAATAAGCGTGCGTCGATTGAGAGCGTGAGAATGTAAACAATGGAATGGCAGAAAAATTGCATATCGCGATATATCGTAGCTAAATACTATGTGTAAGCATTATTATTTGATTCATTTATTAATTTTTCGTATGTAAATAAGCCCTGGGTCGCATGCGTGTCACAGGTGTCTTGCATTTTGTTTTCTTTCGGCCACGCGGTCTTTTTGTTTGTACATATGTATGTATGTGTGTGTGTGTGCGAAAAAAGCGTAAATGGCGCAGTCGCTGTCCCTAAAGGAGAGAGCGAAGAGGAAAGAGCGAGTTCTAAGCTTCCTGCGCAAAATTCGCTCTTGTACCAAGTTTCAAGTGGGGTGGGGCGTTCCAAATGTTTGTGAAAGTGTGTGATTCTCTCTCGTTAAGTGTGTGCCACGCACGTGAGCAGATTATGCAAATTATCCTCGAGCCTATACCAATATTCTAAATAACATTTTGATGACGGGATGCAACAAGAAAATGCCGGCATTGATTGTAAATATAAATAGGCTTGTTTTTTTTTATTTTATTTTTTGTTTTATCGCTTCTTGAGCGAGTCCTTTTTTTAGATTTAAGAAAGTTTTACTAGGCGTATTTCTTTAAATTTTTAAATTTTTAATTCACCTCCGGGGGCGTGGAGCGGAATGTACCCTCGCTGTGCGGACAACGCAAGTGTCCTGTGGGCTATACCGGCGGCAATTGCCAGCAGCTGGTTGTGGACAAGGAGCCACCAGTCGTCGAGCACTGCCCTGGCGATCTGTGGGTCATAGCCAAGAACGGTTCGGCCGTCGTCACCTGGGATGAGCCACACTTCAGCGACAATATTGGCGTCACGAAGATCTACGAACGCAATGGACATCGCTCGGGCACGACCCTCCTCTGGGGCACCTACGATATCACCTACATTGCCTCCGATGCGGCTGGCAATACGGCTTCCTGCAGCTTTAAGGTTTCGCTGTTGAGTAAGTATCCACCACAAAATATCCTGCTTTTGAATATCATTTATTTAAATCTGAAATTGATTTGTTTAGCTGACTTCTGCCCTGCCTTGGCTGATCCCGTGGGTGGCTCGCAGGTCTGCAAGGACTGGGGCGCAGGCGGACAGTTCAAGGTGTGTGAGATTGCCTGCAATGCTGGTCTACGCTTCTCCGAACAAGTGCCCGAATTCTACACCTGCGGAGCCGAGGGCTTCTGGCGTCCCACGCGCGAACCCTCGATGCCTCTGGTCTATCCATCCTGCTCGCCCTCGAAGCCCGCGCAGCGTGTGTTCCGCATCAAGATGCTCTTCCCCTCGGATGTGCTGTGCAACAAGGCGGGACAGGCAGTGCTGCGGCAGAAGGTGACGAACTCTGTGAATGGATTGAACAGGGACTGGAACTTCTGCTCGTATGCCATCGAGGGAACGAGGTTTGTTTTTGCATGAAAGAAAGCTTTGATATCGAATTAATCTTTGTTTTTCGATAGAGAGTGCAAGGACATTCAGATCGATGTCAAGTGCGATCATTACAGAGGGGCGCAGAACAATCGCGTGCGTCGCCAGGCCAAGGACGGCGGTGTCTATGTGATGGAGGCGGAACTGCCGGTGGTCAAGTAAGTAGAGCCCCAAAAGAGAGACCCTCAGTGGTCCAGCATGTCGTGTTTTATATATATATTTTGTGTGTACTTCCTGTGTATATGTTATATGTTTTATGTATTGTATTTGTTCGTTAACCCACAAAAACTTACAGCGATGAGGATGACGATCTGGCATTGACGGGTCGCCAGGGACGCCAACAAACTGGCGGTGATACATACACCCTGGAGATAGCCTTCCCGGCTGTAAAGTATGTCCATGTCCTTAGCATTCCATTCGTTTTGCGGTTCATGCACCCCGATATATCTGCCCAGCACCAATCCACCAAAAAAACCAAACCAATCGCCATGCAAAAACACTTTCTAATGCTTTTTCTAATACCATACTACATGTCTATGCGTGCTAACACCACTCGATGTGGGTTTCTCTTGGTTTATTTAAGGAATAGACGAAAAATATTACTTGCACAAAGATATTTCAATAGAAATCATGGATATCTGAAGGTTTATCTATCTGTTGCTCAAATCAAGTAATATTTATCTCATAAACTTTAACTAGAGTCCGAGAAATCCACCATTAAGATTAATTGTATTAATATACAAATGAAAATCCCTTAAAAACCCACGTAGTAACTTGTAATTTTCCTGCTGCCTCTTTAGCGATCCTGTGGTCCATACATCGACGGGCGAACGCTCGAGTGTCAAGCAGCTGTTGGAGAAACTCATCCTCGAGGACGATCAGTTTGCCGTGCAGGAGATCCTGCCCAACACAGTGCCCGATCCGGCCTCCCTGGAGCTCGGCTCGGAGTATGCCTGTCCCGTGGGTCAGGTGGTGATGATACCCGACTGTGTGCCCTGTGCCATTGGCACCTACTACGACAGTGCCAACAAGACGTGTATTGCCTGTGCGCGCGGCACCTATCAGTCGGAGGCGGGCCAGCAGCAGTGCAGCAAGTGTCCGGTGATTGCAGGACGTCCTGGAGTCACGGCTGGACCTGGAGCCCGGTCGGCGGCCGACTGCAAGGAACGCTGTCCGGCTGGCAAGTATTTCGATGCGGAGACAGGTCTGTGCCGCTCATGCGGCCATGGATTCTATCAGTCGAACGAGGGAGCCTTTGGCTGCGATCTGTGCGGCCTGGGTCAGACCACCCGCTCCACGGAGGCGACCTCGCGCAAGGAGTGCCGCGACGAGTGCAGCTCTGGCCAGCAGCTCGGCGCCGATGGTCGCTGCGAGCCCTGCCCGCGCGGAACCTATCGCCTGCAGGGCGTACAGCCCTCGTGCGCCGCCTGTCCCCTGGGACGCACCACACCCAAGGTGGGTGCCAGTTCCGTGGAGGAGTGCACCCTGCCTGTTTGCTCGCCCGGAACCTATCTGAATGCCACCCTCAATATGTGCATTGAGTGCAGGAAGGGCTTCTATCAGTCCGAGTCGCAGCAGACCGCCTGCATCCAGTGCCCGCCCAATCACAGCACCAAGATCACCGGCGCCACCTCCAAGAGCGAATGCACCAATCCCTGCGAGCACATAGCCGAGGGCAAGCCCCACTGCGATGCGAATGCCTACTGCATCATGGTACCAGAGACCTCGGACTTCAAGTGCGAGTGCAAGCCGGGCTTCAATGGCACGGGCATGGCCTGCACGGATGTGTGCGACGGCTTCTGCGAGAACTCGGGCGCCTGTGTCAAGGACCTGAAGGGTACACCCTCTTGCCGTTGCGTCGGCTCCTTCACCGGACCCCATTGCGCCGAGCGTTCGGAGTTTGCGTACATCGCCGGCGGCATTGCCGGTGCGGTGATCTTCATTATCATCATTGTCCTGCTCATTTGGATGATATGCGTGCGCTCGACGAAGCGCCGTGATCCAAAGAAGATGCTAACACCCGCCATCGATCAAACGGGCTCCCAGGTGAACTTCTACTATGGCGCCCACACACCTTACGCGGAGTCCATAGCCCCCTCGCACCACAGCACCTATGCGCACTACTACGACGACGAGGAGGATGGCTGGGAGATGCCCAATTTCTACAACGAAACGTATATGAAGGATGGTATGCGATAGAATTGTTTTCCATCACAGTTTTCCTCGAACTAAAATTGATTTTGTGCAGGTCTGCATGGGGGCAAGATGAGCACATTGGCCAGGTCGAATGCCTCGCTTTATGGAACTAAAGAAGACTTATACGATCGACTGAAACGTCATGCCTACACGGGCAAGAAGGGTATGTACTTATTTCCTTATTTCTTACCTTTAAATATTCATTTTTTTTTGTTTTTTTTTGCAGAAAAGAGTGATAGTGATAGCGAAGTTCAGTAAACAATAAACAACGAAAGCATATGTAATTAAAAGCTGCTTTAATGTAAAATGTGGTCATAAAAAAATATAACAAAAAATACACACACACACACACAGACAGATCAAGGGAATGTTCCAACACTGCCCCCCAAAATACTCATTGGAGGGAGAGCCTTGCATTGAATCAACGTAATTGCTGTGAACAAAATCATCTATCGAATCCGAGTCCAAATGTCAGCCAATAACAGCAGCAATTACGTGGCTTAATGCCAGGCTCGAAGAGAGAGAGAGCTGCTCGAAACGAAACGCAAAGAGAAATCTGAAATCTTAAATAAGTAAAACTCCAATATGTGCTCTTTAGGTATGCAAACTAAATGAAATTAAGTCGAACTTATTAACATAATATAATAAAGAAATTATATTGTTTTAATCTTAAGTATTATTTACCTATACCACAACACAACTCGGATCGAAAATCATCTTTGCTTGACAGACAAGCCACCAAATTGCAATACATACTTACTATATACTTATATGCTATACTATATACATTTAAATATAGATTTTTCCAACCAATATAGGATTGTGTGTCCAAAACTTGTTGAACAAATTCCGCGAGTGCTGTAAAAAGCAAATCAAATATAGTCGTTATTTTGTAATTTAATAAAAACAAAAATCAATTTAATTATTATGTATGTATGTATGACAATTAATTTTATGAAATTCTCTTGTATAAAATAAAAACAACAACAAATGAAACTATTTGAAGTCAGTGCTTTTATTTCGCACCAAAATTTCGGCAGTATAAGCCCTATGGATGCTATATCTCCCTAATTATATGATATAAATCGATCAGTAACACACAACTTTCTACCCGAATGCCTTGTTTTCTTTTTTTATTAAATATATGTATCCCAAAAAAAACAGAATCAAGCAACCCAAGCCCAACGAAACCCCAGTTGTCAAATTCGTGAACGTGTGAGAATACTGAAAAAGTATCAGTGTTATTCGGAGTGGCAACGAGTTCACAGCTCGGTAAAAAATAAATTCTAAAATTTTGTAGTTTTTTTTCGGCAATATTTTTTTGACTAGAGATTAAGAATAAAGTGATATTTTTTTAAAACTAATTTAAGCAAAAAGTGAAAAACACAATCAACAAACAAAAGACAGTGAAAAGAAAACAACAAAAATGCTCGGTTCGTAAGAAAGTTTTTAGTTCCGGTTCGAGTAATAAGTTCACTATATTTACCTATCTTCCTTAGAAGAATAAAACAACAATCAATCAACACCTCCTACTCACGTTCAGCATTAAACAATAATCAAAAAAAAACCGCGAAAAATGTTTGTTACGAAACTATTTATTAGTCCAGTTACGTGGGAATACTGAAAAAGTATCAGTGTTATTCGTGGGGCAGAGAATTCACAGCTCGGTAAAAAAAAAATTCTAAATTTTTTATTTTTTTTTCGGCAATATTTATTTGACTAGAGATTAAGAATAAAGTACAATTTTTTTACAACTAATTTAAGCAAAAAGTGAAAAACACAATCAACAAACAAAAGACAGTGAAAAGAAAACAACAATTATGCTCGTTTCGTAAGAAAGTATTTAGATCCGGTTCGAGTAATAAGTTCACTATATCTACCTATCTTCCTTAGAAAAATAATAAATGCAACAATTAACAGCTCAACACCAATCAAATACCGCGAAAAATGTTTGTTTGTTACGAAACTATTTATAAGTCCAGTTAACAATATCTACCGATCCAACAGACTCTGGGGTCTCACTTTAGATGGCAGTAGGTTTTCCTCGGGGTCCAATGGATGCTGGATCATAGACGACTAATACAACAAATCAATCAACACCTCCCGTTCAGCATTAAACAATAATCAAAAAAAAACTGCGAAAAAGGTTTGTTTGGTACGAAACTATTTATTTGTCCTGTTAACAATATCTACCGATCCAACAGACACTATGGAGTTGTTCCCACAGCTGGCAGGAGGTCGTCCTTGGAGTCTAACGGATGTACAATAGGATACACGGTCAAACACGTGCGATAAAACACTACACTATATTTTGATACTAATAATTATATATTTTTATACCAAAAACAAATTGATTGTCAACTTATTTCATAGAGAATTGGGGGGGATTATAGATTTATAAATTATATGCCTGAAGGGCTATGATATTTCACTATTTTTTTGATTGATTCTGACGGAAAATCCAGTGCCCAGTGTCCAAATCCAAATCAAAAATCGGTGCTCTTGTCTCAAAAACTAAACCAAAAGTCCCACTTGTAAAGCTGATTTGCATGTACTTAATGCATATATACATACATATCTACATATGTACACACATATCTACATATGTACAGAGTGTTTACTAAACACAATTCCGACAATATTGAAAGTTTACGACGGACGAAGACTCGGGAACTTGAGAATTACAATTGGAATTTCATTTTGAATAAGAATTGCCAATCCAATGTCTTAAGCATTAGGAGAGAGCGTGGAAGAGGAGCAGAAAAGAATACCATTTCCAATTCTCCTCTCTCCCAGTTCCAGCTTCCATTTGCACGCGCTTACAATCAGCTCCGCGTTATTTACCCGGTTTCGGGTCGCGAAAAGCGGAAAAATTGTGTAAACAATTCAGAATATATTGTCACGTAATGAGTTTTAGTGTAGGGCGCTGAAAATATGAAAAATCCTGTCTTTAAAGTGTTAAATTTATGAAAATAAGCGTGCGTCGATTGAGAGCGTGAGAATGTAAACAATGGAATGGCAGAAAAATTGCATATCGCGATATATCGTAGCTAAATACTATGTGTAAGCATTATTATTTGATTTATATATTTATATGTAAATAAGCTCTGGGTCGCATGCGTGTCATAGGTGTCTTGCATTTTGCTTTCTTTCGGCCACGCGGTCTTTTTGTTTGTACATATGTATGTATGTGTGTGTGTGCGAAAAAGCGTAAATGGCGCAGTCGCTGTCCCTAAAGGAGAGAGCGAGTTCTAAGCTTCCCGCGCAAAATTCGCTCTTGTACCAAGTTTCAAATGTTTGTGAAAGTGTGTGATTGTCTCTCGTTAAGTGTGTGCCACGAACGTGAGCAAATTATGCAAATTATCCTCGAGCCTATACCAATATTCTAAATAACATTTTGATGACGGGATGCAACAAGAAAATGCCGGCATTGATTGTAAATATAAATAGGCTTGTCTTTTTCTTTTATTTTTTGTTTTATCGCTTCTTGAGCGGTTTTACTTATCAGCAGTTTCTGACTTTTCGTCCTTTTTTTAGATTTAAGAAAGTTTTCTAAGCGTATTTCTTTGAATTTTTAACGCATACATATGCATTTCAGCACACGATAGCTTAAGCTATCGGAATCGTTTACTATCAGTGTTGATCAATACCTGATTATTTTGGCGCCATCTAGCGGAATACAAGGTCTCAATGCAACACTGCTATAGTTTGGCGCGATGATTTTAAATTACAAATTGATACTTGCAATGGGTTTTATTTGAATGAATATTTATTTTGAAATATAATTTAATTTAGCAACTCAACAACAATGCGTTGTGCGATTTTGTAACGCTTGATCTAGGAATATTGTATTTGCACTTTTTGGATTTTTGTCTTTTTTTCATTTTCAATTATTGTGCGCCTAAAACTTGCGGAAGTAGATCATCAACAAAAATGCCGTGCCGACCAGCGCAAGTGGTATACAGTCCATCGGAATCGTGTAAGCCCGCAGCTGATTCAGGAGCTGGCGAAAGCGATTCAACGTCTTGCTGAATAGCTGGTTCGTCTCCTCATCCCCGACATTTTCCACCTGTTCAGCCGGTGCTTCCTCTATCTCCAAGGCGCTGCGGTGGGTATTATCCTCCTGCTCAACCGGAACTACTTCGTCTGGGTTCACATCGCTGGGCATCAGATGGCGCAGTATACCGTGCGCCATATATCCTTCCAAAGCTCTAAGCCCAGCCATCCCCAACAAGGGGCTGTGGCTACGGCTCCCAGTTTCCATCTCGTGGAACGTAGTAGATAGTAGATCCTCATCCTTGTCTTGCTGTTCTTCCTGGATGTCTGGGATCTCTTTTTCTTGATGGATAGTGTTGGGTAGTGTCTCGTCGGGTTGCTCGTTTTGCAGCTTGATGATCTCTTCCACTAGCTTCTTGATTTGCTCGCCATTTTTCTCATCATCCAACGTCTGCATGAACTCTTCAAGCAGCCCTGTTCTAGACGTGGAAGTACTAGGTAGAATTTCGTCAATTTTCTTCTCTTGTAGCTCTGCCCGAGGAGATCCTTCCACTGCATTCGCATTGAACTGCAGTTGGTCGTGGTGCTGATTCTGTTCCAGCTCTTTGGTCCCTTCCACCAACGTCGCCTGGGAATCCTCAAGTGGCGCTTCATGCATCTCCTCTTCTGCTGTGGAAAGAACATTTGTAGGAATCACAGCAGACTGCCCCTCCTCCGCCAGAGGTTCCTGTTTGGCTTCCGCGGTCTCCGACGCGAGTGCAAGCTCTTCTGCTGTATTGGAAGGAGAAGATGGTATGGCTCATCAAACTGCTGGTGTTTCAGCTCATGTTGCTCACCTTCTGCTGCTACCTGCAACGTGACGGTTAGATCCTGCTCCTCTTGTGGCTCCTCTTGAATCTCCTCTATTGTTCCGGATATCGATGGCACCACCTCGACCGGTATATCTTCTGGCAGCTCCTGTGGCATTGTGTCCTCTACTGACTTGTCCTGCTCTTTTTGTGGTGCCTCTATAATATTTTCCACTGTATTGTAGGTAGGTAGGTATTGTAGAACCTCCTCATGTTGCTTCTGTTCCACTGACTGTACAGATACTGCTAGAGCCTGGCCATGTGGCTCTTCTAGCACATCGACTACTATCTCTTCCGGAAGCTCCTTTGTGTTTATATCTTCAATTGGCTCTTCGGTTGATTCCAGCTCCTGTGGCTCCTGTAGCTTCTCTTTGAGGGGCACCGACATCGAAGGTAGCACTTTGTCTTCTATATCTTCCAATGGCTTAGACGTGGTCTGTAGACCATCTGCATTTTGATGAGATTGTTGTTCCATGGTCTGTACTTTCATTGTCAACGTAAGAGGAGTAGAACGTAGGATTCTTTCGATTCTTTCAAAATTTTCTCTTAAAAATCGTTCATCGTCAGTTTCTGATACTGGATTCGTTTCAGTTTTAAGCTGGTCTTCCACTGCTTCAATGGCCAGTTCTTTGACTGGCTCTGCTATCTCTTCTTTCAGTTCTTCAACTGGCTGTTCGGTGGATTCAAGCTCCTGTGGTTCCTGTAGCTTCTCTTTGACTGGAATTGACATCGATGATGGCACTTTGTCCTCTTTATTGTCCACCAATGGCTTGGACGTGGGCTGCAGACCATCTTCATTTCGATCAGATTGCTGATCCGTGGTCTTTTCTTTCATTGTCTTCTTGGGAGAAGTAGGCGGACGTAGGACACTTGCGATTTTTTCAATATTCTCCCTCACATATCGTTGTTCTTCAGTTTCTGAGACTGGACTTGTTTCGGTTTTGAGCTCTTTCGGCTCCTGCTTTTCCGATGTTTCTTCGACTGGCACTGATATTGCTGGATGTACATCGACCGCTATCTTTTCTTCCAGTTCTTCAGCTGGCCCTTCGGTAGATTCTAGTTCCTGTGGCTCTTGTAGCTCCTCTATATTGCCTTCCAATGGCTTAGACGTGGTCTGTAGACCATCTTCATTTTGAGAAGATTGCTGTTTTGTGGTCTGTTCTTCCATTGTCTTCTTGGGAGAAGTAGGCGGACGTAGGACACTTGCGATTTTTTCAATATTCTCCCTCACATATCGTTGTTCTTCAGTTTCTGAGACTGGACTTGTTTCGGTTTTGAGCTCTTTCGGCTCCTGCTTTTCCGATGTTTCTTCGACTGCCACTGATATTGATGGATGCACATCGACTGCTATCTTTTCTTGCAGTTCTGCAACTGAGTTTTCGGTAGATTCTGGTTCCTGTAGCTCCTCTATATCTTCATTTTGATGAGATTCCTGTTTTGTGGTCTGTTCTTCCATTGTCTTCTTGGGAGACGTAGGAATTAAGATACTTGATATTTTTTCAAAATTCTCTCTCACATAGCGTTGATTCTCAGTTTCGGAGACTGGATTCGTATCGGCTTGGAGCTTTTTTGGTTTCTGCTCTTCCGATGATCCAATGGCCAGTTCTTGGAGCTGTCCGTACACTTTTACCTTCATAGCTGCCACCTGTTGATTGTGCGAGTTCTGGGGTTCCTCTTGGAGTTCTTTTAGATTTTCCTGAACCATTTGCCCAACGGGTGCCACGAGCAATTCTTTTAGCGGCGTCAATGACTCTGGCAGCAGTTGGTGCACCTTTTCTATTACAGCGGTCCCCACCTCCTTCTCGAGTTCCGTGAAAGACGACGCGGCATTATCACTGGTATTGATGGTGCTATCCCCATCACTGTCGAAGATGTTTAGATCCGCCTCCATCTCGGCCACAGCATTCTGGAGAGCTCTCAGGGACTCTTGCTCCGCTTGGCCGATCCCGGCCAGGCCACTCGACGAGCCAACCAACGAGGGCACACTGTCCTCCATTGAGTTGTCCATTCCAATGCCGGAATCGTCGGTTGGTGGGCCGGGACTGGGGGCAATGCTTTCCTTGCTACAGTTCCCGGCCGGAGCCTCCTTATTCAAGGATGGCTTCTTATACTGGCGTGGCTTCGAATAGCTAAAGCTATAGCTGGCTTTGGGCACAGGAATACGAGTGGACTTGCGTATAGATGATGAAGTACCCTTGCCCGCATCTTTAACGGCACCCAACGCTTTGGCAGCTACTTCCTCCTTGACCTCCACGGATGAAGTCGCGTTCACTGCGACATTAGCCATTGTCGTTAACTATTTTTGATTTAATTAATATTAAATATTCATTTTAGGTTTTTTTCACTGACTTACACGGAACGAGACTACTTTCTTATGGCCGCCTGGGGTCGATTGAAGGCAATGAATTTTACTAGCCCAAATAGATCGAATGGAAATATTTTTTACACCGCAGTTGCTCTGTGTTTTTTATGCTTATTTTGTTTTAGGAATTATTTTGTGTCGAAAATTTTCAGTACTGCTGTGTGGGCTTTGAATGTTAAATCCCACTGCCGACTGGGTTCAAACGATGTTAGTAAATGACAATTATTCTCATGGCCTACCCTGCCGAAAGAATACTTTGCAAAATTGCTTCATGGTTGGTTTTTTTTTATATAAATTTAATTTTTGTAGCCACTAGTTCAGTCACATATTATACAATTAGGGTGTTTTTAAGGTTTTTGCCTTTTCAGTGTTGCGAAACGTATATTCTATATTGCCTGGCCCTGCGTTCAATGCTGCAAAACGATAATGGAGTCAAATTTAATGAAATTTTTCTTTTTGGCTGACATTTGATCTATCTTTTATGAAAAAGTGTAAAAAAAATGCAATAAAATCGGTTTTTATTTATTAAACTCCGATTCCATTAGGTTTTACATAGATTTACGTAGTTTATTTTGTTAAAATTGATGGCGGAAGTCTGTAAATTCTGCAACTCAATTTTAAGCTTTAGATGATCAGCCAACCAACGAGAACACACTGTCATCAGCTGACTTATCCAAGCCAATGCCGGAATCATCGGCGAGTGGGCCGGGACTGAGGCCGATACTGTCCTTGCTAGCATCTCCTGCCGAGACCTCCTTCTTCAAGAGTGTCCTCTTATACTTGCGTGGCTTCACATAGCTGTAGCTATAGCTGGCTTTGGGCACAGGAATACGGCTGGCCTTGCGTACGGAAGCGGCGTTGGGCTTAGATATCACTGCATTCATGGTATTGGCGTCTACTTCCTCGTTGGCCTGCTCGGCTGGAGGAGTCGCTCTCAGTTTACTACTGATTATTCCCATCGTGGTTATCTATAAATTTGGATTTTAAGTTTTAGCACATTTGATTTTGGGACCTACTTACGCGAAACGACCGGACGGGTAAGAGAGTGTATTTTGCTGACCCAACTAAATCGAATTGAATTCTTTTTGACACCGTAGTTTCCCTGTGATTTTTCTCGTTTTTTTTTTGTTTTAGGAACTAATTTTTGTGAAAAATTACCCGAGCTGTTGTGTGGCTGAACCCTGAATGTTGTATGCCACTTCCGAGAAAAATTCTTGCCACTTCAAAGAATAATTCTCATGGCCTACTTGGCAGGAGAATATTTGCCAATTTGTTCAGGGCTGCAGTATAAAATCCGTTTTTTAAAATAAAATTTGATTTTATTACAAATTATTTAATTAATAGTTTTTATAGCCGTAGTATTTAAATATTTAACTTAATCTTAGCTTTTAATTCCTTTAAATTAAATTAAATTGTGGCTTTTTAATGTTTTGGCCATACTAGTATGCGCAACGCTATTTCCTTGTTTTCTGACACTGATTTTAGTGTTCTAAAATGATATGAGAGTCGTTAGATCTGTTTTCTGGAATTATTGTAAAAAATGCAGTACAAAAACGAGCATCTAGTTATTAACTTTCGACTCTGTCGAACACTCTTTTATTAAGCATAGATTGCATTAGGTTTTACATAGATTTTACGTAGTTAATTTGTAATTTGGTTAAAATTCATGGCAGATAAGCTTTGTTTATGGCTGGTGAAAGGCCCATTAGTTCTGCAACTCCACTTTCAGCTTCAGATGGTCGGACAGATCCTTGTAGATCAAAGGGTCAACGTGGTCTGTTGTTGATGGAAGGGAGAAACGAGAAACGAAACACAAATCAAAGTCAAATGATGCCATGACAGAACATTTTGAAGGCCTACTACTCACTGTTGCATTTGTACTTCAGATTCGACCATATAATCATCTCCTGGGAGAAACAGAACACGCCCAGACGTCCGCCCTTGAGCGTGGAATCGTAGACGTTGCCCGAGTCGATGACCAAACTCTGGCCCTCGTACATTCTGTGGGAAGAAAAGATGAATTAGCAATCGAAAGGCAATGCTGCAGGCCTGGAGGCAATCACTCACTGCAATCGTATCAGACCAATCGCTGGACGATGGACAAGGGACCAGCGATAGGAGGTCTTCTCCTTCCAGGCCACATTCCTGGGATCCTTCCACAGCAGACGCGCCTGCCCTGGAGTGTCACTGTCGCGCCACAAACTATTTCTCATCATGGAACCAGGGCCCGTGTGGCTATCAATGAGCTTGATCTGAATGCCCGGCTCCGCAGAAGCAATGAATGGCTTCGACTCCCAGTATGTCTGTGAGCCCTTCTTCCACTGGACCACATAGAACTTGTGATTGCTCTGGTAGCTGAAGATGAAGCCCGCATAGTCGTCGTCCGTGTCATCGTTCACATAGAAAGTGCCCTCAAAGTCGACGCCGCCGAAGGCATCGTCGCCCACGACAAGACCGGGATCAGAGTTGAGGGTCTGGACAATCTCTGTGCCATTGGCATGGACCACCCAATTGGGATCCAGCTGGGACTCGCCCTCGGGATCCAGGCGCACAGCACGTATGGATCGAAAGTCCGTGTGATGGATCATCGAATTGTTGGGACAATTGTCGATGATGTTTGGTATACCATCCACGTCCTCGTCCTCCTCGCAGATGTCGCCCTTGCCGTTCCGATTGAAGTCCAGCTGCTTGGGATTCTTGGCCAGGGGACAGTTGTCCCTGTAGTTGGGAATGCCGTCGCCATCGATGTCATCGTCGCAGGCATCGCCCTTGCCATCGCCATCCGTGTCCAGCTGGTCGGAGTTGCTCACCATCGGGCAGTTGTCCTCCGAGTCCTGGATGCCATCGTCGTCGCCATCGATGCCACTGTCGCAGGCATCGCCCACCAGATCCATGTCGCGATCCTCCTGCATGGGATTGGGTATAGTGGGGCAATTGTCGCAGACATCGCCCACCCCGTCGTTGTCCACATCCGACTGATTGGGATTCCGCAGCAGCGGACAGTTGTCCACCTCGTTCGGTATGGAATCGTTGTCTATGTCCTCGTCGCAGGCATTGCCCACACCATCCCCATCGGCGTCCAGTTGCCGGGGATTGAACTTGTGTCCACAATTGTCGCACACATCGCCCACCCCATCCCCGTCCGCGTCCAGCTGCTCGGTGTTGTAGGCCAGCGGACAATTGTCCTTGTTGTTCTGCACCTGATCCCCGTCGGCATCATCGTCGCAGCCGTCGCCATGGCCATCCAGATCGGCATCCTCCTGTCCGGAATTGGGCAGATCCGGGCAATTGTCGCGCTGGCAGTGGAGCTCGGGACAGGCCAGCGATTGGTCGGGCCAGCCATCCAGATCCCGATCCTGGCCACAGACCAGGCCATTGCCCGCCCAGCCAACGGTGCAGCGGCACTGATAGTGCACGCTGTCGGAGTACACGCAGACGGCGTTCCTGTCACAGATGCGTCCATCCGGACAGACAGACACCGAGGACCTGTCCAGACAGCTGTAGGTGCCATTGGTCACAAAACCATCATTGCATTGGCATCTGTACGAGCCCTGGAGAAGGAGGATAATGTGGATGACAAAATACTCCCAAAAACCTGTCCATCACTTACAATCTCATTGATGCAGGTGGCATGAAGCGGACAACTAAAGTAGCCCGACTGGCACTCGTCGGTGTCCAGGCAGGTCTGCTTCCTGTAGTCCACCGATAGATGGTCCGCGAAATAGCCATGAGCATGGATGCCATCAAAGCCGGACGGACAGGGCGCACACTTGAAGCCCGGATTGAGATTGGTGCAGACAGTCAGTTCATCGCAGGGCTGATAGATGGCACACTCGTCCACATCTCTGCAGCTGGTGCCGTTTATCTGGTGACCCTTCGGACAGGAGATGCATTGGAAGTAGGGCGGAAAGCCCAGACGCAGGCACTGGGCACCTGAGTCGATCAAGAGAGAGAGAGGGGGAGAGAAATGAGATGAGATGAGAGCTGAGATAGTTTAAAGATTGAAGATGTGATGGAAAGTATTTGTTATCTGGATGAAGAGTGAGTTTTAAACTAAGGTTAGGTCATCAGGAATCTATTAAAAAACACGATTTTTTCTTTGCCTTTGCCCATACATGTATGATAGTCCTCTAAAAATCGAACTCCATTTACACTTGCAACTCTCACTTACCCTCTGCGAAAAGTCCACATAGCATGACCAGAAAATGATAGTGTATAAACATGATGCGATTCATTGAGATGTGGGAATGTGGTGGAAGATGATGTTTCAAAGATACATATGTACATTATATAGCCAATGATTGAGTTTATTTATTAAATACCAAAACATTACAGCATACATTTTTTGTTTGTTCATTAGATTCTATTCGTATTTTATTACAGTAGTAGGGCGGGGCCGGTAGAAGGGGCTAAACAGATCTCGTTACACGTTTATAGACTCCACTTTCTGGGCATTCTATCAAGAGGGGTTGGATGGGGTGGAGGGGACAGGGAGCGTTACATGGTATATTTTTGCATCATTGTTTTTTTGTTTTTTTTTGTTTATTTTGAAGATTTAGGGGCTTGCTAATACTTGAAAATTCCTCCGTTTTGCCAATCAATAGAGCTTACAACTTATGACTATTTTATGGTAGGTAGTAATTCATTATGTGCACACTTTGTTCTGTTTTTGCTTGTAATCATATTTGTATGTATATCTCGTATATCTTAGTCGAAACGCTGCTCTCCCGCTCTGTGGATTAGTTCGTTATGACCGAGTATTTGCGGGCCGTGTACTGGCTCTGCCTCTGATAGTGAATGTTGCCTAATACAAATGAGAATTGTTTATTAGTTAATCGCATATGTAATAATATATTCCACCTACTGCCGAATGCCAAAAGAATGTACTTTGAACATTTACCGCCCAAAATCAATTAGCAAAGCAAAACCTGACATATAAGGCCCCCCCTCCCCCACAACATTCCAGCACGCCAATGACTCTCTGTCTCGGACTGAGCTCTAATTAGTTGCCTCGTTTCACACATTCGCGGGAAGCCAGAAATTACCCCTTCATACCATATAATTTGTCGAAGGTTTTCGTCTTTAATTCAATCAAAAGGGTTCAGAGCGAGTCCTCGGTCTCCTCGGACCCAGAGTTCGTTCAGGCGAAGTGGGGCTCTTAATAAATCAAATAGTCGTGTGAATTGAGTGCGCTACAGTCGGGTTCAAGGGGTATATCAACGGATGGGAAATTATGGACTGAAAGTTCAGCGAATTTGGGTTTAAAGGCGGATATTTTGAAACCCTTTAAGACTTAAATTTCTTTGGATTATTTAAGCAATTTATTGCGGAAAACTGGCAATGTATTTCATTTTAATTTTAAATATTTTTTAAATAGAAAATTCAAATGCATGGACTTTCTGTATTTTTAAATTTCTATGATCTAGCAACAAAAATAAAGTGTTAATTGTTAAAGTTGTTAATACAAAATATCCTAACCCCAATTTTCCCTAGTTGTTGCCTCTAATTCTGGCCAGAACAAACTCGATTGATTGATGCATTTTCACATTCAATTTCTTGAGTAACAAAAACTTCTAATCAAATTAGACCCGAGACTTTTTTAGTTCCCAGTTATACGATCCTATATCAACCCACACAAGAACACGATCCGGAATAGTGGCACGACAAACTCAAATTAGCCATAAAATCAACAAAATGTCCAAACAGTTCTAGCCACAAACAAAACTCCACTTGAGCACTGATCGGGCGGTGTGGTGGGGAGAGAAAAAACAGTAGAGAGGAAAAGAACCCATTTCCCTTTCCATTCGATTGGGTTGGGCTCGGGCTGGGTGCTGGGACTTACCTGAGGGGCATGGTGTGTCCAGGCAAGGATTACGTAGAGAACATGTGCGTCCATCACCTTCGTAGCCAACCGGACAGGAGTCACACTGGGCTCCGTTCACGGTATCGTGACACTGAACGCCTCTGCAAGAGAAAAGAAACAGAAACAGAAAAGAGACAGAGACAGAGATTCGGTTGGTTAATGGTGGATCGGGCAGAGGATGTGTTGTGTTGTGTTGTGTGTGGATGGGTACCCACATATTGTTTATTATTATTAATACTGACAGTCAGGAACAAACAGCAACAAAAGACTGTTAATGTTAATGGAGGGACATGGAAAGGTAAACACCATACAAAGGCAAATTTATTAATGATGTTTAGTGGAAACAGGGCTACACAAAAGGCCGTGCTTGACCAGCGGAGAGAAAGATCTGTGAAAAGAGAAAAGGTTACCCCTCCAGGTTACCAGAGAGGAACATTGATGGGACCGACAAAGCCCAGAGTTCGACAAGCGACAAGACATGTGCCAGGGGGTAAACGGTACCCTCTTCCTCTTACTCTCCTTCCCAGTTTGTTTTCGGAACCGTACAGGAAGAGCCGACGCCGGTTCAGGTTCCCCAAAAGAAAACAAATTACAATTACAAGAAAATCTTATTAAAACCCAGAGAAACACAAATAAATAAAGGAAAAAAAGGAGAGAGAGCAAGAGGCAAGAGACTTTGACTGTGTGTAGGTTGTGTAGGATGGGAGATATGATATGATATGATGGCCCATGGCAAAAAAGTAAATCCAGGCTCCATTGCATGTAAATTTCACCCAAAGACCGGGGCCTGGTGCCCCTTATTTATGCTCAAGAGTGTGGGATTGCTTATGGCTTTGCAAAATATTTACATATCATGACATGGTCATTAGTTCGCATCGGTCTCTGCGGTTCGTTTCGGTTCAGTTCTGTTGGGGGTTACAGTTACCCGTTGCATGCTATCCCCTGCCCATTGGGCAATGCTTCATCTGCATCCTCGTCTCCTCAGTTGAAACTTAATTTTCAGGCTTGTTTTGCCAGCACATAACTCACAGCAGTCCAATTTTCTAGGAAGATCACCCATCGGGCATCAGCCATCAGCAAGAACTACCGTGCCCAACTGACCCAGAAGCCATAGTTTCCCATATTTTACGACTAAGCACACAATGGCTTTTTTCGCTTGCCGGAAGTCTCCGTCAGACCTCTAGACGACCCTTGGACTTGGCCCCAGCTTCCCAGCTTGCCAATAGCCCGGGAGTAAATGGTAATCATGGAGGGAAGCTTGAGCCACTAAGGAGGGTATAGTCACAGTGTGAATACTCTTAAATAGAAAGTAGTTATTATTAAAAGCTTCCCAACATTATCTTTGACAAATAAATTCATTTGTAATTGCGGGAACCCATGAATGGCAAATAGAGACAAAAATTCTGCTTTTATACACACACAAACAAAGCATGGAGTGAGCGGGAGATGGAGAGAGCATGGAACGAGATGAGAGAGTACTAAGCTGCATACGCATTTACACCGCACCGCTCTCCTCTCTCCCCTCTTCATTCTTCCATTTCCAGCTTCCATTTGCACGCGTTTAGAGTACGCTCCGCGTTCTTTTGCCGGTTTCGGGTCGTGAAAAGCGGGAAAATTGTGAAAATCATGCGGAAAACATTGACGTGCAATATGTGTTGGTGCAGTGCAGTGAAAAATATCAATAACACTGACTTTGAAGTGTATAAATCTAAGAAAATGTGCGTGTGCGGGGGGAAGGAAAGAAATATGGCAGATCACTGCTAAAAATGTACATGAATATGTGAAAGTACAAAGGAATAATTTAATTGATTGATTAACTTTTGTTCTTGGCAAATAAGCCTGGTTGTTTTGCATTTTGTTTTTTTCGGTCGCGCGGTCTTTTTGTTTTGTGTGTGTGTGTGCATAAATGGAGAAGAGCAAGAGGGAAAGAGCGAGTGCTGCCGTCTTGACGCCGCTCTCGTTCCAAGTGTCACAATTAAAGGTGAGGCATTCTCTCTTGTTCTCTCTTGTACACACAAACATTTGCGAGGATCGTGGGAGTGTATTCTCTAACTCCTCACCTTATTTATATACACTCCAAATATGTGCTCTTATTGGAAGTACTCCTTTAAAATGCAATTCCAGTGTAAAAGGGATCGAAGAGAGGAATGTACATATGTAAATGCGAAATGTGAAAGTAATACCCCGTATGCCGAGTCCGTCGTTCGTCCGTCATAGCCTTGAAATTATCGCGCTCTCACCGGTCCGTCTTCGTCCGTCTTAATTGTTGCGCGGGAAGAATGAAGAGAGCCGAGCTCTCTCTCTTTAAAGAACTTTTGACGAAATGGTGAGTGCAATTTATATATTTTTGTATTTACCCAATCAAAGGATTTGTCCCACCCAAAGAAACTATCACTGTAGACGGACTATAATATTAATATTTAGGATAGCATCCCACTATAGATGGCGTTATCCTTGTGCTTTATCCATACGTACTCTACTCCTTTTCATTGAGAACTCAAGCATCAGCCACAACAACGAGACGTCGTTGCATATATTATTAATAATTCAAGGCACTGGGAAACCATCTAAATTCTTTAATTATTATTATTGCCCCCTAAACCAAGTCTTATATCCCATTACCTACTCCCCTTTCAGGCAGAGTATTAGAACAACATTTTCTTTCGTTGCCTCAACGAAAAACAAACCTGAGGTAGCAAAAAAAAAGAAGATTCAAATTTTGTTTTTTCTATTCTTTGGCGCTGTCAGTTGATGAGACTCATCAGCCCGCGGGCTCTGCTCTCGACTTTGGCATATCCCATGGCGGGCAACAACACACTTGTCGGGTGTACGGGGTGAGCGGGGTGCGCGGGGTGTGCGGGGTGTGTGCGTAGGCATTTTGGGGGTTCGGCTGTGGCTGCCACAACGGGGGACGACTCGACCAAAGGCCTACCTTGCCTCCAACCGGCAACGCGCAATTAGCAAAAAGTGTTAAGTACTTAAGTGGCAAGCGGTCTAAGTCAAGGCGCGCTGCTGTCCGTCCACTGCCATGGCCATATCCATGTTGGATATTGCGTAGGGGTTTTCGCTTTCTAGCTATGTACGTTCCCAGACGCCTCCTCCTGGCACTGGTACTGGCACTGGCACTGGCACTTTGCGCTTTTCTGCTTTGTTTCAGTTCATTCGACCATATTGTCTGGGTGTCTGTGTGGCTGTGGCTGCTGCGGCATCGTTTGAGTGCTGGGAAAATATCCAGTCGAGCGCAACGAGGAACGCATTAGCATTTCTGCCACTGACCCCGCCCAATGTCCAGCTATCCCCCATTCTATCCTATGGTTATCCCATAGTTAGCATGACGAACCCACTCGGAGTTTTGGAGCTGGAGCTGGAGCTGGAGCTGAAGCTGGACCTGGGCTCTGTCTTGACTGCCTGCTTCTTGGCCGTTCTTTTTATTAACCACGCATTCATAATTCATAATTCCAATTTGCTGGCTTGCCTCCTTGCGGCCCCTGGCCCCTGCTCTTCTTGTGGTTCCCTTTCGAGACCAGTTCAAACACCACCCAAAGGAGCCTTAGAAGGGAGCTCCACCAGCATGGAGCAGGGCCCGGACCTGAGTAATGTGTGAACATGGTTCTGAAGCATGCAAAGGCTTTTAGGCTGCCCGGGCTCTGGTCGAGCTACAGTCGGGGGATTACACTGGAAGGAATTAACATATGATAGACATTCAGGATTTGTCAGGGCTTTTGGCAGACAGCTAATCACAGATTTTAGCCACTCATTTCGCCACTAAGAGTCCTTCTTTAAGTTCTTTCAATGGTCTATCATCGATCGTAACCCTAACTCTACTTCGCTTCCTAGCTTCCATTAACCCTCCACCCAAATTGCTTCTAATGGTAGCGCGCATGCCATGCAAATGCCCCAGCACTTACTTCTAACAACAAAAGAGCCAAAGAAACACACTTGGCTGCCACCACTCGTACAATCTGGGGCTCCCTTTTGTCAGAGCAGGCAGGCATGCAGGCAGGGGGATCCGTCCATGTGCCACCATCCTCAATCTCCAAGCACTCCTCCGAAGCCTCCTCTCTCCTGTCATGTGGCGCACGCTTTAGACAAACTGCAGCTAACTGCCATAAAGCGGCGTTTATTTTGCCACAGGCCACTTATCTGTGAGGTTGCCTGACTCTGGCTCCGACTCCGACTACGCTACGACTTCAGCTGTGGCTTCGGATCTGCCTCCAATGGCTCGGGCCTGATCTCGACTTGGCCCGGGCCCGGGCTTGGGCCTGGGCTTGTTTTTGTTTTCATTGCTGCGGCTGCGCCTGCGCATGGCCAAGACAGCCGCAGAGACAACGGCAATGTGCCAAGATATGGAGTTTATGCCGTGCGAGAATTGAGGAAATTAGGAAGAATAAGGATAGCTTAAAGTCTACAAATAAATAAGGAACAAGGAAATTCCATTGAAAGGCTACACATAATTTAGGTTTTTATGATATGTGGAATATTTGAAATATTCGTAAATATCCAAATAATTCTAGAATTAATTATAAAAAGATTTTCTGAAAATGTAACGATAAAATAATTTACTGGAAAACCGTATTTAAAAAAAGGAAAAATAATATATAATATAATATATGTACACATATAATATAATATATATAATATTATACATAAAATATAATATATAAAAATATAAAGAAAAACCTTATAAAATGGGGCCTTATAGCCTTATCCAAACAGTTATTAATTTCCAACAATTACAATCAAAAATAATTACCACTAATGAGCTGTGTATTAAGCTGTGAAATATTTCAGCATTTAACACGGTTTGAAAATCAAAAGTTTGAAATTTTTTCACGATTTTATTTCATTTATTGCATGAAAAAACAACAAACTATAAAAAAAAAATTAAAAAGAAAATATATTTCTGGGAAGAAATATAAATACATATTTAACAGACCCAAGGGAACACCCTTAAAATCTTATAAATTCCCAACTATACGGAACTCCAATTAAATACAAAATTCAATGTATTTACACCCTGAATATCATGATATGCGCAACGTGTAAACGTGGCCCGAGCTGGATTCGCTGCCAGTCAACTATTAATTTGAATTCAAGCAGTCAAACGCTGCCACAGACACAGGCCCCAGAGAGTCAAGAGCCACAGCAACAACAAAAACAACAACAACAAAGCGAACCGAACCGAACCGAACCCACCAACAACGACGGCAACGACAACGACAACGACAACGACTTGGAATCAATGGATCCACTTTTTCCCCGATGCGTAGGCGAACTTGATTCCCACTGAGATATGCGTTCCACCGTTCCACCGAACTTTGATGTTTTTTTCGAAGCTGTGAACCAGCCTCTCCAGTTGCTTCCTCTCTTTCTGCCTTTTCCTGGTTCGAGCCATGGCCGTAAACGTTTTGTTTGGGCCAGAGAGAAAAACTTTAAGAGGGAGGGGAATATGCATAGATATTCGAGAGATTCTGTGGGAAAGTTGCCTACAATCAAATGGAATTCTGTCTCGAAAAGTGTTCAACATGCCCCGTACACATGTTGCAGCCTGCAATCGGTCTCCAAATCGGAATCTCTCTCGTATCTACTATCTCCCTAGATAGGTAATATAATCTCTCTGTGGGTCTTGATTGCACTGCTGATTATTTCATCATCTGCATAATTTTGTAAGCCACAGAAGTGGAAGTGTGTGCAGCGAAGACTGATTTTTTTGGGGCGGAGGCGCCTCTGCGGACTGTCATCGGCCTGGGGCCAAGTTATGATTGGGCTTTCAGGTGGTCAATCGTTGGAGCACCTGAGCAGCTCTCTCGGACTCTTGGAAATGGAAAGTGCTGGGAGAATATGCGAATGGAAGATGAGGGAAATGTGTGAAGAGATAAACGTATTTAAAAAAGAGGATCAGATAGAAGATCCCTAAATCTCTGCTTCCCAGTTCTTGGAATAAGTTCTGAGTACCATTTTCCAATCAATATAGAGCGCTTCTACACAAAGGAGAGGCCGTGTGGATATTTTATGTGACATGGGCTATGGTGACCCCTATAAAAAAAAGACAACAACATTGTAGATAACCTGCGCAACAAAAGGATCCACCAACCACAGGTGTGCATGTCATTAGCACAAGTTTTATGGTCTTTTAATAGAATCGATGGTCTCCAAAAGACCATTCCATAAAGAATAGACTCTAGAATCAAGGGAGGAAACAAACAAAGCGCTGACCATGTTCTTAGCCCAGGCCTGACGCCGCCGCATTTGATTCGGATGACATTTGGTGGGTTCTAAATTAAAATGATTGGAAGGGAATGGGGCTGCCACACGCATTGGGCCACATTTCATCGATAATGAAAGATGACAGTAACGAGAGTCGGCGGTGGCGACCGACGCATCGTGACAACATTTAAAACAATTTTATGCAAATTAAAATACGGTCAGCCCCGGGCCAGAGGCGCACCTTACCCAAACAAACCATCCGAACCGATCCCTAGACACCTACAACACTCGCTGGTTGGTTCTTTGGGCCCTGGCCAGGGTCTGTGGGGGCTCTTTTCAATAATTTACACAAATTTATGGTCGAATGCTTCCTATGCGCGTGGCCCAGGCGCTTACTTCTCGCATTTCCAAAGGGCCCCCGAGTCCGAGGGAAAAAATAACAGAAATCACTTTAAGTGTTTTGACACAATGAAGTCAGTCAGTCCTCAGTTTGGGTTGAGAGTTGGCTCTGGGTCTGCGGTTCTTGTGGCATAGCTGCGGGTTCTTTTAAACTAATTTATGCGGCTGTTTCAAGTGCCATTTGTGGTCCAGACCTCCTCACATCTGGGGTCGCAGGTCTGTGTATTGCAAAGGTTTTGTTGCATTTTGTTCGACAATAGTGTCTACCAAATATTCTTTGAGGTTCCATCACCGTTACATCGCATAGCTTGTTATAGTTTTGTTTAACATATTTATGGATATTGTACAGTGCCGGAATTTATGTTTTTATTAGGGTCCGACGCCAGGGCTGTGGGTCTTTTGCATAATTCGATGATTGAGATTGACACAAATTTGGCATTGGAACAGAGCCAGAACAATCTTTAACTAGTTTATGGATTTCCAACTGTGGGGACACTTCCGGTTGTTCAAAATGATAACTTAATATGGGGGCTGTGGGTGGCTTGATGTCTATCCTATGAGCAGTGAAAGGTTTTCCCTGTCTGGGCCCACAAATATTCCGGGACTTACTCCCATTTTTGTATCGCAAACATATCAAAGAGATCTTTTGCCAGATAGCAAATGTGCTTCATAAAGATCATTTGAATATAGTAGTCCCCGGCCCCGGGTTGATTGGACTAAACTGTCTCGAAGCGACAAGGGATTAGGAAGTCTTCTTCGCCTTCGGATTGACATATCTACGATCTACGGAGCTTATCAGATGGAAAAGGCGAGAGGAAACTGGTTTCGGAATCACTCAAATGACTCACACAACTTTTACACGCGGAGAAAAATGGCAAAGAAAAAAGAAAAACATCCACCTTTAAATTAAATGTTTGGGTTTTAAATCAAAAGAGAGGGAAATTGAACAGAATTCAGTTCGATTTAAAAATAAACGTATTTAAAAATCCCATATTTAATAAAATATATAACACTTTAAAAAAAATAGAATATTTAAATTTTGTACATTTAATTTAAATAAAAAATATATTTAATTTTTAAATATGAAATATATTTATTTTAAATATGAAATGTATTTCTTTTAAAAATTAAAATATATTTATTTTAAATACGAAATATATACTTAATTTGAATATGAAATATATTCAATTTGTATATGAAAATATGAAATATATTTAATTTTAATATGAAAATATTTATTTAAAATTTCGTAATATATTTTAGATATTAAAATATATAATTTTATTTAAAAATGTATTTATTTTAAGTATGAAATACATTTAAATCAAATACATATGTTCATATTATTGTTAAATTTTGCGTGAAAAGATTTTTAAGTCGCCCTATTTTCTCTGCGTGTAAGCACACTCCACTCCACTTACTTTCTGCTCTGCTCTGCTCTGTTCTGTTCAGTTCTGTGTAACCTGCTTATGGCATTTATTTATTCGTAGAATTCACCAAGTAAATAAACCTCTAAATGTGAATCCTCTCTCTCAATGGGCATCACTTGCTTATCAATCACACATATAGATATACGAGAATATGCCTGTAGATATGGATGAGGATGTGAATGGGGATGTAAATGTGGATGTGGAGGACTGAGGTGTTAGTCAAGGAGTTGTTTGAGCTTGTGGCCTGACTAGATCATCAAACCATAAACAACATCAAATTGCCATTAAGGCCAAATGCAAATAATTGCAGAGTCAGAGTCGAAGGAGGGAACCTTTTGGCCGGATCGGCGGAGCGGCGGCGCTTTTCAAGCCCTTGGAGCTCCCAGCATGACAAATACAATTAACGTGAATGCAATGGCCACGCCCTTGACGCCATTAAGAGCTCCACAAGCTGCGTTAATTTTGTTTGGCCGAGAGAGGGAGAGAGATAGGATGGAAAAGGACTGTGTAAAGACTTACGGATAGCATTGATAGTTGGCGCAGGAGACGCCCGGTTTGCAGATCTTGCCATCGCCAATCAAGCCGGCAGGACAACGGCCGCACCTTGGACCAGCGGCCGAATCCAGACAGTCGACACCTGAAAGAATTTACGTAGACAAATATTGAAGCTTTTAAGCTATCGAGCTATCGATAAATGCGCCACTTACCGCGATAACAAGGATTCGCCGTGCGACAAGTGGGCTCCAGTCGCAGCTGATTGTCCCCGGAGAGGGGATTCTTGCAGCCGGCACAGTTCTCCAAGAGCATACGCAGGTAGGCAATCTCCTGGCGCTGGTGGGCGACATCTTCACGGAGCAGCTTAACCAAAGCCAGTAAATCGCTCAGTGATCGTGCGAGGGCGTCTGGGTTGGAACAATGAGCAAAAAACAAAACAAAACAAAAAGCAGAGAGTTACAACAACAGTCGAGGGTAGAGTTCCGTTGCGTTGAGGCTTTAAATAAAGCAACAATAATTCATGAACACCCTCGGCACACACAGAGGGTCTCTGGGTTGCTCTGGGATCCATGTGTGTGGGAAGCGTTCAAGCGTCTGACAAGATTAAGGTCTAACCAATGCAAAAATCGCACTCATTTTAAACCATGCAACAACGCACACAACGTCGTGTGTACCGCATGTTGCATGTACAGGCTCTGCTCTCTCTCTCTCTGTCTCTCTCTCTGATTGCAACCTAATCCGCTTTGTCGCACTCCAATGCACTCCTTCGGCGCTTTGAACAGCGCTGCTAATGCGTTCAGAGGGGTTTTAGTGCAGCTTAATGCAATGGGACAACAAAAGCCAAGCATCCCGATTCCTTTTACAACCGAGATGATGAGTCAGGACCCTGATTGATTGAGTCACTGATGGCACTATACAATGGTAACACACATACTCGTTTATATATGTAGTATATGGCTGATTTGTTAATATGTATTGTGGCATTAATTAAACTGCGAATTAAAGCCGATTAATACCGATTTCATGACCTCACTGCAGAGATGAGACATCATAAGAGGATCACATCGTGAATCCGTAATACGCAGAGATTCAGAGATCTTAGAGGTAAGTAATATAGTATTTAAGCCACGTTTTAATAGATTTAAGGCTTTTATAGTACATATGTGACTGCCAGAGATCAGGCTAGCCCACTCGCTAATTGAATTACCAATATGCAAAGTATTTCTATGATTAATGCTTGCAATCCGCTTATCTGCCATTACCAATTTGCCTAAGCCTGTCTATGATCTTTATTAGGGCCCAAAAGCTATACCTGGCTAAAGCCTTACAAATCTGGCCAGCAATTAATTATAACACTTGCAGACAGCTATCTATAGACCCTAGTGGTACCCACATCGAGACATTTCACTGTCTTTGCCAATAAGTCGCCGCTAAGTGCTCCAGAGAGAGAGAGAGAGCGAGGGAGAGAGGGAGAGTGGGGCGCCCACGTAGATACGACGGCTAATGAACGCCAAGATATGACAAAGCCCATGCATATAAGTTGTGCACTCGTTGGGGACCAGCATAATTATTATTTATCTGGCTCAGTGCAGTGCAGTGCAGAACAACACCAAATTGGTAGCTGGCTCCGATCTGTACCCACGATCTGTGCCCCTCTCTCCCTCTCCCTATCTATCCGTTGACATGGGTACGCTACGGGGCGGCATATAAATCGCAAAGCCAGAAAACGTAATGAATGAATTACGTGGCTGTGCCGCCGACGACGACGACGACAGACGAGAGATAGAAGCGAAGGTTGCCAAATGTAACCAAAACGAGATCGAGAGACTTGGAGACCCCAGAGATCTGTGACTTGGAACGGATGCGTTTGGGCGTTAAGGCGGCGGCGGCGTTTTCAATGTTGACAAAACTCACTCCGGCAGGCCGTGAGGCAGGCAGGCAGGCAGCCACTGAGGCAGGAGGCAGGCCACGAGGCAGGCAGGCAACCGACAAAGTCAGACATTTGTGCAGGCCAGATGTGCAGAGACGACGATGTTGGACTAGTTTAGTTGTTGCCATGTGTCTTACATGATGTTGTACAGCCTAAGAGGTAGATATACGAGGGATATATTGATTCTACTTATGTTTCTGCCTTTAGATTAAACGTGCATTAGGGGTAGCTGTCCTGATTGAAGGGCTTTCTGTTACGACTAAGTCCTGTAATCAATACAATCCTGTGGTGTACATTATAGATCTTACCTTACCTTCTTAAATTCTCAATACCGGCCTGGGCGGGGTTTTTCAAGGTCTCGGGCACATGCCATGGACATTTCAAGCCCCCACTCAAACCAAAACCAAACGATCCCTCAAATCAGTTCCCCAACCTACACTCTCTGTGGTTCGGTACCGATGGCTCTGCCACATTTTCTTAATTGAATTATGTTCCACAAGTGACATAAACGCCAACGGACGCCCAGAGACAAGCACCAAACAATTTCATCAACGCGGCATCTAAGCCACAGCCAAAGACTTTTGGGAGAGTTGTCAGAGATCAGGGCACGCCTCTGGGTCTGGGCCAAGAGTCGTTGACTGCTTTAGGACTACCGGCTGTCAGCTGACAAAAACTGTGTGTGGAAACCGATGGGTGGTGCAGCCTACCTTCACAATCGCCATGCAGAATGGGTATATCGCCGCGCTCAACGTCTGTGGGCACCTCCTGGTGTCGATGATCTGTGACTCCTTCCCGGGAGATGGTTGGCTCGTACCAGCCGCGTACATCGCGCTTCTTGTTCTTCTCTGGAATGGATTGGTGGGTTGCACTGACTGGCAGCAGACTGTTCTCTCAGATGTACTTACCACGCTCCGTGATCTTGTTCCGCAGCATGCGCCGATTGCCGCGACGATGCAGACCCTTCTGGCAGTTGGCCCGCTGCAGGGAGTGCTCCATGTCCGCATCAAAGTGCAGGGGATACTTTCGCTCACGGAACTGTCAATGAAAGATGCACAGTGCTATTGCTAACCCATTCGAACAGTAGAAGGATCCTCTCTCCACTCACCAGCTTGATCACTGGATCGTCCATTTGTGTGTAGAGTTTGGCCAGATTCATGTCGATGTCATGATGCGTGCTCGCCTTGCAGTCCACATAGAGGGTGATGCGATTCTTCGAGAACTGCAGGGCCAGCGAGCGAATGGTGCTCGTCTCATTGATGTTGGGTATCTCAAAGTTGCGCGACTCGGTGGCTCCATTCGCACTGATGTCCAGGGTGACCCTCTGCTGTTTGCGGTCCAAGAAGAAGGACATCTTGTGCTTCAGCATGGGGAAATCGATCATGAAGAGGGCTTCTATCGAAATGTGCAGCTTCCGACGTGGTCTAAAAGGGGCAAGGGTCAACACATTGTAGACTCTAAAGTGTATTTGATCCTTAATGGAGGGTTTACCTTATGTGTCTGGTGGATATGACAACATCGCCTTTTCGTATGAACTGCTCGAGTTCGGCGGAGGCAACTGTGGGTAAGAATTAGGGGATATATTGTTATAGTAAAAGCGGTTACGAGGGATATGGAATATGAAAGGGGCTAAGTGAGTTCTGATTAGTTTAAACAGATCCTTGGGCAATATCTTTGTTTGCTTTATTTTTTTTTTGTCTTCTATCCTAGTGCTACAAGTTTAAATTATATTTAGGCACTTCTATTAAATTAATTGTTATTATAATTTACTAATTTAAATATGTTATTTTTTAATCTTTTTTAAATTGATTTCATTTTAAAATTTAAAATTTATAATCAAAAATACAATCGTAATTATAATAAAAAAAAAAAAAAAATAAATAAAAGAAATATATATATTTTATTACAAATTTGAATGTGAATATTTTGCTTTTATTTTTATTTTATTTATTTATTTTTTAATATTTTTATTTTTTATTTTTATTTTATTTATTTATTTTTTAATATTTTTATTTTTTATTTATTTATTTATTTAAGAATGCGGAAATTTGTATGTATTTGTATTTGTTCATTTATTTTGTATTTCCTTTTTTATCATTTATTTGTATTTATACATATATATTAATCTTCTAGAAATGTATTTTGTTGTTATCATATACATATTTGTATTCATATATATTAATCTTCTGGAAAAAATCAAAGAATTCGGAACTAAGACACTTTAGGTAGGCCTGAAAACATTCCTTCAAGTGTCATCCCGAGTAATCCCTCACACCGTATCGCACTTCCTTTTATCAGAAAACTGTTTGGAACAACTTCCGTTCCGCCAGCAGATAATCAAATAGATCGATTACCAAATAAACAGCTAAATAAATACCAGAAACTCGACCAAATAACATCGGGTAGGGTCATGTTTGTAAATCTTCATCGAGGGAGTAAACCAAAACACTGTGCCACTTGCTCTATTTATCCACCAAACATTGGCAATCGCGTTTTTGCGCCTGCCACAAGATTACGACACTTGGAACATGGAACATGGAACTGTTTATTTTGGTCACCCCGAGAGAGATCGCTGCGGTTGTTGCTGTCTCTAATCCAGCGGCATGTTAACCCAAATAAATACGAAAGACATACTCGTTGTCGGGGGTCTGCGGCCTGGGGTCCGGTCCGTATTTGCACAATCCGCATTTCGAGTACGAGTACGAGTCCGCGGACTGTCAGGCAAAAGAATCTATCAAGAGACGTCTCTATATAGAATTTCACGCATTTGCTGGGTTATTTGTCCAACTTTTGACAGGCTCATGATGCCGGGTGGGTGACCTTCACGACATGGACATACATTGGCCAACTGCATGCTGGGGCTCACAGCGAATGAGTCTCTCTCTCTGTCTCTGGTCGTGCTCGTGATCGGGCACCGCCAACGCCATCTACGGGCTTCAGGGAGGTCACCAGCTCAACAACCAATGAACCTATCTGACAGTTGACGACGTTTTCATTGGGATTTAAGCTGCAGCTCGAGCCCGAGATTTACATAAATCGCCAAGTTGGATACGATACCAGCACCAGTACCAGTATGGATGGTGTTTCAGTCGTTCACGGCAAATATTGACACTGGGGCCAAAGCCAGAGCCAAAGCCAGAGCCAGAGCCAGAGCCAGAGCCAGGGCGATCATTCGCATGTTTGTGACCATAAAAGAAACGGTAAAAATATGTACATGCATACACTGGCGGGAATGTCTTTCAATAAATGTTATGGGATCATTATTCAGAGGATTTGTTGTACTGCAGAATAAATGCACGATTATCATACTGGGTTTGATTGAAGACAGAAAGAACTTAAAATTTTTTTTTTACATTTTAGACAAAATTGCATTAATGCACTTATTTTAATTTGATTAGAATTTAACATATTTTTATCTTTAATATTAATTTTTTTTTAATGTAATTTCTTTCTTTTTAATATATTTTTTTGTAATAAATATATATACATTTTTTTAAGTATTATTCTTTTTTTAAATAATCTTTCTTTTTTTAATATATTTTTTAAATGATTATATTTTATTATTATTTTTTAAGTGTTTAAGTGTTTTGTCCTTATTTTTAAATAGTTTTTTAATTTGTTTATTATTGTATTTCTTTATCTTATTATTGTATTTGGTTTTTTTAAAATTAATTTATGTATTAATATTATCATTAATTTGTGCTAAAAACTTAAAAATTCTTTGACATATTTAAAAACTTATTTTTTACATTTATTTATTTTATTTGGTTTATTTAGGTTTTTTATTTTTTTAAAATTGAATTATTAATTTTCATTAATTATGTATATAATATATTAAAAATGCTTTGATATTATTATAAAATTTCATATAAATTTGCGCTCCTAATTTGTTCCATAACGGATCCTCTGTATCTGCATCTGTATCTGTACTTTATCTGTATCGTTTCTAACCAGATCTGAATCTGCAACTATGTATCTAAAGAGGAACCAGTGGGGGTTCTCTATAAATTGCACTTTCTATGTCATAGAACGGCTGAAAACTTGTTTCAACCCAACAACACTATTTGCAAAGGTGTACCTGGACTTTTTGGAAACAATTTCTTTCAGTGCATTCGCACAATGGTATTTGGGTGAGGAAAAAGAGTTGAGTGGAAAGCATGGGGATAGTCTCTGGCACTTACCTGGATCCAGTGAGAGTGATGCAACCTCCACGAATGTCAGCGCCAAGGCGGTCAGCCCGATTAGCAGCACGCGCGTCCAATTCATCGTCACAATCTGGGCAGGTCTGTGGGCTGGGATGGTCCGATATATATATCTGTACGTGTGGCACTGGATGGGATGCGGCCGTGGCTCTTCTCTCCACAAAAGTCTGTCCGTCCGCTGTAATATAAATAAAAGCATGAAATGAAATGAAATAAAACGGGGGGAAAAACGAGCAGAAATTCAGAGATCAGTCGGTCGGTCGGTGGTTGTTTATTTTCGTTTTAAAAATAAAATTCCCCGATAAAATGCATCGCGAGGCGGCGGCGGCAACCGGCGGCCGGGCAGACATCATATAAAATCGCATAAAATAATAAATAAAATTCAAATTAAAAATGTAATAACAAGAAAAGAATTAAACGACCAAAACCAACAGAAATGCTCGGGCAGCATATTTGAAATATTTCATCGGGCACACCTTCCCCCCCCCCACTTTGCCGGAAGTACTTGGTCGGGTATCACCTAGATGACTATATATATCTCCCTCCCCCCCACATATCTTTCATCTCGTTTGGCCATCTGTGGGCGTCATCCGTAATAAAGCATTTCGTGGGCAAAAGTTGTATATTTCTTTCTGTAATCCCCATGTGCCTGGATTCTTTCTTTGAGCTGCCCGAGATTTATGTTGGATTTTTGCAATCATTCTTTCGTCTCTTGTGCGCCTGGTTTTTTACCTAAATAAATGTTTGTTTAATTCTCTAAGTCTATTCTGTGTGTTTTCAGGTGTTTCCTCCAAGCGGAAGTTCGCTGGAAAGGTCGCTGGAAGCTCTAAACAAAAGAAATATTTCTGTTTTTCTTAAATGTAATTCCTGGAAGTGTAATTCGAGAGTGGGGTCCCATATTTTGATTTTATTTATGAATGGTGCTCAGTTCTCTCAAGCGAAAGAAATTAATGTCTTGCCTTGGGAAGGGTCAAAGTTTTTCCCTTAAACTACTCCAGTTTTATTTCAAAATTAAGTTGAATTTTAGAAGTTTTTCCAGCTCTAAATTAAGCAATTAAAGATCGGGTTTCCTATCTGTTGCTCAAACAGATGCCGCCTGCCATTTTCCAGTTTGGTAATCGCCTAATGAATGGCAGAATAATTTACTTCAGCCCCGTTGAAAGATACATATACTATTCGAATAGCTAAAATATCTTGGCTATGATTAGATTATCTTTAAGCACAAACAAGTTTTGCCCACAAACATAATTTTTACAACTGTTTAGCCTTCTTCTGTTTTCCCTGGGGAAAACCCCATCAATCCGTGTGTAATGGTACTTCCTCAACGGCTTCTGTCAATTGACGACCATATTCTATCGCTCACATAAATCTTGAGCGATCAAAGAGGAACTGTAGTTCCACAGTTTTCCGCTTTTCAGTGTTCATAAATTCAGTGTAATACACAAATTTAACGATCTATGAAATAAAATAAAATTTAGTACGATTGCTTGGGGGAACAAGTGCATAACGAGCGGGGAAATCGTAAAATGTATTGGAAAATCCCACAAAAAAAAGATACCCGGTTGCAATTAGGCCCACAAAAACGTCAAGAAGTGAGATACAAATCCCAGATCTCATCTTCAAGAAGTTACACAATTTTCATGCTTAAATAAACACAAGAAATGTGGCCAAGATTTGGTTTGCTTCAGGCCTGCGGCTCAAAGGTGTCCCAGGAATGTAGTAACGGTCGTCACAGAAGAGTCCACAGAGTCACAGAAAGCCAAAAGCGAATGTCGTTATGGCCATACAAGACGACAAACCCAACGACAACTTCTCAGATACTGGTCCAAAAAATTGTTGACTGACAGTTATGGATTTATAGTGGCAGCTGGCAGTCCCCTCTTGGCTGCAGCCGCTGGCTGGCTGGCTCTCGTTCTCTTGGCTACAATGTCACTGAGTCACAAGTCGGGCGGGCAGTAGGATCTACTCCGTTTATGGGTGTAATCGCAATTACCAGAGATCAAACAGCACCACAATAACCACAAGTTCTTCCTCCTTGAGGCAGTAAAAGTAGGCAGACAGTGGCCAGGAGAGCAGAGTGTTTGCGGGTGTATTTTAAGGATTTTATGTGCCATATGACGGAAGGATTACGATAGGCGGATAGTATTAGTATAATTATCCATAAATTGGAAGAGTTATAGCTACTCCTGAATGTCTACAACTTCTTAGATACCTTAAACCTCTCCCAGATTTTCTATAATCTTTTAAGGGATCAATTCAATCGTTTCAATTATTCTTCCACTTGAAAACAAAATCTATATGTGCTTGATTAATCAGGAAGACAGCACGGCTCTTCTTCCCTTGAAATATCGTCTCAACAGATGACAAACTGAAGCGTAAGTAATCCCATCTTCTTCCGACCATTAACCATAAGTTCTTGGAGGCTTAAGTCGTTCGATACTGTGAAAGGTTACCCAGAACTTAACCCCCAAGGCAGGGGCTCGGATCTGTGCCAAGATCTGTTCAGTGAAACGTTTATTAATAGCCAGTTAAGTTGTCCAACCGCTGGCTACCGCGAACCACACCAACCAGAACATTTCCCACCAAATGTCAACCGAATAATCCGCCCCCAACACACACCATAAAATAGAAAAAAACCAGAAGTGGAGAGACACCTTCAGAGAACGGAGAACCGAAACACATAATCCTCAGGCCTGAAATTTATTAAATACTTTTTAATGCCATTGGTTTTGGAATAGATCATGCATATATCAGGCACACAGAGACAGATATGTATTGTGTATCTCTGTCCAGCGCCCACGCCTTCAACAACATAAGACCCCTCGCGCCATGGAGACGCCGAACCAAATCCACAACCACAACCACAACCACATGATGATGACTGCCGCTGCGACGATGCCACATCAAGTTAATAAAGCGGACAAATCAAAAACAAAGTCCGTCTTTACGAGCATACACTCGTACTCGTATTGTGGAGAGGAGTACACCCTCCGTACAATGATTGACATTTAATTAAGCAAAAGGCAAATGCACACGGAAGCCGCAAAGCCAACAACTGACGACCGAAAACCGCATCGATGGCCAGGCCAGAGCGGCAGGCGGAGGAGATGGGATCTTCACCCACTAGTCACCCAGTCCGACCCGGCCGGGACCCCTGATCTGATCCGACAGAGCCGATTGAACGAGTTTAGCGTCATCACCCGACGACGACGAGTGACTGAAGCCAGTGACAAAAGGCGTTTCTGGTCTATCATCAAAGGAAATTTGATGCTTATCGGAAAAGTCATTTTCATCAGATCGAATGGGTAGCCGTAGTCGTAGTCGTAGCCCCTGCCTGGGGGAAGGCAGCAGTCGGAGAACCTTCACGAGTTTTCTGTGTTCTGGGTAGCGAGGGTTGGTCGAGGTTTATGCAAATATCGCAGTTAAGGGGAAGCGAACTTTCGTATTTGTCATATTTTATTTTGATTAATTTTTAGCACTACAATGAAAAATCTGTTTTCAATGCTCTAAACACTCAAGGGAATATAATAGAATAGAATATAGAATTATAGAATACCTTTAAGTATACATAATATTTAGCATTTTTTAATTAAATAGAATCTTAAAAAAATAAAAATTAAAAAAAAAAAAAAAATTATCAGACAAAAAATATATAATAAATAACAAAATTATAAAATAAATATAAAAATAAGAATACAAAATTAATACAAAAAATAGATGTCTAAAATATAGATTAATTAATTAATTTTTAAAAAAGAGCCCAATTAAGTGAATTATTACAAAAATTAAATATTATTTATAACCGCAGTTAGTTTTTATATATTTTTAATTTTTTTCCTATTAATTTTCTGAAATTTTTTAGATATTTGTTTATATATATATTTATGTATTAAATTATTGGGTAAAACGATGATATAAAAGCCAAATGCCATACGAGTCTCTTACTAATGTACTAATATGTATATTCATCTTGAAATTATATTAGATCAGAGTGAGAAAACACTTCGCCTTCAGAGATCCTAAGTAGTAAAAACTTCTCTATATTCACCCATAACTTAAGAAAATAGTATTTCCCGAGTAATTAATTATCTAATAGCATTGATAAACATGTTTTTCGTTAGTTAAAGTTTTTGCTACACTTCATGAATCCACCCCCATGATATCTTGAAACTTAGGTAATCCACAAATAAAATATACATAAATTATACATCATTCAAACACCCTACCGTAATGCACAGTGATCCCTTCTCATGACTCATTGATGGACTGTCGTGACGGCCCTCGTGTGGCATTAGAAATTCAAATATTTTGACTCTTTTTGCTGGTCGCAAGCAGCATGCAGCCTCAGCGGCGGCCACGTCCCCCCAGGGCGTTTAAAAACAGCGCGGAAAATATAACGAAAAGAGGCAAAAAATGCTGGGCTGAGCTACTGCGCATGCGCGACTGCCGCTGTTGCTGTTGCTGCCACAGCTGCCGGCGACGCTGACGCTGCGCTGCGCTTCAGTCGCGTGTGGGCAGGACAAGTTTCGCCGCAGCCGCAGCTTTGGCCGTTGGTGCCGCAGGCGTCGTGTCACTGAAATCAAATCAGCCGCGCTTAAATGCTCAGCCGAAAACTTCAGTTCGAGCCAGAGATGAAGTCGCGGTGAGGGGCTGGGTACTGCCGCTGCTGCCGCTGGCAAACCTGCTGTCAGATGCTGGTTTGACATGGAAAAAATCTATGACGGCGCCTACGCATCCCCGGCATCAAGAAAGAGATACAGATACAGACAGGGAGAGCCTCAGCCGCAGCCGCAGCCTCAGCGAGAGAGCGTAAGCCACTTAGGGAAATTCTTCAGCGGATTTTCATTTGCAGCAAAACTTTCTTTAGCTTTTGTCTACATTTTTCCAGGCACTTCATAATTGGAGACCAACAAAAAAAAAAAACGATCTGCAGCCTGAACTGAATTGATTTTGTGCCGCCTGATAAATTGGTTTCATCATCATAATGGGACTTTGTATAACTTCCGGCGCGAGTCGAGTGTGCGCACGAGGGTCTGGGGAGTGCGTGAAAGTGACAAGATTAAGACAAGACCAAGACCCACGGGACCCATCGATTCAAAGTCGAGTTCAATGGCGACACTCGAACGGCACTTGACGGTCCTCTATTTCCATTGATTTCTGTATTTGTATCGATTTAAACTGAGTTTCGTTTCGGTTTTGGGTTCGGTTTTTTCTACATTTATTTTCCCACCCAAAAATGCAGTAGTTGACAGCTTGAAATGTTGGCCATTCAGGTGCCGGAGTCCTATTTCATAATATTGAAAGGTCTGTCAATTAAATGCTGGCGGGTGATGGAGATTTCTGGTATGGTAATTGCCACCTGCCACAAGAGTTGCTCAATCGAAGGAAAACCAAGCGTAAAGTGTTGGGTATAATTATTTATAGAGGGATTTAATTTACAAAAAAAATAGAAACAAAGAATATGAAAAGTCATAGAGATACATTCCAGCCTATGCTAATACGAAATGATAGATTTAGACAAAAAAGACCTTCTTTAAATACGTATTAACTGTAGCCGGCAGCTATAATCTGTCCCAAAACATATTATATTGCCATAAAACAAGCATCTGCCACATGCCGCATGCCTGTACATATATGGCGGCCATATAATTATGCGATATCGTCTCAGGTGTTTGCCGGACCACACCTCTCGACATTTGCATATCTGTGCAGAATATCAAATTATAGCCAAACCAAACAGCCAGCCAGCCAGAGATCTTCCCCGCTCCACACGGATCCCAATCAACAGGTTATAAATGATATATTTTATGCCTGGCCAAGGCGTATAAATTTTCGCTAATTTTCTGTGTGTGTGTTGGGCAGTTGGCTGTCAAAACTCTTTAGAATATGTTTAATCCATCATTAGGCCAAAAGTCGAAATCCCATTAACTTATGCTGATGAACCATTAAAGCGATCTTTTCATTTGAATCACATTTGACGCCGCGTCCAAATATTGTAACAATAAAAAGACAAAGACAAGACTGATCTGTTTATTGTGACTAAGCCCGGGGTTTATTTGAATTGCAAATTTTTCGATTTATAAAATTTGTTTAGCCCTGTGTCGGAAATTGGTTGTTCGAATGACTTTCCACTGGACGATGGACGATGCGCTAATTTGCTGCTGCAACAATTTTCCACTTGATTTGCATTTGTTAACGAACCCATAACTCGGCTGCCCCGCTGCCAAACGGAAATACCAATGCCAACAATAGCAACAATATTATTTATGTTTTAATAATCAACTGAGACACTCTATATATGGTCAGCACAACGATCAAAAGAGAGAGAGAGATCTTGAGTCACTTGAATGGGCTTTAGAGGAATGGATTAAATGGCAGGCGAATAAATAGGTCTTTGACATTTATTTATAGAGTTTTTTAGACGTAGATGAATGATTAACCTAGCTCAGGGAATGCCCTTTGATCTTTGATGATGTGGAATAATTATAAGAGCTCCATCATAACTCATGTAATCAGTTAGTTGAATAATATATAACAAATAAAAGTAAATATTTGATATCTTCTTCCTTTGTGAGACCCAAAATTTAGGTCTTATATTTAATTTTGAAAGCAGTTGAGTAACTCTTTCTATTCCAAGTTCAAATTAAATTACGATGCTCGTACCTTCTTGAAGATCCCCCTCAGGTCACGACGCCACTGCCGCTGCCTATCGTAATATATTCAAATAATAAAAATAAATATAACCGCAAGTCTCCGCCAGCTAGACATCTCTTGGAGAGGCAGTTATAAATTGTTATGGAGATCTTTTGGATGTGGGCGTCTTTTAATTGAATCGCTTTGGAATAGAGCAGCAGAAGCAGGCCACTTGATGGGGGAAATCAAATGAAATATATTGCCACAGAATGTATTTAAACCAAATCAAACCCAATACGTATCTGTGGCATTGTCCCCGACCGACTGAATTTGGTCAACAGCAAAGCAGTAAACAAATTGTGGCTGCTGTCTGTATTCCCCCCAAAAACCATGGCTCTATATGGTCGGATAATTATAGTTCTCAAAGAGACATCAGCCTCCGAATGGGATCTCTAAAATATGTGTGGAAAGTCCAGTAATTAATAAATTATGACTGGACTCTGTGGTATTTAGGGGCGCCAATGCAGATAAGACCCAGAGATCTACCAATAGATTAATGTGTCGGCCACAGGCCTCCGCTCCGCTGCTCTGTGGCTTTTTTTCGTATTGGGTGTGGCTAATTAATATGTATCGGATAGTATTTGAATTACAACAACAATTAGCATGATTTATCATCAGATATGAAATGGCGGTGAAAACTATTCATAATTTGGCCCAATCAATAAGGCAGCGATTATCAATGCCATAAAGACAGATGAAAGAGAGTCTTGGACATTGGATAATAAACGGGGTAACAGATGATAGAGAGGATTCATTGTAAGTATTGAATGATATTTTAGCTGTTTGGACTTTTGAGAACCTATCGGGAGACGGCGCCTAGGTCGTTAAATCTCTGATTTCCTCCTATATACCAGTTATTAATTTTAATGATGTAAATACTTGTTTATAACTTATTTTGTGCTACTATGTAAATGTTAGAACAACTTCTGCGCTTTAGCCAAGGCATACACTCAGAGAAAAAAAGCACTGGGATATGAATATTATTCTCTAAGATATTTATTTTATTTTATTTCTGCACCGAGAGTGGAAATTGCAAAAAAAAAATATTATAGCACTCATATTTTACGTAAATATGAAAATCTATGATTTAAATATATTTCATATATAAAATAAATACATTTTAATATTTAAAAATATTTCGCATATTTAAATGAAATAGTTTCATATTAAAATTTAATTTATTTCATATTAGAATGAAATAATTTAATGTTTTGATTAAATATATATCATATTAAAAATAAATTTAATTCATTTTTAAATGAAATAAATATTTTAGTTAAATGAAATAGTTTCTTATTTAAATTGAATATATTTCATATTCAAATTAAATAGTTTAATGTTTTATTAAATATATATTTAAAAAAAACAAATATTGAAATTAAAAACATTTATGTTATTTTAAAGTTTTTTATGCTTAGTTTAAATATGGTCCGTACTAAAAATTCTTTTTAATGCATTATTTTATAATTATAGTGCATTTTTATTTAATTTCCTTAATTTGTTTATTTAAAAGCCGAATATTTATTCCCTAGATTTACACTGGTTTCCTTTCGTATAGTTTAAAGCGCTGAATCTTTCGAGGTGACCTCAAATATCTGCTCCCAATACCAATATTCCCCAATATTCTTTGCACTTCTTTTCTCAGCGTTTTTATCCCGTACCCCACAAGCACATCTGCCACAAGCAGTATGCCATGCAACAATTAAATCGGAACGTACTTCCTCCCACTTTGTAAGCAGGCACTTATCCCACTTTCCCAGGGGAGTAGGCCAACCGACCTACTATTTATAGCACACTCTTGAGCGCCTTGCGGGCCGAGAGCTCAGAGATCTCTGCGAGATCTGGGCAACCTTCACACTCACCTTTCAGTCAAGGACGTTGCACGCCAACGCCGTGGTGGGCCGCCGATCTCCGTTCGAGAAGTGAGACAGACAGCAGCTCCTTGTGCCGTTTAGCCACTTGCGGCTGTCAGCTCGTTGTTCAGAATGGAAACGGAATGGACTTGAGTTTGAGTTATTTTTACGATTATTTCCACACTTTTCCGAACACACACTTGTATTTTATTTTGTATTATTTTTTTTTCCTTTTCGAAGATCAAACAAATTCACACTATAAGAATCGGATAAGGAAACGGATGCATTAGATAAATTAAACCCTTTTCAAAATATCCGAATGCGACACACATAAATCCGTTCCGAACGAAAAGAAGGAGATGGAGATGGAGTTGGGTCCCTGGATGGGGAAGGGGAATGGGTATGGAGGTACAAAAAGGCAGGCCAGACGACACACGCGAAGATCTTTGGGAGCTGATTTTATTAGAACGAAAATCAACACGCAACGCGCAGCGACGCGATCGGTGGCTATTGGAGAAGACGATCCTCCAGTGACGGCAACTGCTCCACAACTGACTTGATGTGTGGGACTGGTGCCTGGCTCTCTCTGGTTCTGGCTCCGGCTCTGGCTGTGGTGTTCGTGCTAATAAAAATTAAAACACTTTTATGCTATTAACAACAAGAAGGCAGAAGCATCGCGGACGCGGATACGGACACGGTCATGGGGGGGGACACGGGACACGGGACACGAGACACCTTGACAGCGGAATGGAAATGGAAAACGAACGATGCTGAGGATGCTTCTGGGCTCTGGCTCTGGGTGGTATTGGGGAACTGTCAAAAACTTTGTCAGCGACAATTTAACAAGAGCTCCCCCAACTCCAATGATTTGAGAAACACACACTTAAAAGCCGTCATAGATCACGGGCCAAAATAGCGGGCATTTTCTCGATTAGCGATTACGATGCCGATGCCGATGCCGATCCCGATGCTTTTCGTTTCTTCACCTGCTGATCGTTTCGATCCGTACCCGTACCGTCTTGTTCAACGTGCAAACGCGCACTGGAAACTCTGAAGGGAACGGAACACCGCAGTCGCAGTCGCCGCAGAGGCAGTGCCACTGGCAGAGTGGCAGCGGCACAAACAACTTGTTGTTGCCCGGTTTCCCATTGGCGTGTTGCCTGATTGCAGTTTGTTTTGTTCTCAGCTGTTGAGATGCCGTTGACTTGTTGCTGCTTTTGTGTGGCTCTTTCTTGGTGTTGCTTTTGTTGCTTTTGTTGCTTTTGTCGCTGCTCTTGGCTTATGCTTTTGCTGTTTTCTGGGAGAAACGCTCTCAGCAGCGCAGCGGCGAACAGGCAGCATTTTGTCTTCGTTTGTGTTTCTTTTGACGCGTGAGTAAGCGGAGACGCCCACGTGCGAAATTTGCGTAAGAGCTTGCCAGGGTTGCCAGCTTGTTTGTGGTGTGTGATTTGCTGGGGGGGTTTTCCTGGTAATAATTGGGAAAGTGGAAAGTTGGGAAGTAGTACAGGTTCTTTTACGACGATTTTTCATAGATTTTTAAACACTTTTGAGGCAGAAAGCCTGGAAGTTTTTTAAAAGGGTATGCAGAGTTGCCAAATCATTTATCTGTAAGACTTGGTATAATTTGAGAAAATAAATCACTGAAAATGTCTTTTGGGTGTAAGATGCAAGAGGAAAGATATGGTAGCCTGAAAGTTTTTTAAAGGGGCATACAGAGTTGCCAAACTATTATTCTGTAAGACTAGGATTTTTTTTTGTACAATTTGAAAAAGTTAATCATTGGAAATGTTTTTTTGGTGGAGAATGTAAAGGGAAATATGAAAGGAGGTCGAATTCTTCTAATTTTGAAGATATTCTCACAATAAAACCTCTTAACTATTAGCAACATTTCTCATAGAGATTTCTCTAGTAGATTGGGATGATATTTTATACTAATATCTGATTGTGGACTTGTAAAAGTTGTAGGGACATTGCTGAAATACCTTTTGTTGTATCACAAGTTTTTTTTGCAGAGGTTTCTTGAACAGATATTCGTCATAAGTATTTTTGCAGTGACTAAGCCAAGGCGCCCACATGCAATATTTGATTGAAAGGTAAACACTTGACTAATCTTTTTGCAATAAGCTTTAAGGGCTTGTATGCTTGTATGGGAAATATATTTCTGATAAATGAATAATATAGTTAAACGATCGTTAAGATCTTTCTATAGAGATTAAACGATTATATTAACGAATAGAACAACTAAGAAGTTTTTTAAATACTATTCAATTATTTTTGGAAAATAAAATAGGAGCCTATTATAATTTGTTAGGGGTAAAATATAATCGATTTAAGTTCTTAACTTTCGAGGATATTCTCACAATAAAAACCGCCTACAACTTAACAACATTTCTTCCCCTTAATCCCCTGGACTTTACACGTTACTCCTGCTACTCCTTCAACTTTTTCCCCCGGCTAATTTGGCCAACTTTCAAGTCAAGATCCCACACTCCCACTCCCACGCATTGACCAGCTGTGGGATATACGAGCAGCTCTCCAGAGCCGATGGGTGGGAGGCACGGAGTAACCCAATTAACCAGCAGAAACATAAAATGACAATATCCCCAACCTCCTACCCTACCCATCCTTCCAGCACACTCGATCAACGATTTTAGTGTTAGAAAGTGGCTCACTTTCGATACACTGCACAACAAAGTCACGTTCCACGTTCCAACTCCACTTCCCCGAAAGCGAAACGCCTGGCCAAAAGGGAGAAGAGAGAGAGAGGGAGAGAGAGGAAGAGGAATGCATGTAATCGAATCTTGAAGACCGAAAAATAAACATGTTAATAATACAATTTTATGATTAATACGAACTGAACTGTAACCAGAGAGGGGGTAAAAGGGAAGAGGAGAGGGAGTGGGGACTGGGGACTGGGGAGAGAGGTAGCAAGAGTTCAACATACAAGACTCTGTTGTTGTTGTTTTTGTTGTTTGTTTCGTGTTGGAGCGCCGCGTCGTGGAAAAAAGTGCGTGGGTTGTCGTCGTACCGTCGTACCCACCGAATGATGAGGATGACGATGATGATGATGCTGGGAACTCTGAAAAACATGCAGCAGCCGACCAACCACAACCACATGTGGCAGGGCGGGAGGGGGGTAGAGATCTTGGGATGAGGCTTGGAGCTTATTTATAAATCACGCACATAATGAAATTTCAGCAAGTGGTCGCCGCTGCAGCGGCGGCTGTCCGAAATGCAGCGAAAAAATATTCAGCGTTGATGTGGGATACGATCTCTGGGTGTGCCGGCATGATATATGTAGATATCTGGATATGTCTGTGGATGGAGGGCCTGGACATAAAGCAGTGGCCTGCCTGACATGCCGTCGACATAATGATGAACAGGTCGTCGGTGGCAGCCTCCCACCAGCCAGTCCCCCCGCCCACCGCTAGCTGTGTTACGCATCAGTCTCGTGTCACAAAAGGGAGACAGGAGAGACACCAGAAATGAGGGACACTTGTAGTGCATAAGTAGCCATTAATAGGTGCCACATCTGCATATCATTTTGGGGACTAGTTTTTACGAGTATTTGGGCCCGTTTTTAAATGCCTTACAGAGCGTGCCGTTTATTTACGATCCACATTTCGGCAGAGTGCCGTGTCTGGGCATCCATCCATCCGTCCCCCCTTCGTTCATTCAGAGGATCTCGATCATGATGATGACGATGCCGATGCCGGCGCTGAGAGGAAGGCTGAACACACATTAAAACGAAAAGGGTTCACATGAATTTGGTTTAATGGCCCTCCAAAGAGAGCAACATTGTTTTGGGATTGGATTTCGGTTTAATGGCACAAAGCCCTGATGGAATTGGGGCTGCTTAAGAAAAGGGAACACCCTACTGAAAATCCCTTTAAAAGTATATAAAAAGGGAAGCAATACGTTCGAAAATAAGGGATTTCCTTAAAATCCTTGGTTTTTAGATCCCTTTTACTCTAGAATATCTTTCCAGCTCCCTTGATCTCTTGATTATCTCCCTTAAAGCCGCACGATATGACTTAAAAGTAGTTAAAGGTCAATCCAGAAACGGAACTGGTTTACCCCCCCATCAGACCCCAATGTAAGGTTTTTTTAATAAATATTTAAGACTCCACACGAGCGTATAATTAACGGCTATAATGCAGGGCCCTGGCCATAAACCAAGCGATTAAGCTCCGATATACAAACAAACCAACCAAAAACTGAATTAAGAATTCCATGGGGGGTGGGGGGGATATTTTTGCTATTTTTCTATAATTTTCTTACATATTTTTATTTGGTTTACGGCTTTCGTTTAGTGTCGTTTTGTTTTAATGAATAAATTAATTTAAATTAAGCAATAAGCCAACTAACTAGAGTATCTCTAATAGTACGCGATATTACGTCTTAAGCGTCTTAATTTTTTATTTCTGCGATATTTAGATTTGTTTTTTTTTTTTTTGTTGGCCCTTGACCAAAGCTGTACGATCGGCCACTCGCATTTTGTTGTCTCGATAACATTTGAATTTTGTGGCTAGCTAAATGCAAATACAAAAAGAATCTACGAGTATACGAAGCTGGCTGGGAGCCCTTTGTTCCAAGCCGAACAGTAGCAGATGCCATCCCATACCCCTTAAACGATCCATGTGGAGGGGCTTCGTCGTCTACTTATCCGCCGCACTGACCAGTTCAATGGAGTCGCCACAACTGAAAGTACAATTACGAGTGTTATTTAGCTTGGGATTCTGCCGATGAGTTGACATAAAATGATATGTGGCTGGAGGAATGGGATGGCTTTTTAAGTGGAGTGGCGACGAGTGGTGTGGTGTGGTGTGGAGTGGATTTCTTGTGGGTGAGCATGGATGGACTGCATGATGTAAGCCAGCATTAACCCAAATGGCCCGCGACCCTTTAAGTAGGGTTCGTATAGGCCTGTGAGAGGTGTTGCATAATTGATTGGCCTAAAAAAGGCTTTATTTTCGCTGTAGTAAAGTGCATATTGGGGTTAGGCAATTCTAGTTTTTAGTAGATGATTAGATTGATAAAAACTCCACATTCCCAGGCTTCTCATTAATTCAAAGTCTGTTCGATGTTAAGAAGACATCGGCCAGCGGAAATTAATGTCCAGATAGCAGATGGAGCAGTGAAAGCCATCACCTTGGAAAATACATGAAATTGTCAACTGCTTTTCAACCTGATTAGCTGGACTTTTAGCCAAAAGAAGGAGTGGTCAAAAGTGGGCATTGAATTCACTTTTAAAATTCAATTTAAAAAATGTAGAAATTTCCACTGAGAATTTAAACAAATTTAAACCTAAATTAAGAACAAAATTGTATAAATAATCATATGTAACTTAGAAAAAATAAAAAAAATAAAATAATAATTTACCAAATTAATTTACTAAAAAATGTGTACCTTTTAATTCATTGGAAAATGTTCCTTATTATTATTATTTTGTTGGAAAACCATGCCACTAAAGAAGTAAAGTTTAAGAATTAAAAAAAGTTGAAGAAACGTAAAAACTGGTAGAAAACTTCAACTTTGGCTTGATATATCTTCAGGTGTAGCCATAGTGTTGTAACAAATCAAAAATATTATGAAAGGTACGCCCTTTTCAACCTATTCCTGGTTTTGTGTAGAGGCGCTGTAGATGTCGTATAAAAATTATAAAAATGCGCACAGTCACCAAAACGCACTACAATATATCTGAATTATTGTTTATTTAGTTTATTTGATTATAATTCAAGTTCCAAGTATGGATCTACTTTGAGATCTAATTTGGGAATGTGCTCTACTGAAGCAGGCCTAGCATAGCTTTTGTCTCGTGAACTTCAACCTATTCAACAGTAGGTTTCCTTATACAAACAGTTAACATTACAACACAAATTGCTAGATTTTTATAGAATCAAACTACAGACGCCATGTCGTCGGAGTCGCGGGAGAAAAAGACTTTCAAGAAAGTTCGGGGCAAGCACCTGATATACAGCTACCGCCTGGTGGAGAAGTATGACCCAGAGACGAAGGAGACCTTAACGGGTATGGAACTCGGTGGAAAAAAGTTATCATCGGAACCGATTGCTCGGATGGGGGATTGTGTCTACGAGGTGGCGATAGTCGACTGCGATGGCAATGTGTCTTACACCGTTCAGTTCTTGGCCAGCACTAACGGCATGTTCACGGCCAGGCTGTCGACCAAGAAGCTGGAGGGGACTGACAACTACTACATGATGATGCAGAGCAATACGGAGCCTGAGGACACCGAGATGAAGCCAATGCTTTGGTGAAAGACTATGGATTAGTGCCGAGGAGGAGCAAAAGACCCGGTGAAGATGTACGATCCAAAGAAGAAAGAGCCCGTTTCAGCAAGAAACCGAGCAATCATCGGACCCTAACGGAGTACTTTATAATAAGTCAATAAACCATTTAGTGTTCAATTTGTTTGAGGTCTTGTTGGGTTTACTTTGGCCCATCCATTCAATTGGTTAAAGGTCCCCTTTTCTAGTTTTATATCTGCTGTCCTCTCCACAGGACCAAGAAGCCAACTCCCGGGGGCAAAGCAATGAAAGTGAGTGAGTATTGAGACCGCAAAATACATAAAACTCGAAATTTATGCCGACAACTGTGCGAAAATCGAAATTGAAAACAAAATGAGGTTGAAGCTCATCTCCAAGTCGTAAAAATATAAGATGAGGATGAGAATGGTAGAATGGTAGAGGAGGGGAGTGGCTAGATGTCTAGCAGCTGGAAACCGACATTACTTGTGGCAGATCCTGGGTGGCTCCTGGCACCTGATGGTGACAACACTGACACTGGAATCATCATTATCCCCATCGGCATCGTCGCTGGCCAGGGGTGCGGTGGCCGGCAGGGGCTGGGGCTGGGGCAGCGGCAGGGGCGGAGCAGAGGCAATGGAAAGGGCTGTGGTGTCGACGGCAGAGCCATTGGATCCGTTGCTCTTGAGGCCCACAACATGGGCCAACTTCGTTGTGGCCGCCACCGCAGCGGCCATCACAGTGCCATGTCTATTGGCCAGAGAATTGTTGTTGGCCGCAGCCGGCTTCTGCATGAGTTGATTGGAAGAGTCCAGGCGATTCGAGAGCGATGTATGCCTGTTGTTTACCGACTGAAAAGGCAGGTTAATGATAGATCGATCCTTCCAGGAGACTGAGGATGGATGGATGGATGCCTCACCACATTGTTGTTATTGTTCATGCGTCCGCGAATGTTGTAGAGCCCATAGACCAGGGGATTCATGCAGGAGTTGGTCGAGGCGAAGATGAAGAGAGCCTTGCGCACCAGAGAGTTGACCTTGTCCACCGACGTCTTGTCCAGGGAGTACCACATGCAGATGGTGTAGTACGGCGTCCAGCAGATGATGAACACAATCACAATCGAGATGGTCATCTTGAGAGTGCGCTTTTTGGCCCGACTTAAGACGTCATCGTTGGAGCGACGGAACCTCTCGGCAATCACGTCCTTGAGGACGCGCTGGCTCTTGCGGTAGATCTCCAGATAGATGGCCCCATAGCAGTAGATGAAGACGATCAATGGAAAGGCATACATGGCGCACATCGTGGCTATCTGATACAGCCAGTTGTCAAAGTCGCTCACAAACGAGTGGAATGTGACGCACTGAAAGTAGCCCCGGACCACGGGATGCTCCTCCAGATGGAAGAGAAAGGCCTGTCAGAGAAGCCAAACAGAGACGTTAATAATTGTAATGGCTACTGGGGCTACCGACTGCCTCACCTGCGGAATGCTGCAGATGACAGAGCCCATCCAGGCGCAGGCCAGCATGATGCGTCCCCGGTTGTAGGATCGTTGCAGCGGCTTCAGTATGGCATAGTATCTGGAGAGGAGAGCGGTGTGAGAGATACGATTCGATTGACACTTTGAGCCCGCCTTATCTGGCTATCAATTTGGTCCATTAGCGACAGTCAACGGAGCAGCGCTGACGCGGCAGGCCGGCAGGCAACGGGGGATATGGGACTCACCTGTCTAGCGATATGCAGACCATCACAAAGCTGGACAAGTACAGTCCGAACACGCGAAAGAAGCTCATGAGACGGCACATCAGGTCGGTGGAGCGCCATTGGACTGTCCAGGCCCACGCAATCTCCAGCGGCATCAGCAGCAACGTCACCATTAGATCGGCAATGGCCAAATGCATTAGCATGATATCAATCCGCAAGGGACCACGCAGTCGCCGCTTCGTCAGCAGATACAGCACTGTGCTGTTGCCAATTGTTGAGATCACAAAGAGTATGCTGGAATCGAAAGGAAAACCCATATAAAGAGAGGATGAACATCGAGCCGCAGGGGAAAGGGCAACGATTAAACTGGTGAGTGGAAAATTAAAGAAGTTTTCCCGCATGGGGCAAGTGGGTGTCTTCGTAGTGTGTGGATTGTGTGGGTGCTCGATAAGTAGGTCATGGATGGAACTCTGGAGCCAAGGAAAGGTAAATTGAATTTACGAAAACGAATTGTCTGCCATAAAGTTCTTGAAGATCAGTTGTAGACAATCAGAGCGAGTATCAATCACTGAAACACGTACCCATGGATGGGGATTTAGAAGTTGTGCTCCAGCATTTATAACAGTCGGTTGAACAGAAAACAAGGCAGAGATTCTAGTACATTCACTAATTGATGGAATTAATTGGTGGATACTGTGGAGTGGACTCTTTCAAGAGTGATCCACACTTTATTGTGAAATCTGAGATCAGATCTTTAAATGTTTTCCTTGGTTCCCTTGTAAAATATTTTGTAAGATCTGTAATTGATATATGAATTCACATTTAAAGGTTTTGTTTTACTTTAAAACTAGTAATTCTCATTAGTCTCCTGGTTGTCTTTAAGTGTTAATGATCTTAAGCGTATTTTCCATTGGGTTCGGTAATCTCTATTATTTTTTCACTCTAAGGAGCAGCCCTAGCGGTCACTAGAATACTCCTTAGAGTATTAGGAGCAGTATCTCTCTTTTATATAAAAAAGTTTTGTGTCATCGTCGTCCGATATTTTACTCATTTCGGCGCGAGCGAAGCGAGTGAGCCAGGGGTTGGAAAAGAGCTTGCCCCCTAGAATGATCATAATTACATCCATTTATTAAACAGATTTGTGAATATACTTTCTCATCTCTTCTGGGTGAAAAATTCTATCTTTGAGTCGTAGATCTTGCTTGTGGAATTTCAGAGGGTCAAAAACCTTTCTTATAATCGTTGATCTTAGAATCAGAGTCCCTCTAAGATTCTGCAATTTTTAAATATATTATATTTCCCTATATTTAAATTATTTAACCATACCATTTCCTGCATAATACCCCAAAGTATTATAAAACAATCAATATATTGCATGAATGTATCCGTCTTGAAACAAAATCATTAAATATTTCACTTTGCGAACCACTTTCTACGTCTTGACTAGATTTGAGGAACAGCTCTTAATCAATTTTGTGAATCTTTAGCAATTCGAAAAACGTGAACCCAAGGCTTGAACCACAGCGTTCAAATTCCAAGTGAAAATTATTAAAAATCAGACAGACAGACAGCCAGAGGAGGATGATGATTTATACTTATTTATAACGAAAATTTAAACCCATACCGGAGGCAGAGACAGCACCGACACCTACACCTACACAGAGCGATTGATGCGGCGATACGTTAAGAAAGCAACGACGAAAAAAAAAAGGTTAGAGATAGTGGAAGCCAAAGCTTATCAACGTGACTTGATGTGGAAACCGAGAGAGAATCGCATCAGAAAGATGTGGGTGGGGATCGGATCCCGATCGGAGCACTCACCTGTAGACTGTGATGGACAGACGATGGCCATCGTTGAAGATCATATCCTTGGAGAGGTGCATGGTGCCGTTGGTATTGTTCACGTTGGACCAATCCTTGAGTATGCGATGATCATAGACAACCTCATTTATTTCACCAGAATGGGCCATCTTCCCACCGATTAAGCGAACTCAATCGTATCACTTTCGCTGCTGTATTTTTGTGTGTGTTTTTTTTTATATTGTTTTTATCTTTTATTTCTGTATATTAAAAATAGAATTTGTTATTAAAGAAATGTACAACTTATCCACAAAGCCACGCGCATATAGAATGATCATTTTTCCTTTAAACTCCTTCGTTTCGGAGATGTTTTTGTATTTTATTTATTTTTAAACTATTTATTTGCATAGTTTCCACATAGTCTGCTTAGCTTCTGGCAAAAAGTGTTTATAGCAGCACAAAAACGGAATTTGTATACAGTTTTATTTATGATTTCCTGTTGGAATAAATGAAGCTATTTCCTATTCGACTGCCCTGCGGTGTGCAGGACTTGAAAGTGTTTTCCGAGCAATTCGACTCTGTTTTATGGGGGCCTGTCATTTAATTACAAAATACATTTTATTGGATTTATTTTGCGTTGCATTAATGGCGGGTACTTGACAGTCGCTCGAGATTATCAGATAATGCGAGTACCAATACGAACAGAATGCGAACTGGACTCCTGACAACTCCTCTCTCTCTCTCTCTCGCGGCACCCGAACCCGAATTGAGTTAATGTAATCGAATTCCACTCGATGCCCTACTGTGTGTGTTTTTCTTTTTGATAAGTTCAAGAACATTTGTTTTGTACTTTTTTTGTATTTATATTATGATTCTGTTTTGATCTTCGCTGTGGGGATTTGTTTGTTGCATGGAGCTCGCATGGAGCACTGTGACCTTGAACTAATTACTCGAAGCACTCCCCTGGCCGCACACAATGCGGAATTTTTTCCATTTCCAAGTGATAATAAAAAATATTCCACTTATGCTGCGTGCTCTCTGCTAGCCTGAGGACCGCGTACTACAATAATTATAATGGGAGAGCATCTCGTCTCGTTGGCTTATTAATCTGCTAATCAATTGTGCTCAATCGAACGGTGTCGCTCACTCAATTGAACAGCGGACAAATTGTTCGCCCCGGCAGTCCAATCCTTGAGTCAGAATTGGAATGGGATTCGTTCACGGTCTGTTTGTTTGGACGCGCCGCGCCGCTCCGCATTTGATGCCTTTTGAACTTGGCATTTTAATGTGCAAACACATAATTAAACAAATTTTGTAGTAATTTAAGGCAGAAAACAATTTCTATGAACTATTGGAATGTCTGAAGCAATAACCCCTGCCCCAACCCCAACACCAACACCAACGCCGACCCCAAAGTTCAACCAAATGCTGCGATTCAACTAGTTTCCACTTGGCAATAAGTAACAATTAATCGCTTTTAGTATATGTACTTATTGTAGGCGTAATCAATGATTACGAGTACGCGTACGTGCTCTATAATTTCTTTTCTTCTATATACAATTTCTTATACTATATGTATATATTTTTTTGCATTTATTTTCCTCTCATTTTGTGATTTCCGTTTTGTTCTGTGTTTTCTAAACACGCGGGCGCACCGTGTACGCTAACGACAACAAGATTTCGTACAATTTGCACTTCTTCTTTTTCTTTTGCGCACCTTTTGCAACACTGCAGATCGGCCCGCCCACACACACCACACACGCACACACCACACGCGTAGGTTTTTTTTTCGTTATCGATAGCTCATTTGGGCAGGTACGCAATTAATGGCTAATGGTACACGATTCTTCTTTCGATTGATTTCCACCGAACGGCGAGCAGGAACTGACTGAACGGGCAAGGCGGCTGCGGCTGCTGTGCCTGCCACTGCCTGCTGCCGTGAAATCGAAATCTCGACAACAACTGATAATCTAATAAAGAGAGAAGTAATACAAAAATACAAAAAAAAAGTGCGACTCGGGTGTCTTCTAGTTGGCAATCGATAACGGTAGCCAGCTTCGGGCGACCCCAATTGTCGTGTGTTTTTGTGTGTGTGAGTGCCGGCGGTCCGCCCGCATAAAATTTCACATTTCTCAATGCGCGCGCGTGTTTGTGTGTGTGTGTGTGAGTGTGTAAATTCAAAGTTCAACGCCAGGCCCGGCCCAGCCGCCTCTCAATCTGTGTCTGTCTGGCAGCCTGCCTACCGATCGCCATATGTCTCAACTTTTTGCTCATCTTTTCGGTTATCAGGCAGGGAGGCGGCTTTTTGTTCAAATAAAAGAAACACCATTAAATTGAATATTACTTTTTGGTCTTATCTGTTGTCTGGGTGGCGGCACGGCACGTCTTCACTTTGCCTCCTCCTCCGCGGTGCTGATGATACCTACTTGCGACCGCTGCGCAGTTTATCCTTTTGCCGGAGTTTTTTCAGCACTTGTGGATTCGTCGAGCAACCACTGCCATCTGCCGGTAGTCCTATGCCAAGGCTGACGACTTAACCTAAAGCGACTAAACGGGCTCCTGTTAACTGTTAAATGGCGGCGCGAGTCGCAATTGCAAAACTCGAACAAAACCATTCATTAATTCTAATGAGGGGCACCACTGTTTGGTTCAACAAAAGGATTTCATTTCAAGTTCATGTTCACGTTCAGGGCCGCTGTGGGTATGGCACCCGCTTTTGTATGCTATGAATGTGTATGGGTGTGTGTGCGTGTGCGTGCTGGTCGGCGCTATCAAGATGCACCTGGCGCACTTGATAAGATGGTCAAGTCTGTCAATTACAACGAATGTGCATGTGGCAGAAAGTACATGACAATCAGCTTTAAAAGTGCGACTTTTTGTTTAGTTTTTGAGGCAAAAACATCGATATTGGCACTGGATTTTCCGTCAGAATCAATCGTCTATCAATCAAACAATCAGTGAATTATTCCAGGCCTTCATGCATTATTTATAAATCTAATCTAACGCCATGCCCCGCTTTTTTTGTCACCCAATTCTCTTTGAAATAAGTTGACAATCACTTTGTTTTTGGTATAAAAATATATAATTATTAGTATCAAAATAGAATATGTGTAATTATCAAAATATATGTATGCTTCAATGGGTTCATAAAAAAACCAAGCGAGTCTGCAGTCAGTTCCACAAAAGTGTGTGAAGTGAGTGAAGAGCATCGACGTCGATGACGTTGACAACGACGGAGACATTAGAAGGGCCCCACAGTTGATCTGTTGGATTATAAAACATGCAGTAGTATGGTGGATATTAACTTAATAAATTGTTTCTTACCGAAAGAGCCTTTTAGTTGTTATGTTATTTGTTCGCGTGTAATTGGAAATATACAGGAGCCATTGTTGGTTTGGTTGGTTTGTGTTGCCTACAGAGACCTGTGTAGAGCCTAAGACAGAGATGCGCCTAAATAGAGTGAACTTATTACTCGAGCAGGAACTAAATGCTTTCTTACAAAACGAACCTCTTTTGTTTTCTTTTCACTGTCTTTTTTTGTTTGGTTCTGTTTGTGTTTTTTTGTTTTTAACTTTTTTCTTAAACTAGCTTAAACATAATTTCACTTTATTCTTAATCTCTAGTCAAAATTTAAACCGAATAAAACTTGGAAAATGTTGAATTTTTGTGTTGTTTGTTCCAGCATGGTACACCGAATAATACTAATAATATTTCAGTATTCTCACACGTTGACGAATTTGACAACTCGGGTTTCGTTGGGCATGGATTGCTTGTTTCTGTGTTTTTCGGGGGGAAATATATTTGATAAAATGAACAAGGTAATCGTGGAGAAACTTGTTTGTTCCCAACAACGATTTCGTCCAAATTTGAGCACTGTATCATATTGGTGCATATGCATGGATATGTCATGCATATGGTCATTTTATTCGAGCTTGAAAACTATTCACCATATTTGAATTAAATTTCCGTTGAAAATAATTTCCATCTAGCTCTTGCTCTCGGCAGGTGCCTCCGTGAGGAAAACATCTCTGTGTAGTTGTCATGTAGCAAATTTAATTGAGCTTTTCGCCCAAAAATAATGATTTTTAAGTTAAAAAAAGCTGCCTCAACAATCTGCAAACAGTATCATTCATCGTATAAAACTATGTGGGCATGGCTAAATGTGCTATATAGCTGAGAATATTCCACGGAAGATCAAAAACGAGGAATATGTAAAATATAACTTGAATTCGTCAGTATATTAACGGTGTATTTTTTAAATGAGACGGTATGTTTCGGTATATTTCTGACGGTCGTACGGTATATTTTATCGATAAGTCGATCCCTAATAACGTTGACATGTGGTCCCAAATCAAAATAGATTAAATTATAGACAAATATGCTACGAAAATCAAAGAAACAGTCACAAACAGTGGCGGATAAAGTCAACCAACTGCTGGCGCATCCCAATGGCAGCGATTCGGAGGAAGACTCGGACTTTGATGCGGCCACTGGGCCGCGCGTCGTGGATTTCGAGCAAGACGAATACGATCTGCCCGATGGCCGGAGCACGGACATACGCAAGCGGAATGTGAAGCTGCTGTCGGAGCAGAGTGAGCGCTACAAGGGAAAGATCAGCAGTCGGAAGGAACTGGAGGCGGTGGAGGAGGATGACCAGAGCGAGGAGGATGTGCCCTATGAAGACAGCGATAGCGATGAAGAGAATGATGCTTTGGCTGCCTTTAATCAGAAATTGAAAGCGAAAACTGGAAAATTAGCTAAAGACGATGATAACGATGATGGTGAAAGTGATGGAGAGGATGATGATGATAATGAAGATGCACTGTCCTCCTTTAATCAGAAGCTTAGATCTGGAACCGAAGAAGCAGTGGATAGTGCAGAAGAGGATGATGAAGATTTCGACGACGAGGAGGACGACGATGATGAAGACGACGATGTAGATGATGACGACGAAGACGAAGACGATGAAGAGGCTGATGATAGCATCAAACCCTCTGATGTCATGTCCAAATCGAATCCGCAAGCTGAAATCCAAAAAGGTCTCTGCGTCCAGAACCAACTGCGCATCTGGGAACGTCTCCTCGAGCTGCGTATCAACACGCAAAAGGTCACCAGCAAAGCGAATCAGCTTCCTCCGCCCGAGACCCTAAAAACCGTTGGCTCCGAAAACGAGGAACTCCAGTCGGTGCTGAGCGAGGCCCGGGAACGCTCCTCGAAACTCCTGCAGCAACTGCTGGCCCTCCAATCGGCGCTCATTCAACAGAACTCGGAGACAAGGATATCGGTCAAGCGAAAGACAGTGTCATCGGAGGACACAGAACCACCATTGAAGGTCTTTGCGAATGTCCTGCAAAGCAACTTCGAGAACATGTCGGGCTACCGCAATGAAGTGTTGCTCAAGTGGGACGATCGCACGAAACTCTTGACGCCAGGAGCGGGTCTGAAGCGAAAGTCGCTGCAGGAGGACTACGACATCATCAAGAAGATCGACAGTGCGTTGGCCAATCGTGAGGCACTTGTTGAGAAATCCCAGACGCTGAAGAGCAACATCCAGCCAGAGAAGCAGCAGCAAGAAAATGAACCACCGCAGCGGCAGGCCCATGTCTACGACGACAGCGACTTCTACCATCAGCAACTGCGCGAATTGATTGAATACAAGGCCAGCACCTCATCGAACATGAGTGAGATCACCAAACAGTTCGTGGAGCTGCAGAAGTTGCGTCAGAAGATGAAGAAAAAGGTGGACACCAGAGCCAGCAAAGGGCGCAAGTTGCGGTGAGTAATTGAAGCCAATAGAGAGTTGAAACCTCTACTAATCACCCTGCTATTCTTGCAGCTATGTGGTGCACAATAAGCTCACAAATTTCATGGCTCCGAACGAGGCTAGCGAGTGGACGGAAAGCTCCAAGTCCGAGCTGTATAAATCGTTGTTTGTCTAGAAAAATATGTGTAAATTTTCTATAGATTCTACAAATTCTTTCCATTTAAAAGAAAAGCAATCAAAAACTTTGCTCTACGCTGGATAAGAAATAACACGGCCTCACCGAGAAACAAAGTAATCTTCAATATAACAGGGGAAAATGTTCTCGTTTTCTGCAATAGCGAAACCGAACAAACAAACCTGTATGAAATATTTGTATACAAATTAAATATCTAGGAATAAAACTTGTACAAACTCGTTGAGTCAGTTTTTAGATAAATAAGAACGTGGGCATTTCCAGGCATAGTGTATTAAAATGGTATCGTGTGCACTACGACATATATGTAGGAGCTATAATTTTACACTCATCTGAACTCTAAAGCTCTTCTACGCTGTGAAAATGTACTCTCTTTTCCTAGGAATGTCCTCAGAATTCATTATGCCAAGAGATTCCTGAGAGACTTCCAACTCCACAGATGGCTGTATCTATGCAGGTCAATAAACCACTTCACTTCTTAAAAGTTTATCATAAAGCGGAGAAATATAAAACTTGGAAATAAGACGGAAGCTCTTGATTTGTCAATTACAACGAACGTGCATGTGACAGAAAGTACATGACAATCAGCTTTAAAAGTGCGACATTTGGTTTAGTTTTTGAAGCAAAAACATGGATTTTGGATATGGATATTGCGTCAGAATTAATCATCTATCAATAGTGAAGTATTCCAGGCCTTCATGCATTATTTATAAATCTAATCTAACGCCATGCCCCGCTTTTTTGTCACCCAATTCTCTTTGAAATAAGTTGACAATCCCTTTGTTTTTGGTATAAAAATATATAATTATTAGTATCAAAATAGAATATGTGTAATTATCAAAATATATGTATGCTTCAATGGGTTCATAAAAAAACCAAGCGAGTCTGCGGTCAGTTCCACAAAAGTGTGTGAAGTGAGTGAAGAGCATCGACGTCGATGACGTTGACAACGACGGAGACATTAGAAGGGCCCCACAGTTGATCTGTTGGATTATAATACATGCAGTAGTATGGTGGATATTAACTTAATTAATTGTTTCTTACCGAAAGAGCCTTTTAGTTGTTATGTTATTTGTTCGCGTGTAATTGGAAATATACAGGAGCCATTGTTGGTTTGGTTGGTTTGTGTTGCCTACAGAGACCTGTGTAGAGCCTAAGACAGAGATGCGCCTAAATAGAGTGAACTTATTACTCGAGCAGGAACTAAATGCTTTCTTACAAAACGAACCTCTTTTGTTTTCTTTTCACTGTCTTTTTTTGTTTGGTTCTGTTTGTGTTTTTTTGTTTTTCACTTTTTTCTTAAACTAGCTTAAACATAATTTCACTTTATTCTTAATCTCTAGTTAAAATTTAAACCGAATAAAACTTGGAAAATGTAGAATTTTTGTGTTGTTTGTTCCAGCATGGTACACCGAATAATACTAATAATATTTCAGTATTCTCACACGTTGACGAATTTGACAACTCGGGTTTCGTTGGGCATGGATTGCTTGTTTCTGTGTTTTTCGGGGGGAAATATATTTGATAAAATGAACAAGGTAATCGTGGAGAAACTTGTTTGCCAACAACGATTTCGTCCAAATTTGAGCACTGTATCACTGTAGCACTGTATTGAAAACTAATCACTAAATTCCATTAAAAAATAGCCATTTCCCAACGCCAAATATTTTCCCCACGTAAATTCTTGATAAATCGCGGTCCATCGAGGGTATTTTTCACGATTTTAGGAGCATTTACCAATACGGCTAAAGGTTGGACTTTGCTGTAACCCCTTAGCTCGTCCTCGAAGATTACAATTATGAAAGTGTCTCAGTAGCAGAGAAAATGAGCCATAAATATCTAATACCAAATCATACCAAAACAATGCCTGTTTCTTTCTGGCTTTCTTCGGCAGGTGCCAAGCCCCCAAAATCCATCTATAAAAAAGAGAAACCACTTTGATTGAATTTGAGTTTTATTTATTTCATATATTTATGTATATTTCCGCATTTCGTTTGCCTTTTATTATTTAACTGCTAAATTGTTTGTATGTTCAACATTTTCATTTTCATTTTTCGTTTTCGTTATTTTGTATTATTTGCTTGTCAACTGGGATAGATTATGCGTGCAGCAAAATGCTGCATGGCATAACAAGTGTGGCTTGAATATAACCGCAAATGTACAAACTGTACCGCTTCATAACCGTTTCGTTTAGTGGGTTCCGTTTTTAGTGGGCGTGGTGTGGTGTGGTGTGGCTGTGTAAGGAGGATTATTTTTTATATTTTATTATGTACTATTTTGTTGCTGGCTTTTTTCCGAGTTAGCATTTATATTTATATAATTTGTTAATATATTAAACTAGTTTTCCACATGACTCTTGACTTGGTATTCGTTTAAATTACTTTGCTAGGTGTTTTTTTGTTCGTTTATTTGCTGAGACTTTGTGTCTCCCGCGTTCATTCATTTATAAAATTCTCTTTACTTTTCATAGACCATAAATGGTTTCCGTTTTTTCGCCTTCTTTTAGTATGTTTCGTCGTCTAAGTCATTGTTTAGTTATACATACGTTAAATTCATATATTTTTATATATATAGTAGTATTATGTATAATTTTAGTGGAAATTATCAGTATAAATTGCAATAAATTGATGATTGGAGGGGTGTTTCGAATACAGTTTAAAATACACAAAAAATACAATAAATAAATATTTAAATAGGGTTTTGCCTAGCGTTTTTCGAAAATACAATACAAAGTTTTGTCTAAAAATACTACATATAAAAAAAACACGAATACATTTTTCGAGCACATTTACAAAATAAAATGCCAGTCGCTTTGTTCGATAGAATTTCTTTGGGAAATGAGTTTGGGTTTTGGGCAGATGTTTTCATTGTCAAGCTCTCATTAAAAATTAATTAACAATTAGCTGAAAGTGTGTAGAGCACATACATACATACATACATATAATATCATTGTTGTTTATATATTGCATAAATACGAGTATTGCACTGGGAATATTCGCGCACGAGAATTGAATCAAATTTCTTTTAAAAAAGTTGAGACGATTCGAAAATACTGGGGTTGGGGGTGGGTTGGGGTGTGGGGGGCACAAAAAATACGCTATACATACAAATGACGAAATCCAAGCCCACAACGATTTGAGTGGCGGGGCATGGGGGTTACAAATACATAAAGGGGGGTGCGTGCCTTGTTTCCGTTTTGACGTTTTTCTCGCCTTTCTTTTTGTATACAAACTACCAATATATAAAGATTACAAAAATGCCGCCTGACTACATAATTTCTTCTTTCTCCTTCCTTCCTTCCTTCCGTTCGCTTCGATTTTCTCTAATTGTTAATGGAATTTTTCAGCAACAGGGGCAGCCCGGTTTTAGTTTTTGATTTCGATACGAGTATTGTGGCAGTTTTTGCCCCCCCACCAGAGGCGGCTTCGGCAGCCTCCGCAGCGGCAGCGGCGGCGACAGCTGCTTCACTGGCGGCCACGGAGCTGCTGCTGCGGCGTCGCGGTGCCGCCTGTCGTTGGTGCAGCTCCTGCAGCAATGCCGAGTGCTTGTCGAGGGCTTTCAGCTGTGCCGTGTTCTGGGTCTCGTACAGCGACGACTGCAGCTGGGTGTGGATCGAGGTGACATTCGAGAGCGTGCTCTCGGCCTCGGCCATAAGAAAATTGCTTAGATAACGTTTACTAGTTGTGGTTGCTGATGTAGTGGTGGTGGTGGTGGTCGATGATGTCGTTGTAGTTTTGCTTGCCATTGTCTGTTCCTGCGCTGAAACCTATGGAATGCACTTTATAGATAACGAATTACTGAAAGATCTTCGGGCAAACCTTTCTTTTAACCCCCGACTCTGTGTCTCAAGTGCACTTGGCGGGATGTATGACATTTTCCATATCCTTTTGCACGGCATACAGCTCCGACAGCTGCTTGGCAAACAACACATTCAGTTCGCTCAGTTTTGCCAGCTGCAACAAAAGATGTTTATAGTATGCTCTTCGATGATATTCCACTTGCACTTACAGTCTGATCATTGCACTTTTCCCTTAGGGTTAGATTCACCGTCTTAAGCTCTAGTTCCTGCTGCAGCAGCTCGGCCTGCTGTTGCTCCGTGCGCGCCTTCAATGCAGCCACTTCGCGACGCAGCTCATCTTCTGTGGCTCCCCCAGCAGCTGCAGCAGCCGCAGCTCCAGCACCACCGCCCACACGCATCAGATCCATTTCACGCTTTAGACGTATATTCTCCTCCTTGTAGGTGTGCAATTGACGCTTCCATTCGTCCACATTGGCTGTAGATTCCTAAAGAGGAGAGAGAGAAAGGTTTCAGTGTGGGACATGGTTTAATTGAACTGAGATATCACCTGCAATGCACTGGTCAGGCGTACGTTGTTGTTCTTTAAGGTCGCCAGCTCGATTTCCCATTTCTTGGCATTGGCACAGCTACAGAAAACAAGAATACTTTAAGGATCCCCAGGATAATCCGCTGCCATGCCTCACCTTTGTGCCAGTGCCATTTTCAGGCGTTCGTTCTCGTATTTCAGCTGCTGCTCGGCTGTGGCGCCCGCTCCGGGTCCCGTATGCATACCCACAATGCTGCCGCCCGAGGAGATGGTCACACCACCGCCACCGCCGCCGCCTCTTAAATCGCCTGCTCCTACGTTAGTGGGCTGTGGTGAGGGCGTGGCCGAGCCAATATCCGGCTTGCCGTCACTGGTGTTCAGCAGCTTGTGGGAGGGACTGTCCGGGTTGGCGTTCTGTGTGTTTGTATTGCTCATATTTGGCGGCTCCACGGTGTGCGGATCGATGGCAGTATTATCGTTTTGCATGGCCCCAATGGCCCTTCCGGAAATGGGCGAAGTATTGGCCGATGTGGTGGGCGTGACCGCATTCGAGCCGTTTGCCGATTTCATGGCATTCTTGGTGGCCTCCTTAACCTCCTGGAATTTCTCAACAAACTGAAACGGGAAAAAAGAGGGAACCCTTAAGATGGGGGAAACTACAGCCAATCGAGCAGTACCTTTGTTAGCTCTGCCTCGGAGGCAAAGCCCAGGCCATACACCGTATTTGCACGCACATCGCTCCACTGGCCAAACTTCTGGGAGGTCTGTGTGAATGTCATGTTCGGGGTGATGGTGGAGTTGATCACCGCCTTGGTGCCCTCGACGCTTATGATGCGATACAGATTCCGTGAGCTATCATAAAAGAAGCTCACATTCACGGCCTTCATGCTGGCTGTGATCCAGGTGCGTTTCGTCTTGGGATCAATATGGAAAACATGCGCCTGGCAGGTGAAAATCGGTTGCTCGCTGTGGAATATATAGAAAAAAAGAAAGAGAGGGAGAAGAAGTGTGGGTGGGTTCGGCACACAGGTGTGATTAAATTAAAAATTCCATTTTATAACCCCCCTCCCACGCCACTAATTAATATTTAATGCGTATCCTTATCTATTACCAAGACGCTGACATTGCTGCTGTTGGATGCGTATTCCGTGCGTTGCGTCGTCGCGTTCTTTTCTCTTCCTGTTCTGTTTGCGTGGGCGACGGGCGACGGGCGACTGGCGACGAACCGACGACTAAATTGCATTATATGCTTAAGCCCTTTGCCTTTGGCCCCGCAGCCTTGCCTTTGATTCCCGTCTCAAGCACACATCACACACTCTTCTCTTCTATACACATATATAATTGGACAGCCCACCTACTATTACACACCGCACACACATATTTATATATATACATCTACAATCTGTACGTACGTATATATACGCCGCCCGCTACACACCATGGAAATGTCAGCGACACCACCGACGGCGTCGATTTTTCCCACACAATTTTCAATATTTCACCCACAATTACACTCGAAACAGGCCTTACCCCATGGTATTTGTATGCTTTAGCGCTTTGCTGGCTCGTTTGGCAACGAATTAACTTTGGCCCAGGTGTTTATCCGTGTTAATTTGTTGTTACAAAATTCCGTGTTAATTTGTTGTTACCAGTGTGACCAGTGTGACCGACCTAAGAAATATACCGAAATATACCGTCTCATTTAAAAAATATACCGTAAATATACTGACAAATTCAAGTTCTATTTTACATATTCCTCGCTTTTGATATTCCGTGGAATATTACTAGCTGTATAGAACATTTAGCCATGCCCACATAATTTTATCCGATTAGTGAATCTATATTCTAATTGACTGGTTTCTTTTAAACTCTTGCTTTTATTGGATTTCTATATACAGTTGAAAATGAAATTTAATGGGTTGACGAAATCGACAAAATATACCATTAGATACCGATATACCGATATACATTATATAAATATACCGTCGGTTCAATTTTTACCTCTAATAATACCGAAAAGTATTAAAAATACCAGAAACGGTCACACTTGTTCAATCAAATATACCGATAAAAATCGTGCTTAGCCCACTGAAGCCCCTGAAATATAGCTACTCCTGTAGTTCCTTTCCAACGTTTACTTCTGCTTAAAAAAAGAGTTCCATTACACAAGCTGTTTTGCGCAAATAAGGTTGCTACCGATTCAAGACCCGATTCCAAGAGAGCCTTAAAAATCCTTTCTATCCTGCATATTTTCTGGGCTTTATTAATTTTTAGCTTAAATATTTTCGTCTATAGATATTTTTGCATAACTTTTCGAATTTAGCTTATATTTACTCTTAAATTTCAGTGAATCTAAAAAGTGTTTTGCAATTCAAATTTAGACCAGCGAATACGTCGAAAATGTTGCCCAGTCGGTACGTGTCTATTTGTTAACGGTTCAATTTCAAATTCAAATGTTTCCAGCATAAATGTTGCTGTACGATGCTGCCAGATAGCGAGGTAAGTTCGTATTTGCCATTTTTTCGTTCTCCGTTTATGGTCACATCTTTTTCACCGAAGTGGTAACACCGCGAGTTTTGGTTTTTTTCGCACACGATAAAAGTCGGAAATTATTGTAGTTTTGAAGGAATTGCAAAAAGAATAGAGCCCCAGGACATATGCAAAGGCTAGACAGCGGCAAAAGGTGTTGTTGCTGCTGCTGCCCTGCCGCCTCGCGATCGATTGGGGTACGTTTTGCAGCGAAGGAGCACCGTAGCGGAGGGGAGAGTTTTTTCTTGCCTCTTTTTTCACTCTTCGTTTCCCCTTTTCCCCCTTCCGTTTGGTTTTTTTTTTTTTTTTTTGCATAAAAGCCGTCCTCCATATACGAGTTGTAAAGGTGAAAAGGCGTTTCGGCCAAGTTATAGACCAGCTGTTGGTTTTAATGAATGGAATGAAGTGTGTTTCAGTTAATTGTAGTTATAAAATGCTTGAGAGCGACACACCTATGATAAAAAATATGTCACTTGTGCGAAAGAGACGTGTGCGTGCCGTGCTCCTGTGTATGTGTGTGTATATGCTGTGCATGCCAGTGTGTGCGTGGGTGACTCTGAGCGTGTGGTCGAGTGTGCGTGTGTGTGTGTGTAGAAAAACTTGTTATCAATGCGGCGCCTATGATAAAATAAAAGTCTCATTAGACATGTTTCTCCGACCGAAATTCCGATTGGAATTTTGGTATTCCCCTCTCTCAACGCTCCTCTCTCTCTCCATCTCTTGCTCTGTGTAGTGTTGCATGCCTATGTGTGTGTTGCGGCGTGCTCTGGCGTGCCCCAAGTAAATAATGTGGAACATGATGTGCGACGTAATGCCCACGATTTCGGAGGACAGCATATCGCAGCGCTCTTCGCAGTTCAGCGGCGAGGATGCGAATTTCGAGCAGCTGATGGTCTCCATGCTCGATGAGCGGGACAAGCTGATGGACAGCCTGCGTGAGGCGCAGGAGCGGCTGGGCGAGACGGAAGGGAAGCTGCGCGATGTGGAAAAGGAGCGTGATAGTCTCCAGCGTCAAATCAATGCCAATCTGCCGCAGGTAAGTGGAGTGCAGTGGAGCCTCCCAAATGAAAGGATATACTAATAGCGGAATGGTTCCTTTTTGCTTTTTAGGAGTTTGCCACACTCACCAAGGAGCTGACACAGGCACGCGAGACCCTGTTGGAGCGCGACGAGGAGATTGGCGAACTCAAGGCGGAACGCAATAACACCAGGGTAAGAAGCTTTGGGGATTCCACCCCCCGCCGTGAAGTGCATCCCAAATCCCAATCCATTGCTAAATGTGGGTCTCTCTTTCCCGCAGCTTCTACTGGAGCATCTGGAGTGCCTGGTGTCCCGGCATGAGCGCTCCCTCCGCATGACAGTGGTGAAGCGTCAGGCTGCTGCCCAGAGTGGCGTCTCCAGCGAAGTGGAAGTGCTCAAAGCCCTGAAGTCCCTGTTCGAGCACCACAAGGCGCTGGACGAGAAGGTGCGCGAGCGGCTGCGCCTCTCCATCGAAAAGAACAATGTGCTGGAGGAGGAGCTGAATTCAACCAAAGAGGAGCTGACGCAGTACAAGGCGGGCGGCACGGGTGCGGGACCAGGGAGTGGCTCCGTTCCAGGTGGAGGCACTGAGAATGGCCTGAAAGAGAAGGTGCGTACGCAGCTGCAATCAACCGTGTCGGCTAGAGCCCGGTACTAAAATCTTTTCTCGTTTCTGTTTTTCGGTAGATGGCGGGCGGAGGCGTGGGCGGAGCTGGCGGCGGCGTCAATGGGGACGCCAATGAGCTCAACGATTATGCGGCCAAAACCCACGAGCTGCAGACGATCATCGAGAAGCAGGTGAGAGGCGGCAGGCAGCCACACACAGCATCTGTCGAACATGTGTTACCATTCCCCCTGCCCTTCCCTCCCATTTCACAGACCTCCGAACTGTCGCAATGGCAGCGACGTGTCTCCGATTTGAACAACAAAATCAGCGAACTGGAGGAGAATATGTCGCGGGTGCAGAAGGACCACTGCAAGGCGCAGGATCAGTGCTCCAAGCTGCAGCGTGATCTGCGCGAGAATGTGGCCCAAAAGGAGGACCAGGAGGAGCGCATAACCACGCTGGAGAAGCGCTATGTGAACGCGCAGCGCGAGTCCACGTCGCTGCATGATCTGAACGAGAAATTGGAGCAGGAACTAAGGCACAAGGAGGCGCAGCTAAAGGTGGGTACACCCGAACATTTGCACCTGGGCTATGGGCTATGGGTTATCACGGGTTCCCGCCTCTCAAATGTAACTAATAAAACTGCATCTAATCGAAACCCAACCACGTTATTGCTACCCCCCTCAACAAACAAAACACAACACAAAAAAAAACGCGCGCACGCACGCAAAATACCGAAAAACCGAACAGCTGCACGAGGAAAAGATCGGAGCCATTGAGGAGAAACTGGAGCTATCCGAACAGAAGCTTGCCCAACATGCCAAACTTCAGCCCGACATGGAAGAGCAGCTGAAGGCGCGCATGGAGGCGTTGACTAAGGTAGGAAATAAGGTATGCACTCGACAAACTAATATGCGCGCCATGGCCAGGTTCCCATATATGTACGATGACCAAGTATCAGTCAAATTCAATTCAAATTATATGTTCTATGTACTTTATATAGCTCTTTCTTTTTGTACACAAAACAAGAACAAACTCTCTATCTATCTATCTATCTGACTGTCTCTCTCTGTATCTATGTATCCTTTAAATGCACACGAAAATGAACTCTCTTCCGTTTCCTATTCCGTACCAAAATCAGACAAAAACTAAACCTCACTTTTAGCTTTTCATTCCATGCACAATTTTCTACTAATTTCTTTTTAATTTTCGTTACAACATTTATGGCTTGTGGAATGTGATTTACTAAACATTTTCTTTGGCTCCGAAAACAAAAACCAAACCGCTTTCAGGCTCAAGAGAGACATGGATCGGCGGAGGATCGTATACGGGGACTGGAAACGAATCTGGATGAGAAGACCACGGAGGTTGTAAGACTGAACCAGCGTCTCAAGATGAACGAGGAGCACAATCTGCGTCTGTCCTCGACGGTGGACAAGCTGCTGTCCGAGTCCAACGAGCGGCTGCAGGTACATCTGAAGGAGCGCATGCACGCCCTGGACGAGAAGAACGCCCTGACGCAGGAGCTGGAGAAGGCGCGCAAGGTGGCCGAAGAGCTGCACCATGAGAAGAGCGAGATCATGAAGGAGCTCTCCAAGACGCGCCTGGAGATTGAGAACTTTAAGCGGCAGCTGCTGCAGCAGGAGATCGCCTACAATATCCAGCAGACGGAGGCCCTCACCCGGAGCCTGTCGCCCAGCAGCGTGGTCGATGGCAGCGGACAGTTCTCGCGGAGTGCCTCGCACGCCAGCTTCGAGACGCACTCGCTGCGGCGCCAGAAACAGTCGCGGCTGACGGAGGAGAACGCCCTGGCCCGGTCCATGGCCGAGCAGGAGTGGGAGAAGCTGCAGCAGGCGGCGCACGCCCACCAGCAGGCCTACGAGCTGGTGACCAGTGCCCAGGACTGTGACGACGCCGATGTCCTGTATGCGGCCGCGTCGGCGGACATGATGTCGCCATCGGGACACACGGACGCCCAGACGCTGGCCATGATGCTGCAAGAGCAGCTGGATGCCATCAACAATGAGATACGGCTGATCCAGGAGGAGAAGCAATCGACGGAGGCGCGAGCCGAGGAGCTGGAATCGCGGGTCGGCAGCCTGGAGCATGTGAATCTGTTGGCCCGCGGACGATCCATGGACCGTCAGAGTCCGGAAATGAGTGGGAGGAGCACTCCGAATAGCCCTCAAAGGGATTTCATGCAGAAATATCATACGGTAAGGTATCCCTACTCGATTCTGGAGTCCCCATTTGAACGATTCTTTCCTTCAGCTCAACTTGCCCGTGCTGTCCAGCGATGCCTCACGCGAGGAACTCCATGGGGGGATGTCCACCACTGGCGATTCGAGCTCTGGCGGCGCTGCATCACCATTGACGGCCCGTTCGATGCGCTTGGAGCGTGTGGCGCAGGCCCTGGCCCACAGTCAGGAGGAGCTGCGTCGTCGCTCGATTGGATTGAACCCGAATGCGCCCGTTTCCCAGAACCACAACCACATGGCCATGAGCACTCACGGCAGCTACGGCCTGTCGCCTCTGAGCTCGCGCTACGGCAGTCAGGAGTCGCTCCGCCACTACAACACCATGGGCTCCATGTCCATGCTGCAGACACCCACCTCGGGTGTGTCCAGAGAGGCCGCCGCTGCGGCGGTGCAAAAGAAAAAGGGCATCAAGTCCTCGCTGGGGCGTTTCTTTAGCAAAAAGGAAAAGGTCAAGGGCGTCAAGGACACGCTGCCCGATGGCTCGCCCAGCATGATGTCCATCGGCAATCTGTCGATCGGCCTGAGCGAAGTGGACTCCAACTACGATGCCATGAGCATGACGGGAGGCATGATGCCGCGGATTGCCAGTGCGCAGGGATCAAAGATCAGCAGCGTCGACTACGGCAGGCAGAAAAAGTAAGGACTACAACAATTGTTGAAGATCTTTGCATAATAATCCCGTTTCTTTCGCAGAGAGCACGACTATCGCAACGATTTGTTGGGTGAGGCCATGAAGGCGGGCACACCGTTTGCCCTGTGGAATGGTCCCACAATTGTGGCCTGGCTAGAGCTTTGGGTGGGCATGCCCGCCTGGTATGTGGCCGCCTGTCGCGCCAATGTCAAATCGGGTGCCATTATGAGTGCCCTCAGCGATACGGAAATACAGCGGGAGATTGGTAAGGCACTAGCCTCCATCCTCCCACCAATCATTGCTTTAATTGTTGTGTCTCTTGCGTTTAGGCATTAGCAATCCTCTGCACAGGCTCAAATTGCGTTTGGCCATACAGGAAATGGTTTCACTGACCTCTCCCTCGGCGCCACAAACCTCCAGAACCACATTGGCATTTGGTAAGCCCTCCTAAAGAGTCTCCAGATGATGGCTAATCTCTGTTTTTTCATCTAGGCGACATGAATCACGAGTGGATTGGCAACTACTGGCTGCCCGGACTGGGTCTGCCGCAATATCGCACAACATTTATGGAGTGTCTAGTGGATGCCCGCATGCTGGACCATCTGACCAAAAAGGACTTGCGCGGCCAGCTGAAAATGGTGGACAGCTTTCATCGCACCAGCCTACAGTATGGCATCTCAATGCTCAAGCGCTTGAATTACGATCGCACCGAACTGGAGCACAGGCGAAAGATGAGCGAGAATGGACTGTGCGATGTGCTGGTGTGGAGCAATGAACGCGTCATACGCTGGGTGGGCAGCATAGGACTTAAAGTAAGGGCAGAGGAGTGCAAAGAGTCGAAGGGGGATTTAACATTTGGTTTCTTTGATAGGAATATGCCAACAATCTGCTCGAATCGGGTGTGCATGGGGCACTGATGGCCCTGGATGAGGGCTTCGATGCCACTGCCATGGGACTGGCCCTACAGATACCCACACAAAATGCTCAGGTGAGTGGACACTTGACTCCTTTTAAGGAAACCCTAAGGATTACCGAATGTCATATCGTTTTTAGGCTCGCCAAATACTCGATACGGAGTTCAATAATCTACTGCAAATAGCCACAGATCGGAGGCCGGAGAACGAGCAGCGAAGCGCATCCTGATGCAGCTACAGTCCGCCCACAACATCGGTGGATGAGTAATTCAGCGAAAGCAGACCCAAGCAGGCACTACAAAAAAAGACCAGGGGCAAAAGACCTTTTTCCTAAGCCAGAACTAGAAATGAGAGACAGATATGAAATGTTAGCATCAACTAAAAGCCACAAAAAAAATTCTAACAAGAAAGACGCAACGCAAGAGACTCCCCCGCAGCATGATGCACGTCTAATCCATATATATATATATCTATATATATATATATACATATATAAATACACGCATAGTCATACATATACGTATATATATCCATAAAATCAACAACAACAACAAGACAATGTATACAAGACATAGCACATACTCTATATAGGAAATATTGTACGAGATCAAGTTCGTTCGGTTCGGTTCGGCCCGGGATTTTGCAGTGGACTGCCGCTGCCGTGTACAAGTTTTAGAAGCTAAACAGTTTATAATTATTATATTTTTTACCAAGTGACATATATAATTTACACACACATATATTGTATATATATATAAACGATATAGTGTAATTGGGCTTGCAATAGACTAACAGTATTTTGTTTTATATAGCTATGATTGTTCAGAGATCGGACAGAGAGACAGGCGTGCTTCGAACCAAATTCGTAACCAAACATTGTTTGTTATATAATTTTTATGGCATTTTTTTGTACAGTTTTTTATTTATAATTCATTTAAAGTACAGTTTCTTTTGTATTAATTTTTTTTATGTACATCGTAAAAACTGAAAGAACAACATGCACAACAATCAGGCATACATATATAGTAAATCGCTGCATATATATATATATATATATACGATACACAAACACATATATAAAGCTCACTTCTATAAACAGTAAATATATATATATATATATATATATATATATATAGAATATATTATCAAGCATACGTGTAACTAACAAAAGAAAGTATTAAAAGAGGGAGGAAAGTGGAAGTGGAAGATGTGGATCGAATAAGTCGCAAGCGCCCATTGAAAAATCAACTATTTACACACAATCTTATATATTGTATACATACATACGAGATGAATCCAGTAATCGAACAAGCTTTAAGGGCAAACTAAACCTAAAACTAAACATAAACCTAAAACTAAAAACCTAAAAACCTAAAACGTAAAAACCTATAAAAAACTTAACTCTTAGCCTGTGCTTAAACTTTCTCTTAACTCGAGCATCATACAATTATTTGGCATCTTTAAATAATTCGTACGAATAATATTCAAAACACAATCTAAAAGCATATCCATTGTTTTTCAAAACAAACCCCCAAAAAAATCCCCTTTCCATTTTCTAAGTTGTTACGTTTAAGGTCTGTTCTGTTCGGAAACCCTCTAATTAAGTTATTTTCTGATGTACTTATTTGTGCAGATCTACATTTAAAGCACACAAACTGCCTGCATGTCCATGCATGCTCCATGCCCCATGCCCCATGCCCCGTACATACTGCTTCAGTTGTTGGATGTTTCTGTTCTGTGCATTACGTATTTTTAAGTTCTAACCAAAATCGTAACTAACGCTTGTCTTTAAGTTGAAAACCAATATGTACGTATGATTAAAAGAGGTATAAACATTTAAATTTAGTTGTACGACAAGTATAAATATCTAACTATAACAAATACTAACAAGACAAGAAGCATACTTAATGAAATTATTTCAAACGTATTAGCAAAATTAATAACAACATAAAAACCATGCGTAAAAGAACTTCTAAACAAGGGCAAAACTTATTTATGTATGTAAGCGACGGTAGCATTAAAGCAAATATTTATGATGTGTAACCCTAAATTTACTAAATACGAGTACTAATGCAAGATCTAAGTTAATTTAAACGGAGGACGGATCCATCGAGGGCGGATCGAGTATCGATTGATTGGTTTAATTGTTGACTTTTTGTTGAATAATCCGCGAAAAGAAGATCTAAAGTAACTAAAGTAAAAATAATGACACTAAAAATATATAAATTGATGATTACACGCAGCATATGTAAATACTATTATATATTTCAAAAATAATATTGTGAAAAGCATGGAAAGCGGAAATGGAAAAACAATACTAACAATTTAGTAAAGGCGTAAAATTCCGATTTAGGAGTTTTTTATATGTACCATATATATTTGAAAAGATGAGAAAAAAAACAAGCAAACCAACAAAAAGCAAAACAAAAACACACACAAAAGCAAAAACAAAATGAAGAAAATATAACTATAAATTAAAATTTATTACAAAAAAAAAAGATAATAACCAAAACAAATGGTTTCATTCGTTGAGGAACCAACGAGGGATCTTCTATGAATGATCAGTGATCGGCGCATTGGAGCTGTTTTCCGTACGTATACTTTTTAAATTATTTTAGGGGTTTGGTAGACTTTGAGATCGGTGCTTATTGGCCCATGGGAAGGCTATTGAAGTACATTGGAGTACAACTACTGTACTATTTATAAAGACACTAGCTGTAGCCTATCACGTTTCGGATAAGAAATGAGGAGCCAAACAAAGAAAACCTTTCATTTAAGTTTAGTTTTGCAATACTTGTGGGTTTCCCGCTACCGCCAGATCAATCTTCAATTGATCTTCTACGGTTTCTGCCCTTGCAGAACTCCCACCATATCCCCCCATATATAGCCCATAACCATCTTGGGACTGCATTTTTTGATTTCTCAAAACTTAAGCTCAATCAGGTCAGAGCTTTTCAAGTTTTTAAGTCATCCACAAACCAATAGACCCTTTTTATACATACTATAGATTGTAGATGGCTAGACTTGGCAGAGAATGGATCCAAATTGGATGAACATGATCAGACGTCTTTCATAGAAAACCTACCACTGCAAGGGGGTTATCCAATGCTTTGGCAACCAAAGCTATTCTTCCTTTTCTTCGAACTTCGACAGGGGCAACCTTCGATTCCAGTGCCTCTCCAGTTTTACTCACTTGATTTTATCACGACTATAGTTTTTAATTTTTGGTCTCAAATTCGCTTTTTGTATGATAGGAAATGTTTTTTATGTCAATAAAGATTTTTCGTCTGTGAATGAGCCACTGTTCGAAATTGTTTGGCTTCAGCTTCAAAATTCCTCGTTAATTTGGAGCCGGCGGACCAGCTGCTTTGGCAACGAACACACACCGCTCACAGAGGACACGGATTATCCTACAGACCACCAGACTTCCTAGCACCTAGCACCTAGCACCTCAATCGTTGCCATAAGCACACAGCCCGACACTGCCGCTGCCACTGCCACTGCCACTGCCCCAAGGACCTCTTCCAGCAGCATGACCAGCAGCCAGCCTATGCAGAGTGGGGCAGCCACGAGTAATCGCACTCACCGGTATTACAATCCCGTCTCGAAGATCCAGTCGCTCATCCACAACCTGGACGCTGAGCTTGTGCAGCTGTGCAAGCAGTGTTCGGTGCCAAAGCCGCCGACTAGCAGCAACATGAATGCCAGCGCCCGCCACAGCAGCTACGGATTGGGGTCGGCAGCCAGCACACCGCAAAGGGGTATGCTGGCCAGCCACTATGACCAGGATAGCATCGACAAACTGCTGGCACGGGCTCGGTCCATATCGGTCCAGAGATCGACCTCTGGGGCCACCACACCCATGTCTCTGGCACCCGATGCCCAGAAGCGGCAGCTGAGGAACGTGTACCGGACGCGGGTGATCGATGCGTATCGCAATAGGAGGATCTTCACGGTGTACGGCAACTATCATACAGTGCGACGGGCCCTGGTGAGGCGTGGCTGGCTGGAGAAGCTGCCGCCCACGCGGTACGCGAAGCTGCAGTCCATGTCCGAGGATGCGCTGCTGGAGCATGCGCGGCGGGGCAACGACTACGAGACGGTGGTCATATCGAAGATGATCAATCACTTTCCCTCCTTCTTCATTTGGCAAGGCAAGGGCCAGCGCGATCAGTTCTCCGAGGTGCGGCCATACCGCAATCGGGTGAGGCGCAGCCACTTCCTGGACTTCTCCACGAAGGTGGGTCTGGTCGGGTGCGCCGAGCAGGAGCGCTGGTTTCGCGAGGACGGCGTCTGCGGCATGAGCTATCCGCGCTTCTACCGTCTGGGCGGCAACAACGTGGAGGAGCGCATGGCCTTCATCGAGGACTACCAACAGACCCAGGCGCGCTCCCTGCTGCGCTACATCGTGGATCACAAGCCCGCAGAGCTGATAGATGCGGACAGCGGCAGCATCATGAGCACCACCCTGGACTTTGCCCTGTCCAAGGTCAAGCAAATGGTCAGACAGGCGGAGCACTACTCCCTCGACGATGCACGGGCCAAGTCACCCACCCCGGCCGAAGTCGTAGAGACCCAAAGCTTCATGATGCATTCCGCGGATGTCCTGAAGTCGCAGGCCAAGTTCCGGGTAAACGATAAGGTCATGACGGAGTATGCCCGCCTGGCCAGGCAATACCTCGACCAGATCGAGGGCCTGCGTCCCGACTACAGCTGGGACGGCAGCCGCAATCTGTGGATCCTCAAGCCGGGCTATCAGTCCCGAGGCATTGGCATCGTCATACGCAACTGTCTGGACGACATTCTCCAGTGGACAACGAACAATCAGAACAAAAAGTACATTGTCCAGAAGTACATAGGTGAGTGGTATTCAATAGGGGATTCCCATGGTTCATTCTCCCCTGCCTTTGCAGAACGTCCATATCTGGTGTATCGCACAAAGTTCGACATACGACAGTATATGCTGCTGACGATTGGGGAGTCCAAGGTGACCGTCTGGACGTATCGCGACTGCTATCTGCGCTTCAGCTCGCAGGAGTACACCCTGGACGATCTGCGGGAGTCGATCCATCTGACCAACAACTCCGTGCAGAAGCGCTACAAGAACAAGCTGAGTCGCGATCCCCGCCTGCCCAAGCACAACATGTGGTCGCTGGAACAGTTCAAGGCGCATCTGCGGCATGTGGGTGCTCCGGAGGGTACGTGGGCGAACATCTACAATGGCTTCAAACAGAATCTGGTGGCCGTGGTGATGGCCAGCCTGGACGAGACCGAACTGGTGAAGAACGCCTTCGAGCTGTATGGCTGCGACTTCATGCTGGACGAGCAATTCAACCCCATCTTGATTGAGATCAACTCAACGCCGGATCTGTCGCCCTCGACGGAGGTTACGTCCAGGATTTGTCCCGTTGTCATCAAGGACTGCATACGCGTGGTGGTGGATCTGGCCAAGAATCCCCAGGCCCCCACGGGCCTGTTCGAACGAGCCTTTGAGGTCAACTACACCGTCAACAATGGTGCCGATGTCCAGCACCCCCTGGAGCTCAACGGCAAGCAGATGACCATCTTCGAGAATCTCCCACCCAAGGTCAAGCCGAACAATCGGACCCTTATGCTCCGCAAGATACTCAACAAAGTGAGGGAGTCTGCGAGCAGCAAGCTGGACAAGATCAAGGACAAGATTGAGTCCCCAGCCAAAGCGTCCAAAGTGGCCAAGGCGGCCAAAGTGCCCAAAGTGGCCAAGGTGGCCAAAGTGGCCAAGGCAAGCGTCTCCTCCAAGAAGAAGGTAAGTTGGGTGCTCAGAAAATGCTCAGAAATCAATCTTCAAGGATTCCCTGGTTTTCCCCCCAAAAGAAAGCAGTAAAGAGCGCTACTGCCTCGAAGGCGAGTTCGGGGGCACCCTCGGTGCAGGTCTCTGTGACGCAACAAGTGGGACATGTGGGACCCAAGCCGATCCTCACCTCATCCACACGCGAGAATCTCGCACTACAGTACACAGCACCAAAGTGAACGCTTTTGGGAGGACTGTACCTGGATAACTGATGGCACAACCGCAAATATAAGCAAGGGGTAAGTACACTGATATCTTGGACATCACTTAACCCACGAGGCAGCTGTATCCCCACCCTAGAGACCTTTATGTTTTGGAGCTGGAGGGGTCTGTACGGGAATCCCTGCTCTGCTTATAAAATTAACTAGGAAGTAACGGCACTTTGGACAAAAGTGAAATTCAACTTTCAGCATTTAAATATGGAACACAAGGAAATCTGCAAATCATATAGTGTTTCTTTTAACGGCACATCAACAGGATATAAAAAGGACTTTTAATAAAGCTGTCGATAAAAAATGTGAAACGTAACAAGTACGAGCACTATAATTGTTTAGGAGTAGGACCAGAAATGTTTGGAACGATCAGGGGAACGTACCGCAGCAGGGGGGGAAAGGGGAGGCAGCAAACTTTTAATTGTACCAGCGATAAGTTCTCTAACAACTCCAACAACAAGAGAAGGAGAGAAGATATAATGCGCGCTGCACCTAAACACCCGCTCACTCTTCATCTCACTCCCACCAACAGGTGACACAACCCACACTCCATTACTCCAACAACAAAAGAAGAAGAAGGAGACAAGAAAGATTGCGCGAGTACCTCGCTGCACCTACACCGTTTGAGCTTAAGCCCTCTCGCTTTTCATCTCACTCCCACCAACAGGTGACACACACCCACACACTCTTTTGATCTCCCTCTGCAAAACGAGCGCAGAGATGAGCAAGCAATTAGCAAAAGAGAGCGAGAGAGTGGGAGAGGCGAATTGGAAGACGAGCAGGAGAGCATGAAATGAACGCGCGCTCTCACACAGGTTTTTTTCTTCACCGCAAGCACGTGCACGTTCAAGTCGGCTCCGCGTTTCGGGCCCGGAAAAGCCTAAAAATAGTCAAAAATCAAAGGCCAAAATGTCGCGAAAGAAGTGTCGTTTAGTGGTGCATTGTTCAAACATGAAAAATTACCAAAAACTGCGTTTTAAAGCCACAAAAATGTGCTGGATCAAGGGCGCGGGCGAAGCAAGCGGCAAAATGGCCACAAAACTGCAGATCCGAGACGGAAACGTACGAAAATAAAAGCAAGTGGTTAAGGGCATGTTATTTTATGCATAAATCTTTGTTTTTCATGAGCAAAAGTCAGCGGAGCACCCACGGGCTCAATAAGGCGTCTCACAATTTCGCGTTCGGTCACGTGATGTCTGTCTGTCTGTGCGTTTGTGTGGGTGCAAAAATTGCATATTAGGGGCGAAGTTTTGTCCCTTTCCCACTCAATGTTGTAGTAGGCGCCGTGAAGAAGCAGAGGGTAGAAAGAAAACAGCAAAAGCGCTTAGCGTCGGCGCTCGCCTTCCAAGGTGTTTTTTTATGGCCATTTTCTTGAAATTATTGTGTTCTTTTGCTTGTGCGCGTGAGTTTGCGGTTTTGGTTCGTAAAAAGCGGAAAAAGCGGAGTTTTCCAGTGGTACGTTTTTGTCAATTCGTTCGGAATCGACGCGGTTAACGTAGTTTCGAGAGAGGAAAAGCAAACGAAGCAAGGAGAACGTAAAGGCTCAAGATGATGGGCCAAAAGGTAAGAAATTTTGTTTTATGTTTCTCTGTACTCTTTGCATATTGTTTTTTCTTCTCTCTCGCTCTCCCTCTAACATAAATGGGAGCCATCATGTAATCGTAAAGATCCTTTACACCTTAAAACTATTACGATATGTTTATTTATATTTCGACTTGACATGACCTTTAGTCGGGGGGCTACCTAGCTACGCCTCTGCATGGCAGTGTTGGTGTACTTCTCAGCCGACGGGCAGCGGAGGAGCGGGGACCGCCAGTGTGGAGTTGTTCAGTTTGTTGGCCAGCGCTGTGCGGGGACTCAGGACCTGGCCCTGGGACAACTGCAGTTCGCTGGTGGCCTGTTTGAGGGCCGCCACAATGGGCTCTCCCCGGTGCAGGGCCTGCACCGAGATGCTGATCGGCAGGCGGGGACCATTGGACTTTCTGCCGAAGGTCCTGCCAATGGCATGGATGCTGGCCGTGCTCTCGATCTCCGACTTGGTGCGCAGGAAGCGACGCGAAGGTAACGGCGTGCCAGTGCCTGTGGCAGCGGCAGCGGTAGCGGCAGCGGCAGCTGTGGCCTGAGCCTTGGCCCGGCAGAAGGCGGAGGAGGCGGAGCTGGTGGTGGCAGTGATGTTGCGAAGACTCCGCCACTTGCGTTCGCTGATCGCCGGAGCTGTGGCCGGAGCAGGCGTCTCCGGGGGCTCTGGCTTCTCCATCAGATGGCTGTCGCTGCCGTTGGATGTGTAGTTCTTGATGAGGATCTTGAACTTCTTCTCGGTGCTGTCCACGGGATTCGTGGAGCTGAGACGCGGCCCACAGCTGCGTTGCCGCTTTGGCGGCAGGGCCGTACTGGTGCTGGCCTCTCCGGGCAGCGTTCCCATGGTGTTGCGCTTGTGGGAGGCACTCAGCAGCTGAGTGATGGAGCGACCCGCCTGCTTCAGCAGATACGGACAGGCGGAGGCGGACGATGATGGGGGAGGTCCTGCTGTGAGGGCTGCCGGGGATCTGATGGACGTCGCCTGCTGACTGCTGCTGAGGCTGCTGCGACTGCTGCTCAGAGGCTCCACCATGTACTTTTCCATGTACTCGGTGGCGTTGAAGGTGGGCATGGCCCGGTGGATGCGCGATATGCTCGTCGCGGGATGCAGGATGGCCGACCGCTGGCGGTAGACGCTGCTGGTGGCCAGGGAGCGCTCCTTGCGCTGCTGCTGGTAGTAGTAGTTGTGGTGGTTGTGGCTGTGGTTCACCTTGTGCAGCAGCTGCTTGCCCTTGACGAACAGATTGAGGCCCATGTAGGCGGGCGTTGGAGGCACCACCTGCCGGTAGGCGAGATCGAAGTTGCCCATGTCCGCCTTGGGGTCCGTGCGACGATCGATCACGACTGCAGAGGACTGTAATTAGAGACTTTTGTACTTCGTGCTCGAAGGACACTCACCCTTGACCACATCCTCCAGGCACTGGGGACACATGCGCGCCGTGACGCTCGTGGTGGCCCCCAGATCCGGACTGGAGTTGATCTCGATGAGCCACGGATAGAAGTTCTCGCAGATCATGAAGTCGGCGCCAAACAACTCGAACGTGTTCGGCCGCCTGTCCATGTTCTCCTGCGAGGCCAGCATGCAGCCTACAATGGCTTTCCTCATGCCCGGAAATATCCGCTCCAGCCACATGTTGTACTTCCCGATTTGTCGCAGATACGCCTGGAAGGAGTAGCAGTCCCACATGTTCTCGCTGGGCAGCCGCTTGTCCCGCTTCCCGTTGGTGTACTTCTTCTGGATGGCGTAGTTGGTGAGGTGCACCGACTCGTGGTGGTTGCTCAGCGAGTACTCCTGCGAGCTGAAGCGCAGATAGCTCTCTCTGTAGAACCACACCACCAACGGCTGTGGGCGGTGGGCGGTGGGGGGTAGTGGTTAGATTATGGCTTTCATTGGGGAAGGGTCTTAAGAATCACCTGTGTGTTTGTTATCAGAAACCATTGGCGTATATCGAACTTTGTTTGGAAGAGTATAAGCGGTCGTTCTGAAAGGGGAGAAAAGGGTTTATTAATTCAAAAATTCTGTGTATATTTCTAGGTTAAAGAATTCCTCTAGTGTTGTTTTTTTGGGGGTGTATTTTTCTATATTTTTATAAAATATTATAAAAAGATATACAGTCGCGAGCAAGTGTGGATACATAAAAAAGATACGATCTTTTCAGTTTAAAGCGCCTGTAAAATTTTTAAAAATTCATCAATCCTTGTGATTTTTGTTTTTATTAATTCTTGAAGTTAGTGTGAAAGAAAAAAAACATTAATTTCAATTCAAAGAGATCCTTTTCCTTAAGAGATTTTAATTAAAAAAAAGTCCATGCATCCACTTTTTCACGTCTCAAGTTTTTTTAGTTTAATATTTTTTTAAAATATATTTTTTCCAAAGGTCCTTAGCTTTTATCACATTCAAAATAAGTTTTGGCATACTCTGGACTAAATTAATTATTTCCCTGGTACACGATTTTTCCGCTCTCTCCTAAATTTTTTGTTGAAAGGCCAAAAGAGAGCGCTCAAAACCCACCCCCAGATCGACCGCTCTCTCGTATCAAACATCGTATCAGCCGAGTTTTTGCTTCAACCTTCGTATGAATACCCCTTATAAAAGCATCCTCAGCTTCTTTACCACATTATAATCGAAAGCCAAAGTCTTTCTCCAGCGATCTATGAAATTTCCTAATCGTTTGATGAATGTTACAGCCAAAATCAAGAGAAATACGAGATTTAATTGCCGCAATCTCGAAAAAGAATAGATTTCGCGGAAATTCTTGAAATCCAATAGTGTACTTTTCATTTCTGGCTTTTATTTGTACAAACTTGGATTGAAATTCAACTGTCTCCTGTGCAGACAACTTGTTGCATGCCTCAGAAGACAGCAAATTATGATTTGTGCCTGCAAAACGAGCACACGACAGCCCTACAGAAAGGCCCAAATGATTGCGTTTTTAGGCCAAATTTTGTATGCATTGTACCGCGGATTGTATCGGATGTACGAAGGATATGTTTTTGGTATACTCGCAGGAGTCCGAGTGGAGGAGATGTGCGTGCGTGTAGACACCACAACTGACTGACGTTGGGAGTTACCCCCAAAATGAGGGGACCCAGAGACGGGGGGAAAGGGGAGGGCTGGGGTGGCAGTAGAACAACTTTGGCACCGGCCTGATTTACGACCTAGTTTCCGTTTCCTGTGTTTCAGGTTTGTTTATATCGTTTTCTGGTGGGATTTTGCAAATTTTCGTGGGTCTGCAACCAAGATCCTTTATCCCATATCGATTGGAACAGCCTATTTCGTAATAATGGGTTTAAATGGGGCAACTTTTGTGTAATTCTTTGGGATTCGGGTCGCTTAAAGTCGTAGCACTCACCTATGTACTTTTGCACCACATAGCGACTCTTGGAAGCTATCGAGGGATTCACAACGCCCAGGATTTTCTTTAGGTTGTCCATCAGGAGTATGCCCCGACCGCGACACTTGTTGGCCGGCTTGACGATCCACAAATTCTGATAGCCATCGAGACTGTACTGCGGCCAGTGGACCTTCATTTTGTCCACCAGCGAGAGACAGCTCTTGGCCATGTGCTCGAGCCGCTGGCCATCGTGCTGGATGCGGCCGTCCTCGTTGACCAGCTGCTGGTGCTGGTAGAGGAAGGCGTCCCAGTCGTGCTCCCAGATCTTGGGCGGATCCTCGAAGTCGATGTCGTTGTGCTGGCAGCTGTCGAGGTACTCCACCAGTCGCTTGTAGGCGAAGTCTATCGAGGAGTAGGGTATCTTGCCGGCGGCGGAGAAGACGGCCTCGGGCCCCTGTTTGTGGTAGCGGCAGAGCACGGCCCGCAGGTAGGCCACGCAGGCCGTCAGCTTGAAGTTGTCGACGAACTCGCCCAGCTCCTCGGGACTCCAGACGTTGTAGCAGCGCGGGAAGTACATCTCGGCCGTGCCCTCCTCGAAGAACCAGTGGAAGTCGCGCAGCTGGCTGCACAGGCCCTCCTTGGAGGTGAAGGGGGCCCGGTGGAATTTGTTGATCGTCATGCCGGGATTCTTGGCCTGGTCGATGTAGTCGCACTTCTCCTTCCGGTTCGTCCACAGAAAGTCCACGGGCATGTGCTCCAGGAAGCGCGACATGATGTTCCGCTCGCACTTCTGGATGTACTGACGCCGCGTCTCGCCGGCCTTGCGCTTGGGCAGCCGCTGGGTGAGATCCTCGTAGGTCATCTGGCCCGCCGGCACCACCTTCCGATGCACATCGAGCTTCTCCACCCATCCGCGCGCCAGCAGTGCGTTCCGCACCGAATTGAAGCACCCGCGGATGGTGAAGATCTTGTTCTGCTTGGCCGCCTCCTGGGCCTTGCGTCGCAGCTCATTCATCCGCTCCGTGGTGATCCAGGTGCGTCGTGCCGCATAGTTGCTGGGTGCCCCCAAAGGCTTGGATGCGGATCTCACGGGCAGGTTCTCCTTGTTGCCGCCGTCCGGAGTGCGAGTCACTGCCTTCTCGGGCGGCGGTGGCGGCGCCGGAGGTGCTGGCTTTTGCGGCGTGTCGCCGGAGTGCGACGGAGGCGTCAGCTGGATGACGGGCACCGCAGTGAGCGGCACAATTGTGGCCGGTGTGGGCGGCGGTGCTGCCGGCGGGCTCTGCGACAGCACCTTCTTGGCCAGCGTGGCGCTGGAGCATTTCTGCGGGGGCAGCTCCCGCAGGAGTTGCTCCTTGGCGCGCTGCGGTTCACTGCTCGGACGCGTCTGCATTGCGGAGGCGCTTGCTCGCTCTCCAAGCACCGCCAGCCGACTAATTCGATTTTGGCTGCAGTGCAAAATTATCGCGTTTACCTCGTCCCTGTCCTCCCCGGGGTCTGGGCTGTGGGCCTCACTGGGCCACTGGGTGAATGGGTGAATGGGTGAATGGGTTGCCTTTGTCTGGTTGTTAGCCCCCGGGGCGGGCGGTGGCTGCCTGGCAACCATTGAGCCAGAAATAAGTTCACAAGTTCACTTGGAACGACTCTATTTATAGCATTTACCTGCTCAACTATACGATGGCTTCTAGCCGGAGCCAGGCCTGCAGTAGATACATAGATACATCCGCATTTTGCACTTTTCGCGTTGGGTTAGGTCGACATAGAATGGATGTTTAGGGCCGGTTACTAAGCGATATGTTTGGGTGACATCAAAATGACCTTCAACAAAACAGAATACGAAATAAGAACTACGAATAGTTTTGGGATGGATTATTGAATGCAAGCGATAATTGGAGATGAAGGATACATTGCTATTGACCTTTTCCGTTACCTAGATGGAGAGATATTTCTAGTACCGAATGAGGTTTTTGCACGATACCAGTATTTGTTTTCCATCCGTCATACATGCAGCCGTGGGTGTCGTCTCCGTCATCAGCGTTTGCTGCTGTTGTTTGGCGTCGGCGTTGACGCTGCTGCCGCTGCTGCTGCTGCTGCTGCTGCTTGGGGGGTGTCATCGGCATCGTTGTCGTCACTGGGAAGCGCGTGGACGACGTGGAAGCGACGTCAACGCCAATGCGGCCTCTCTCGTATGGAAAGCGTTTCGGAAAAGTCAGTCAAAGGTGGGATGGGGGGGATGGGGGGGCGGGGGACTTGATGGATGGCAGTCTTGTCTGCAATTTGTTCAATTTTCGCGCAACGGCGCGGAAACCGAGGGTAACTTTTCAATTATTTGTAAAATAATCAAGTTAACTGCCACCACAATCAGGGCGCCGCGAGGGGGGTGGGGGGCTTTACATCGGTTCCATGTGCCACGTTCCCCCCCTCCCCCTCTCTTGGGGAGTGTGTGTGTGTGTGTGTGTCTCCGTTTCGAAAGGGTATTTGGTTCAAGGACAATTTAGCCGCAAAACTTGATTCGCAGCGGTTTCTGCACGAGTCGGTGGAAAAGTTATGCCTACAAAGTTCCGGCACACGGCAACACCTACTCCGCGGGGGCATGTCCCGACTCCGGTGTCCTTGCGTGCCGACAACTTTGCGACCTCTCCGTCCCTCTCCATCTCCCTCTCCCTCTCCCTCTCTCTCCCTATTTGGGGGCCTTTGTCTATTTTATTTATATTTTAATAAAAAATTAAACTGCCATGGATCGTGCACTCGTCGTAACTGGCAGAGTCGTAACTGGGGCGGTAATTAATTTCGCTTGATTTGTTGTCTCCGGTTAGGGTATAGTGGATGGTGTATTAAGTTTATTTACTTTGGAGGCGGGATTACTTTGCTCGAGAATACCAGAATAAGATTTGGGTCGGGGAATGAAAGTGATAGGGAAACGCATTGTTTTTGTAGCATACTTTTTTGGTCTGGCCTCGTACACGTCGATCCCTCCCACACAAACACATCTACGATCTGTCGTGTCTCGATTATTCTGGCCAGCCATTTTCCAACAAGATCAAAGATCGTTGAGATAGTACTAGTACTAAATAGGCGAGAAAAAGTTGATAAAATCAATTCTCCCTTTGCGAAAGTTTAGATTGTTTCCCTGCTGGGAAATTTCAGAGAAAAAATGGGTCAGAAAATGCCAGGTAAAGGCCTAATATACCAAAAATCCTATAGCCCATAGCCTACATACATATATAGTCCCCAAACGCGAGGTGGCCTGGCAATGTGCCTTGGCTGTTTTTGGCTGTTTTGGCTGTCCATACCCCATGCCATTCTTTATTCCAGCCCCCTTTTAAAATTCAGCTCTCTCTAGCTTGCGCTCTCTTCATCTTGTCTCTCTTTGATCTCCCTCAACACACGCACAGCAATAGGCTCAACTCTCACGCGCAACTGCTCTCTCAGCACCGCCGAAGCCTAGCTCTGAGACAATCCAATCATTTTCTGTGACGCAGTTTCCATTTATCCCTCACTCTCTTCTTACTCATCGTCGCAGACACAGAAGCGCACTCTCATTATCCCGTTCCTTTTGATCCTCTCTGAGCGAGTCGTCCAGTACACACGCACTCTCTCTCTTTCTCACACGCACATGCACGATTAAAGCACCGCAATGGGTTGGACCAAAGTTATGAGACATTCAAAGGCAACAGAGATGATAGACTGAGCAAAAACAAATATATTGTATGTATGTATACGAGTATTCGTCGTTTTGTCCCTTTGAAATGCTTGTCAAAATAAAGGCGAACAATTGTGAACAGGTCTGCCTTTGGTCAGTATTTAGACCAGATATGACGAAGGTGCCGGGTGCCGATGACGCTTCCCTCCCCCCCTCACAAGCCATTAAGTAAGCTTATTTTTTTTTAGTATCAAAATATAATGTTTTTATTAATATAAAAATATATTGGACAAATATAAAATATATATAAATTCAGTTCGTACAAGAGGTCAAAATGTACTTGAATCTGCTGAACGAAAAATTCTTGTTAGAAAGATGGAAATATTTGCTATAGTTACCATTTACATTACTATTTTCGAGTCCAGTCTGGAGTTCAGACTTCGTGTTCCGTTTTCGTTTCTCGTTTTTCGATTTTCATTTTTCGATTTTGTGTTTCGGCTTCGTTTTCGTCTTCGTTTTCGTCTTCGTTTCTACTCCGTATAGTTCGCATCTTTGATTGCTTAAAATAATTTAAATTTGGACTGACAATTAACAAGCTCACAGAATTTCGATCCGGGTCGCGATGAACAGTTACGCGCTCCCGGTGGGCCTGGTGACTATCGATGTGTTGAATGGTAGAACCTGATCATCGGTTTACGCTTCAAATTTAGAACAACAAAAATTCCGAAATACAATTTTACAAAATTTTAAATTTTTTTTGTTTTTTTTCCGAGTTCCGAACATTTCGCCACTCCGTATAATACTGATAATTTTTCAGTAATCTCACACAATGTTGAATTTGACACCTGGGATTTCGTGGGGCATGGATTGCTTGTTTCAGTTTTTCTGGGGGGGAAAAAAAACGAAAAATATCAGATCTAGGATACCCGACGAAAACAGCTCAAAAATTGCACTCTGTGGTGCAGCTATATTGCCTTCATGGAGCTTATGGGAGAGGTTTCCTTCCCTCTAAAGGGTGGTCCGCTCAAACCCTTTGCTTGAGTCCGCTCCTGGAAAAACAGACGCCTGGGGATGCATTGAACTCGTAGTAAAACGACTGTCAGTGGCGTCCACCGACAAAAAGGGGTAAAGGAAAGCTTTCGTTTCGCCCACGAAGCTTTTCTCCAACATGGAGCACACACACACGCACACCGGCAGAGCGGCGAGCGACGGAGAGGCCGAGGGACCGAGTGAGAGTAAAAGAGTGGCAAAGCATCTGACAAACGAACGAGCACGAACACCCACCCTCCTTCGGTTGTCCATGTGCCGACGAAGCGGCAGCCGGAGACGATGCAACAAATATAAGAACCGAAGCTCTTGGCGGCAGCGAAAACATTTCTAACGGAAAACTCCTGGCGTGTGGACGTGCTTGGACGTGTCGTCGTGGCCTCTGATTTTTTGTCGCGTCTTTGGCCTGCTCTGCTCTGTGTTTTTCGTGCATTGTATTGTTCAGCTTCGATTCGCGTATTATTCTTTTCGCCGAGAGTGCCGCGTGCGACCATACGACCACTTAGTAGTCCATTCGCGCAAATAAAAGAAAACGAAAATCGGGCAAAACAAAAGATATATTCGCCTCGCCCCGCCTCCAACCCATTCGTCTTGTTTGCCAAATTACGGGCATAGTTCTTATTGTATTGTGAAGCAACCTTGAAATTTTCTACGCACACAACAAAAACAACACAAAAAAAAAGATATTCAGTGACGCTTTTTGGACAATTGCAATGTGACTTTCGGAGTGTGAACGCAGTTTTGTTGCCCCAAAAAGAGAATCGGAAGAAGCATCAAATCGTGTTGAATATACCCCCCGGAAAGAATACCGAACGAGGATTACGGATAACTGATCGAAAAAGGAAACAAGCAGCACAGAAATGGGCACTATCGGTGAGTTATATTTCTATTTTCAAACTAATTAAAATATATTGAAAGAAATCTATGCCAAAAATCATAATACTATTACCGGTTAGGGGTTATGTATATTTGTTCTAGGAAAATTCTATTATTTCTCCTCCATCTCTCTGTATATTCCAGCATTAACAGGCTCTGGTGATACTCGTATTTCAAGGAGCGCTTTCTCTTATTTCTAAGAAAAACCCATCCCATCCCAACCTTTAACTCCTTTCCAGAAAGAACTGGAAATCAATCCATCGATTTGTAGCTTTCACCAATTAAGCGCTTCTCTAATTGCAATTCAGTAAAAGGTCAATCCTTTGTACTTTGAGCTGGTTATCTCATTTCCAAGAATATTCCACAACCTCCTGCAGTTCTTATGCCAGAGTTATGACCATCATCGAGCCAGAGCACCCCTTGCAATGGTTCTTGGAATCCAGTCAGTCCAGTTCTTCCTCTAGTTGCCCCTAGGAACCACAGTGCCATCGAACCCATAACCCCCGCCCCCCCGCCGGCCATTTCCTTATGCGATTCCAAACAGTAGTTGCACAATTTCCTTCTCCTCCTCCTGCTCCTGCTCCTGCTCCTGCTCCCATAATCTATTGTTAGCTCCTCTCTGTAGGGGCAACACCCAGCAGTTACATGAATAATCCCCTTTTCCTTGCCGGGATTCCTTACAATTAGAGGGGCGAGTCCTGCCCGTGGCACACCCACACTTGGACTCCTGGCTGCTGCTTTTCAATTATCCTGCCTAAAAATAGACTCTCTCTCTCACGCACAAAAGAGCAGGCGAAAGAGCAATCAACCCACACTGAGGCGGGCCTGGGGCGGGGGTGGGGGAGGCTTCTTTCAACACCATCCATGCCCGAAAATACTCGTAAAATACGAAGAGAGCAAAATGAAGCGACAAATGACAACGACGTCATTATCATAAACATGGTCTGGTCTGGGCGTCTCGGTGGGCCTGGCCCGGCCTGGCCCGCCCCGGCTAAAATTCTATGAATTTTGTTTATCCAAAATGTATAAAATAAATAATATGCCAGCCCGAACGGCGGAGGGGCTGCGGCTGTGGCTGGGGATAGACCCTAAAACTCATAATCGAATGACGCACGAGCTTCTGATTTCTCTCTACATAAAGTATAGCTATGTACGGATATAAGTATATAATCGGGGCGTATGTATATCCATCCGCCCATTCATTGTAGGCCAGTCATCCATCCAGTCGTCCAGTGGCGGGTATCCTTGAACATTCCGGTGTCCTTTTGGGTGCGCCCGGACTTTGTTCGACAGCGACACCCACAGGTACAGATACAGTTACACCCACAGAGTGTTACAGCCACAAATGCGCTTTGATTGCCATCTAGAGAGTCGGAGGTAGGGGCCGTACTTGTGCCTCAATGGGTTCATTGTGTGCCACACGACACGACACGACACGACGGTTGCATACACAAGTGGCAGCCACCAGGCAGCCACCAGCCAGCCAGTGCAGGACTCTTCTGTGTGCCATTTTGTGCGGGTTGGCTGTGGCTCTGGCGCTGGCTCTGGCTCTGGCATTAAACACGCTTGACATCCTGCTCAATGTTGAGCACATTTCTCTTCTCATGACACGGCGTCAGCAAAAAGTTCACAGAAAAGGACAGTGGATTAGACTTTTGAAAAGGTTAATCTCCCGAATATGGGAAACATAATATGGGGGCTGTCTGGCCCGAACTTCAAGCACAAGGACCACAATTCCAGGCACTTTATTTTAATTACAAGCAACGCAGAATCACTTGTTGTCCCGAGCCATAAAAAGAACACTTAAAAGATACATTGATTGCCCAGAACAATGGCTTCTCTGTGCTTTAGAGACAGGAAAATAAAAATATCTATTAATTATCATTGATTAGCCACTAGATGCTGGCTTAGTGATTCGCTTAGATGCGACTAATGTACTTCAAATTTGCGATATTGTGGTGGTAGCACTTGAGCTTCTCGACGGGGCACGTGGGCCGCTTGTGGAGACACTTGCAGTAGACGAAATTCTCCATCAGATGCCCCTCGAACTCCTCGCACTGGGCCTCGGTTTTGAGCAGCTCCCGGTACTCCTCGACGCTCTCCAGATTCAGGGGGTCCAGCTGGTGCATGTAGCACTTGAGCTTGAGGACTGTGGCATGGAAGTAGTTGAATATATCGACGGCCATTATCTTGTGGTGCTGTATGCAGCGGTGGCTGGGATCGCCCATGATCAGGGGCGTCTCCAGGGACTTGTTCAGGCGATCGTAGGCCGCATAGAACCGCTTGCAGTGGGTGTCCAGCTCGAGGACAGCGCGTTTCATTTTGTTGCTGGCGAAAAACGAAAAACAAACGCTATACAAATGGAATGAAATGGGCTCGGACTGGACTCACTTTGAGGTTCGCAGGACTTCCAGCTTCTCCTCGTACTCATTGACGAGTGCCTCCTCCGTGGAGAGGGTGTAGACCTCTGGATAGCGACAGCCGATCACACAGCTGATCAGAATGAGGTATCGCTGCGTCAGGAGCCACACTCGCTCGATGAGTATCTTCTGGGCCTGCACCTCGCACAGATACATGTTGTAGAAGTCGCGGTAGCGCGCCTCCAGCTCCACCAGCAGGCCCAGCACCTCGGCCTCTGTCTCGTAGTGATCCTGCAGCTGGGGCGTCAAATGGGGCTCATCCTCCTCCTCGCCCTCCTCACCGTCCCCACCCTCCCTACCCTCCCCGTTGCCCAAAGGTTTCTTCATTCTGTATGTCTTTTTTTTGTTTGTTTTGTTTTGTTTTGGGAATATATGTTCTACAAGTTCTACAAGGCTTGCTGGGGGGGCCCATCAAATTTAATTTCGATTTCTTTCATCAATTTTGATCTCTGTTTAATAAAAATCAGATGGAAATCAACATTAATTCTTCACAGAAATCGATTTAAAATAGATTTGTCTGGCAGCAAAAAAAAAAGTAAAAAAAAAGAAATATATCTAAATCACAAATACGTCACAAAGGAATCCATCGAATCTGATGATGGTCCAAATACGGAACGGAACCAACCGAAAGTTCATTCAAGCATTCGAAAAGATGCTTTGATTGATTCCCAATTTCGGGCATTCGAATGCATCGACCAAACGGAAATTAAATTGCCACAAAAATTGTTGTATCTATCGATCCGCTCTCTCTGCCAGATATACGTATGTAAACTCGTATGTATATCTTTTTTTAAATGCGTAATTTTTGTTATTGTATGGTGAAACCGACGTGCCGCATCATTAATGAAGTGCGAAGCCAATTGCCGCCTTCAACAATTTCCACCAAGACCAGACAGACAGACAGTGAATACACTCATATTCGAACCGAAATACATTGAGATATATACAGATATATGTATATAGAGAGGGGGATATGGTAAACGGGAAGGGAAATTCGAACCGCACGAACATCACGGATTGCGGCATGGCTCCTACTCATCCTTCAATATTACTCAAATAAACAAAAGAGAATGCAAATTGTTTGAACAAAACAAATATTAAATGCGCCTCAATAATAATTTCCGTGTTGTATTTAACAAAAAACAAAAAATCAATCAACTAGGAAGTACTTTTACTCGTAAAAATGCCCTTGAATATCTGAGTATTTTGGGTGGAAATATTTACACGAAATACGATACATTTTGGAGATGAAAGTGCTTTGATTGCATATCAATTATTTCGAGTGTTAAAAATACTTTATTGGTATATTTTTTCCAGGAATTTTCTCTATAATTGAAATGGAATTAACATCACTTAACGCTTCTCCATTCCAAAAAAAATTTCTTCGCACAAAAGAAGACCTCAAAAACTTGCTAAAAGAGAATACAATTTTGAAACAAAAGAAATGAAGCGCACACACATTTTGCTCGGGGATCTCACACTTTGTTTATGAATTTTGTTGTTCAAAATTTGTAATTGCCAAATCGGTGCGGCACACGCGTCGTATGCGCGATGTCTTCTACGGTGTAATGTGTTTGGGCTATTTTGGACACAGAGTGTTTGTAGCGGGCGCCCTCAAGATGTTTTCGCTCAACACCGACCGACCGGCTAATGGGTACACTCGTACACCCTCCCATCCCATCCCCCCTCCCCCCTACCCAATCCCCCCGATCTGTCCGTCTGCCTGCATGTCTTTTTGTCCCCCTCTCTGTGTGTAAGGCAGGCATTTTATGTAATTAATTCTCGTTGAATTATGGCCAGCAAAAAGTGTTGTTTGATAGTGTTTGGGGCCTAGCAGATCCACGGGAAGGTGCAATGAACCTCTCGAGGCAGATACCCGTAATTGCATGCGGCAGATGGCCAGAAGGCAAGAAGAGCAACGATCGTTCATTAGTTGCTTTAATTATCTAGCATTAGTGGGGTGGGGGCGGAACAGGGCAAGAAGACCTTTAAGTGCTTCAGAAATATCCCTTAAGTCCGATGCCAGTGTCTGGCCCTTGACCTTTACCTTGAATTGTGCCCAAGTGCTGCACTTGAACTGGCATTATCACTCGAAAGAACAGACCTCTCTCCCTTCCTCAAGTCCCATTAAATAGAGATAATCAAAGAGACATATCGCAAATGTCAAAACGAATCATTTTCAGTTAGCCGTAAAAATGGGATTTATGCTAATTTGCTTTTTATGGCCAAAGTACACGAATAAAAATAAAAGATATACCCAAAAATAAACCAAAGACAAGAGGCAGGGCACGTCGCGTCTTGGGTATAAAGAGAACTTTTCATTTTTCATAAATAATATAACTAAATGCCGCTGCAAAAACGAGCAAATACAGATGAATAGTGGACACAATGGATGGTTGGGTGGTGAATGGGGGACACAACAAATGGAGGAGTGTTTAGGAGGCAGGGATGAGCACTGACAATGGTTACCCTATTAAAAAGAGTAGAATGGAATGCCAGTAAGCGGCAGTACAGAGGTGGAATGGAAGGCTGGAAGAACGTAATGAAAAAGGGCCATGAACAAAGGTTCTAGAATGGACAGTGATAATACTCCTTTATGGGTACCGCATTTCGATTAGCTCGAATAAATATATGTTACAGAAGTGCACTGCGTTCTTCTGACTATTCCTCTGGTGTTCTTATGGCACACAGAAATTGGCTTGCCTTCCCACTTGGAAATATATATTGCACTTCTATAGAACTGATTTCTTACTTATTTGTCATTAATTGTATTCCAACAATAGAAAAACATATCAGCATTCAATATATCTACTTAAAAGACCAGACTTCAGGGATTCATGCTGAGTTTTTTCTTTATGTTTGGATATAGCACAAATTTGCCTAAAAAAATAAGAAGTAAAACCTAAGAAATCCCAAAAGGAACCCCTTAAACCACCTGCACTGCAGTCCACTACCCTCCATTTGATGAGTCCCTGAGTACCCCTACTGTACCCGTTTATATGGACGAATGTGCACCGCTTTGGTGGTTTGTTTGGGGCTTGTTTCATTTCGATTTCATTCTTTCATTCTTTTCATTTTCTCTCCTGTCGCAGACGAGTGTTCTGGCCGCTCTTTCGCTTTCTACGCGCTGATCCGTGGGACAAGGTCGTGCCGTCGCCTGTCGCCGCGAGAAATATTATGGCTAACCAAAAGATAAAATATATAAGTATCAGAGATCTCCACATATACGAGTATATAAGCGTATATCTGTACGGGGCGGCTGCATACGGGAGGTGTACGGGTCCAAGGGGTCGTCTTCTGTGCGTTTTGTGACGCGCTTTTTGCCATTGACACGCAATAAAAATATGGTACTTAAAATCTTGTAAAAATCTCGTAATGAGCGCAGAGCACACACGAAAAGATCTGCCGTGTGTCTTAATTGGTTGCACAGTCTCGGGGCCCATCGATGGGCAGGCGGCAGGGGGCACAGATCGCGATCGGAGGAGCCAAGAGTGCCAGAACGAGTACTAATTTCTCGGGTCGAACTTTAACCAAGGCACAAGGGAGTGGGTGTTCCTCCTGAAGGAGCGATTATAAGAGAAAAGAAAGGGAAGATTTCCCAATATTAAAGATAGGAACACTGATTTGATTGAACGTTTTCGCCCTAAGGTAGCTCCTCTAACAGAGAGATCAGATATCCTGCTTTTATAGCTGCTTTTACATCAGGGATGTATCATGCATGTATCAGGGATGTATCAGGGATGTATCAAGCATGTATCATGTATATATCAGGGATGTATCAGGGATGTATCAGGGATGTATCAGGAATGTATCAGGGATGTATCAGCGATATATCAGGGATGTATCAGGAATGTATCATGTATATATCATGGATGTATCATGCCTCTGCTGTTGTTGTGAAAATCGTTATGGCATGGACTTTGTTCCACTGAAATTAAGATCTATTTGCAGTCCTTCAACCACTTGACCAACCACTTCAACATCCCCCACCGTACCCTGTGCCTGGCATACATATGTTTACCTAAAGGAGAAAGTCGGTTGGGGGAGGGGAGGGGGGGCGAGAAAGCCAGACATAAGACACATAAAGTAGATGGAGGCGAAAGGCGGAATGCGTGGGCCGCTGAAGTGTATTCCTGCCTGATTTTATTTGAATATATTTTCGCATACATACATATATCGCAACCCAACCCAACGAGAGAATATACTATGCATAGTATATAAATTATTAATTTTTGCTACGCTTTAGCGCTGCCTCCAAACATCGCATCACATGAATCTGATGTCTCTATAGATGTAGTCGTAGTCGTAGTCGGTCGTAGTCGCCAATAAATGTTTACTATACAAATGGCAAATATTTTACGCAGTCTCTCCCTCTCCCTCCCTCTTTTCCCAATCGTATTTGATTGAACATTCATATTATTTGTTTAATTAATGTATCTATATCTATACTTTCTTTACGCTTCTTTGATTTGATCATGGTTTATTTTTATTTGTATTTTTTAAATTGGAAATCGGCAATCGACAAACACAAGTGTCCCCCCATTATGATAAAGGCTCTAAAGTAAGCCGGTTTTAACCGGTCTAGACGGAAGATTCACGTGATGTGGATGACGATGACGTTGACGATGATGTTTCCATTGAGTTTTCTTTTGAAATGTGTCTTTTGTCTGGCAGGGGCAGTGGCAGTGGCAGAGCTCTCTTCTATACAGTTTTCCCTTTCATTCTCTGTGGCGGTGAATATTAATTGAAAATTCATTCTTTTTGGGTCACTTGCAGACACTAGCCGATACTTTACGCTACTTCCTTCGCTCTCCACCCAATAACCAACTCAACTGCCACATAATTAATCAGAAATCCAAGTACTACGCGTAGTATCTATGCCCAAGCAATTTCCGTTTCCCTTGTGGGGGATTTATTCATTCAACGGAACTTCTAGTTGACGTCAGGTGCCGATGCCGGCTACCCATTCCAGGCACTTGCCAGGCAAATATTATTATTAGCGTTACTTACAATTATTTACGAGCATTCCGCATGTGTGTTCCGTTCCGAGAAAACCCCTCCCCAACCCCACGAGACGAGAGGCAGAGACATTAAACAGCAATTGTTGCAACGAAAAGTGTTTGTTGCATACAGTCTGGTATTTATTTATTTATTATTGGATAGGTGGGGGGTGGTAGCACCTAATTTATGGTCTCTGCTCTGCTCTCGGACATTGTCTCACCTTCGGCTCTTTGTAGGGCCTCTTTCCCTTCTCAACGAAACCTCATTATCAGGATGGATAAGTTTGATAAATGTATCTGACGTAGGCATTCGCCTTGACCTTACCTTGAAAATTGTCAGCTACATGAAAATGTTAATTTTTCCGTTTTTTTTTTGTCCATTTTCCACTTTTCCTCTGCGCGTAATTACAAAATTTGTCGGCTATTTATAAGAATTTATTTACACAAATAAAAGTATATATCATGCGCTTGCAGAGAAGCGAGCAGCGCAGAGGCGGAAATATTTAAATAATTTATGGAAACGGTGGCTGGCGGAGTCCCCATATCATTCGAGTAAAGCCGACCCATCCTTGGCTTCCTCCTTGGCCCTGACATGGCACTCTGTCCACTCAGGGGCAGCAGCCGTGGCTCGTAGGGTGTGCAACCTGTACGAGCACAACCACTTGTCCGCCTCTAGTGTATCCTTCAGCCCCGTCAGCTGTCGGCTGTACTCGTGATGGTCATGTGCGCAGTTCTGAGCGCTTCCAAAGAGCAGCAGCTGTCCCTCGCTGTTGGTCTGTTGTTGGGTCTGTCTTGGGGAAGAGTGCTCCGAAGAGTGCTCCCATATATCAATAAAGTCGCGGACAAGGCGGGGGCGGCCACACACGCCCTCTTTTGCTAAAAATATTCCCATCCCGAAAGAGAAAGAGGGAGAAGGCAAATTAAACCAAATTTAATCAGCAACAAAATATATCTACTAAATATAATATGTATTTTATTTTTTCTGTTTTTCCTTCTCTTTTTTTTTGAAACCTATAAAAAAATCACACGCACACGTAGAAAATCTCTAAAAAAAAAAATTAAAAATCCCCTTTATATTTATTTATTTTATATTTGTTTTTGTTCTTTGTTTTTATTTCTTTTTGTTTATTTTCGTTGTTTTGTTGGTGGTTTGTTGCCTTTGTTTTTGCTTTTGTGGGCGCAGCGGAAATTTTGTTTTAAGTCGTTAATTTTTATTGAATTGTTGTATAATAAGTATTTGCAGAATGCTGTTTAGTTTTTCCTTTTTCAACAGCCCACCCACCGAATGGGGAGGAAAATGTTACAAAAGACTTTGTTCGGGGAGTGCTTGAGCACTCGCAAGATGGAGGGAAATATAGATTATAGATTGGTAGAAATAAACATCATTCCTGGGCTTGGGATAGAGCTGTATCTATGGCGCATAATATATATTGGATTGCCTTTTTCAAGAGGCGATGCACCGTCCAGTGGCCCGTGTGACACCAGCAGGAGCGAGGGGCGCTGCTGCATGACGCGCGACGTCAAAGACCTTCTTCTCCAGTGGATTCCCTTGGTAGGATCCTACGTGAAGTAGTTATTAATGGGTTCCACTATAGCATTGTATATTCTTCTATGGACCGACCTTCCTCTCACTGTTTTCCATCCTTGATCAAGAAAACGGGGAACAGAACAGGCAATAATCAAAGCACTTCCCATTTCCCAAACACTTGCAAAATCCGCCTCGAATCTACACGAATTTCTGTGATATATATCGACTGTTGAAATCTTTAGCCGTATAGCATATATCGGAAAAGTGGCGCTTTTTCCGTGTAATGGGAAAATCAACAAATAGCCCCCCAATGGAACGAACATTTTGTAGATTGTAACAAAACTTTGCCTGACCCAAATTCAGGTCTGTGTGTGTTTTTCTGTAAACAATCGGAGCAAATCTGAAATACGATTATACAAGTACAAGTACAAGTACTTAATACCCGGAAAAGTCAAGAAATTAAATATAAATTATATGTGTTTTTCATGGTTAATGGAAATGGCAAAGGAGGAGGAGCGGAACAGCTCGTTGTCGTAGGTCTCCTCCGTATCCAGTCTCTGGGACTCTTGCGAGAGTTGACGTAGGTCTTGGGTTGCCCTCCGGAGCACACAGCCTCCCCCGCAGATTGAGCAATCAATTGTTTTTGCGGGGAGCAGGGGGCAGCACTACTGCCAAGTGTTTGGGCCAATCGAAAGCCTCCGGCATTGTCCGGTGGTCTACGGTCGATGGTCTCCGGTTAAGCGATTCATCATTCCCCGTTGAGACGCTGCTCTGGCTGCCGGGCCCTGGTCTAAAAGTGTTTCCCATTTTATTTTGTAATAATACCAACAAAAAAACTTACAATTGGTCTGGGAGACGCCGACGGGGCTGCTTCAGCCTCAGCCTCAGACGCAGCCTCGTTGGCCTATAGATACAAATGTATCTGTATCTGTGTCTGTAGCTGTAGCTGTAGCTGTATCTGTTGTTGTGGCTATATCTGTGCGCTTGTACGCTGTGTATGTGGCACGCCGACCGACAACGACTTGTCCATTGACGTCAGCAATGCCCCCAAAGTCGCGTACACTGTCGGGCGGGTTGCCAAGCAGGCGGGGAATCGGGACACGACTCTCGTTTGTTGCTGCTGTTGTTGGAGACCAGGGCGACAATCAGGGGCACGGGGCCGGGAAAGGGGACTAACCGAAACGTACATTTTGGCAGTCACTCATACGAGTGTTGGAGACCTGATGCTGATGGCCCCTCCCCCCTCCCCCCCCGCCTGCCTCCCCCTGGTTCTGGATCTGTTCGGCGAGGAAGGGTATATTGATTGGGCTGATTGAATGGCTGTGCAGGGATCCATCATTGTCATGAAATATTGTGTCTTTAAAGTGGTATCTGAATGCCATCCCAGGGCTACCCATTCCAGGCTTTGTTTTTGGATATATTCCATTAATCTTTTGGATTAAGCTCTAAGGCAGCTCCAGGGTGAAATTCTAGCAGTAAAATCTACTACTTTTAAGAGTACAACCCCTAATTGATAGTCCCTTCGCCCACTGCTTGTCCAGGGTATCCCTTAGTCGTCTCTGGAAGGCCTCTAAAACCCTCATATGTCGCAAGAATTTCTGTTTTTGCCATTGGCTTGGCCGGGCTGGCAGGTCGTCGATTCTCCTGGCGCCTTTGTTGCAAATGCATTTCACATATTTGTATCTGTATCTGTGTATCTGTGTATCTGCTACTCGGACCACAGCTAATGTCTGACTATCCCATGCGATCCTGTGTGTGGATTGTTTATTTTGACCCACTGTTTATGCGATACGCGACTCCCCCTTGGGCTGCGGTCGGGGCAGATAATTTCCACGGAAATTCTGGCTTCGCTTCTATTTTTAGAGAGCCGCAGAAAATGCATCTCCTCCGACGACAGCCTGCCCGCCCGCCTGCCTGCCTGCCTGACCCTTTTTGGCTCATTTGTGGCTTTGGCTATTTCGGGGGGCCATGCAAAGTGTTTTGCTGCGGATCGGCGAAAGAAATTACCGAGATGAAATGGCCAAAACGAATACTCGAATCATTTGAATCGGCGACGCAGGGAAGAAAGTGAAAGTCTGATTTATGGCCACACGCAGGCCTCCCTGACTTTTGTATCTCTGTTGATGGTTTTTAATGGTACATAATTAGTTTTGCTCCCCCTTGGGTTGGAGCACTCATTTATTAGGGATCCACCTCTGGCCCAGAGCCAATCAATTCTGGAACGGAAATAGAAATAGAAACAGCAAAAGAAAACCACAAGTCCAATCTTTGACGTGTTGCCGCCTGTCCTTTCCCTCAAACTTTTTTGCCAGTTTTTTTTTGGGGGGTTTCACACTTGCGCCGCCCCCAACCCCCCACTTAATATTCCCCCCCGGTGCGGCAGGGGGAATGACTCTTGTAATGGAATAATAAATGAGGCTTAAAAGAAATGTTTTGCTCTACCAAAAAAATACTCAAAGGCGGAACAAAAATAAAAGATGCAGGTGGAATAAATAGGGTTTCGAATGAAGTGTTGGTGAAAGCCATTCATGGCTAAACAGTGTTGGAAAGTGGTATAATTTGTAGCTGTTTAATGGAACTTGAAAACTCCTTTCCTATGACTATAAAAGAGTATCAATAATATGCCAGTGCCGTGTTCTTGTAAGTGGAATACTCAGAGATAAATCGAAGTATTTTTTAGATCCCTTATCCAAAGACTAAACCCTTATATCTATCCTCGAAATTTACTAAAAATAGTCAGGTTATGGGAGCTATTAATTCCTGGAAAGATGCACTAAATCAAGCCTTCTCAGTGGTCTCCCAAGACCACAGGCAACTCCCTTCTCATCTCTTTTTGCTTTTACCAATATCCCTACCCGATCCAACACCTGAACCAACCTATAGACACTATCTATCTATATCTATCTCCAACCATTTCGAGATACAGCCATAAATTAGCTGAGAAATGCATTTCTCGTGGCATGCCTCAGTGGTAAATATTTCTCTGCAGTAATTTGTCTAAAATGAAAATACTTTTCAATATATGTAAACAATTTTTGATTCACCTTCACCCCTGCATCGCCCGAACCCCGAACCCCCAACCCCGAACCACAACCAGAACCACCTCCTCCGCAGTTGACACTTTATGAAATACGATTTTGATCGCTAAACAGAACATATAATTTAACGTCAAACGGCGATTCACGATTCGCTTTAAAATTGTGAGCAAAATCGAGCGAAAATCACATCACATCACGCCCTATAAATGTTTTGCTCCGCTCCGAACCGGTCCTCCGCGCTTTAATTTGATTTTCCAGCTAAAGCATTTAACGGGCTATATGCTATATAGCATATAGCAGATATAGATTCGATTCTCTGTCCGGCCCGTGTCCCATGCGGCGGCAAATCAAATGATTTCTTCTCACTATTTCTCGGGCTATAAATGAAATCAAATGTGCGGGGGAGCAGGGGCTGCGGGTGGAGGTGGAGCTGGGCTGTCACTGGCACTACGCAGATTGTGCGGATTCCAAAAATCGCAGCAGTCACAGAATCCATGACTAACTGCTGACGTCTTTTGGCTGTGTGGCCCGGCCCCATCTATAACCCAGAGACAACCCCCTGGACTCTCTCTAGCCCATGGCCGATCTGGGCCGATCTACGCAAATTCTGCACTAACTTTGTCACAGACAACTCGGCGACAACCATCGTCTATCTCTCTGTCTTGGACGCGGACATGGACGTGGGCGTGGGTGTTGCTCTTTCCCCCTGGGAGGGGCTTTAAGCGCTTTTCCATGTCCGTTCTTGTATGATAAATTAATAATTCGCGATGTGGAACACGACACATAAAAGAACAACACATCAAACGTTGATTATAAATCATAAGGAACAACCGAGAAATATTTCCAATTAATGGCACTCGAAGCGGCCGAGCAGCCCATCTGAAGACGGGAGCTGTTGCCAAGGCTAGGGTCAAGGCAGAGGTGGGCTGGAGAAGGTATTGATTGTGTCTGAGAGGTCAAGTTTAAGGGCAAACAAAAGGAAGCTTCAACTGGGAGCAGGAGGTGGAAATTGAGCGGAACGAGGGCTAAATGGAGGGGAAGAATTGGCATTAGAAGGTAATTAGCTGTGTAGGTTCCTTACATACCATCGGAGAGAGAGACACCGGCGCTTAAGTAGGGACTAAGTGCCTGTATATTAGGGAGAATCCTATGCCAGAAACTGAGGGATAATTGAGGGAAATAGGGACTGCTCCTATGAGGAAAAGGAATAGATTCTTCTGTGCATCAACCGAAAATTCTACAAAATTATAAGCAACCATAAGAATCTGCCTTATAGAATCCCCAATAATATGATCTCTCTCCATCTCTTGCAGAGAAACGTTCATTTTCCTTCCGCCTGCGCCGCTCGTTTGGCGACGGAGGCAGCACCAACAGTCGCAACAGCAACAACAACAGCAGCACCTGCACCAATCACAACAACCAGAAGAGGTGCAGCACGCCGCTGACACCCACCAGCACCAGCACGGGCCGCCTGGAGGTGCCCGGGGCGGCGTCGGTGAGCCGTAGGAGCAGCATCTACAAGAAGCCGGACAAGAACGACGGCGGACAGATCCACTTGATACCGGACGTGGAGCTGCCGCTGATGACGTTCGCGGACCAGTACAACATTGAGAAGACCCTGGCGGAGGGATGCTTCGCCAAGATACTGCTGTGCCGGCACAGGCCCACCAACACTCTGGTGGCCCTGAAGGCAGTGCACGCGGAGCTGACCACGATCAAGGAGTTCCAGAAGGAGTTCCACTACAACTACGAGCTGTCGCACCACCACCACATCCTGAGCGCCTACGCGGTGGCCTTCCAGACGATGGACTACTATGTGTTCGCGATGGAGCACGCCCCGTACGGAGACCTGGCCTCGAACATCGGACCCAACGGCCTGCACGAGAACGCCTGCAAGCTGATCTCCGAGCAGCTGAGCTCGGCCCTGGGCTTCATGCACTCGAAGAACCTGGTGCATCGCGACCTGAAGATTGAGAATATCCTGGTGTTCACGCCGGACTTTACCAGGGTGAAGCTGTGCGACTTTGGGGCGACCACCAAGAAGGGCCTGCTGGTGCACAAGGTGAAGCACACGTGGACCAGCTGTGTGCCGCCCGAGCAGCTGGAGCTGATCAAGAACGAGCGCTTCCAGTGCCTGCCCATCAGCGATTCCTGGCAGTTCGGCATCCTGCTGTACAACATCCTCACCGGCAATCCGCCCTGGCAGTCGGCCGACTGGGTCAAGGACCAGTCGTACGCCAACTTCATGAAGTACGAGCAGCGCAAGACGACCAAAGTGCCGGACAGTTTCCGGCGATTCTCGCCCCGCCTGATGCGCTGCTTCCGCAAGTATCTCAGCCACGATCCGGAGGACCGCTGCAAGATCACCGAGGTGACCAAGTACATGAAGGACCGCTGGGTGGAGTGCCGCATCTCCACCTCCAAGTCGGCCACCCTCATCTCGCCCACGCACCACGACCAGGACTCGTGCATCTACCTGAACCAGCGCGAGGGCCGCCTCTCGGGCGACGAGAACAAGCTCCGGTTCAAGCGCATGATGTCCAGCTACGGCCTGGACATACCCATCGATCCGGTGATGGTGCGACGGCGCGTCTGGGACTGGCTGTCCACCTGCGATGCCAGCTTCGATCCCGAGGTCGAGAGCTTGCACGGCCTGGACATGATGCATTAGAGGGCAGCGAGTGCCCTCTTATAAAATATCATCCTCTGCGGAACTGTTTGAATTTGTAGATCTATGAGATCAAATATTATATTAATGTTAGCGAAATTTGCTATGCTATAGGTATTTAGGAATTTAGTAAGAATTTGTACCGTTAAGAGACCCCTCCCCCCCCCTCCCCCCTACCAGAAACCACTTGGAGAAAACACACGTCAACGGATTCCACTAGTGTTACCTTTCTAGTCTTCCGCCGTAATGATTTTTTCGATATATTCTACATGTCTATATTGTATATACTATATCTAATATATAATGTGTGATTTACGCGTTACTTACTTTAAACGATATACCATACGATACGATACATATACGGTACGATACGCTACCAACTAATGCAATTATCTAGATCTAGAATTTATATATAGCGTTTACCCGATATATTTGTAGAGAGAAAATGAAAGTGGATGATGACCAATTACTAGACATCTAAGTTTCGTTGTATATTCGTAGCAGCTCTTAATCTTAATGTCTATCTGTAATCTGAAATCCATAGTACTTCTTCTATGCGTATCCCTACCCCCACAAAGAACAATTTTGTATATACGACTTTTACCATTAAATATTGATTGATATCCTATGTATACCATATACCAAAAACTGCAACAAATATAGAACCCTAAACAGAGTTTATATGAAAGTTTACGGAAAGTCTTTAAAGACTAATATCATTCCAGTTCCAGTGCCAGTTCCAGATGCTTTCTCTCTCGTTAAACAAGATTTTTGGCAAACGAATTCTCATTTAAACAAAATAATGCCAGGGGGTTCCAGTGGGGAAACACAAACTATGCTAATCGATAAATATTTATGATTAAAATTTTAATTATTTATTGTTGTTTGGCTACCGCTGGCGGTGGAGGTGGTGGCTGTGGTGGTGGCGGTGGCCTTTCGGATTTAGTGTCTTGGCTAATTACCTAGGCGTCTGGAAGGTCATCTCTGTTGTTGACTTTGAAAGGCAGAGCTGCCATAGCGGTGGTTCCCACTCGATCTCTGGAGAAGAATGCCCCACCGAAAACGACTTTGTTGCCTCGAGCATTGGACAGGCAGGATGTGACGCCTCGGTTCGCCATAAACAAACACATTCAGGTTCGGGTTCATTCAACAAAAGGTGCCGTGCGGCAGTGGGCGGACCCGGACACATTGTTTGCATTAGACCTGTCTTGTCTTTGCCAATAAAAGCGAATGATACGAGTATACCCGTGAATCTAGGGCCCCCCTTCGAATCCGATCAATCTCCCAATGCCTGATTGATTATTCGGTGTCGTATTAATCGCTGCCTGTAATTAAGTTAAACGCTTGAACGGTCAGTGCCGTTTCACCTTGACTTTGTTTGATAAATGACAACAACAACAACAACAACAAGAACAACAGATTCCGAGCACTTTTTTATGGGGCGCATGCCGACGGCACTTAAATATTTTTAATGCCCCGCCGTAAGGGGTGGCTAGACGAGAGAAATGTGAATGGATTGGACTGGAAAATACTTTGGAAATGGGGAAAAACTAGAGCAGCACTATCAAGAACAAATTATTAGAATATCAAACAATACTCAAGGGTATACCTCTGGTCCCCGCCAATCGTTATGAGGATGTCTCTAGCACGAGCTGGCGAACAAATTGGGATGATCATAAATAACATTGGCCATGTGATCTGCATATTTCCATGCCACGCGCATCGAAGCCGTGAACCAAATAGTGGGTTTCTCAGGCCAAGAGCACAGCGCATAATGCAGTTGGTATTGCTATTCGGTTTTCTGGCAGTTCAAAGTAAGCAAACGATCGTTTATGGATCAATAAATATACAATTTATCCCATTTAATTAGTCGCTATTGGTGTAAAACTGTCGGAATATCAAAACATGTTGTGCCGCGCGCATAAATTTCATTTCAATCGCCACGAAAATAGGTTTTACGATGTCTCTCCGTCAACGCAATGAAATTTCGCCCGCATCTAACTTTTGGGTCCCTCCCGAGTTCTACGAGTATCTATCAGCTTACTGTGTGATTTTGTCGTTTTGTTTTGCGCGGGACATAATTTATGGGTCGCATTTGCCTTTTTGGCAATATCGCGAACGATCAAGAGGAATGGGTTTATTTTCGTTTTGTGGAATTACGACCGACTCTTTGGTCTATCAGCATTCTACCATATATATCACTCAGCCACTCCTCAAGCGCGAAAGTATGCAACCGATTGTTGAAAGCGTTGTTGAATGTTTTCGTTGGTGAGGGATCTTTGCAGTAGAGACACTTTCAGAGCAGATAATTATACAAACATAGGTATTAGGTTTACAAACCTAATGATACCAGGTATAGACATATGGTAAAAACATGATGGAAACTCATTTGAAAAATTGATCGGATTTTCTTGAAACTCGTCCATGGGGGGCTTTTGGGGTCGCTGATTACCAATTTGATGTCAGTTTTGTTGTTTCGAGATGTATCGAGTTCTTTTTTTTTCAAAAGATCTATTTAAAGATGTAGCAAGGCCGGGGAGTTCTTCGTTTTAAGTAAATCCGACCTTATTGGATCCGCCATTTTGAATTTTTGAAAACTGACTCCAAATGTGTAATTATGGACCCAGAAAGCCCACGATAATTATCCATCAGAATTCTTTCATTAGTATCCAACAGATTGTTGAAAGCGTTGTTGAATGTTTTCGTTTGTGAGAGATCTTTTTGCAGTAGATAGCAGATAGATTTCGCTAATGATACCAATTATCTATCGGAGTTCTTTCATCAGTTTTCATCAGTGGCCCCCATCTTTCATTAGTATTCAACAAAATTGTTGAAAGCGTTGTTGACTGGTTTCGTTGGTGAGAGAGGTCTTTACAGTAGGTAACATAAAGCTTTCGCTAATTATACCAATTATCTATCAGAATTCTGCCATAACTATCCATCAGAATTCTTTCATCAGTATCCAACAGATTGTTGAAAGTGTTGTTGAATGTTTTCGTTGGTGAGAGATCTTTTTGCAGTAGATAGCAGATAGCTTTCGCTAATGATTCCAATTATCTATCAGAATTCTGCCATCAGTTTCCATCAGTGGTCCCCATCTGGTAATTGTTGCCCCGAAATGAAAATACTTTTCCCATCGGTTTCTCATATTTGTATATTCGGTTTATTGGATGCACTTTGGTCCACGTGCAGATCTTTTGGGGGTTATTCTTTGGGGCTGTTGCTCTCAATCGCTTAGTAACTAAACAAATGGTAGGGGAAGCTTTATTTATGGATGGGGCGTAGGTGTCTAAAGTCTAACGAGCTGTCAAAAATTTGTGTGTGTTTCGTGTGATATAAAATGTCTATAAAAATGTTTGCCATAAATCATAAAAAATGAATGAAGAATTGCAGCAGTCGAAACAGAGTGTTCCACTCATCATCCATCACTCCGCCGGTGTCTCCTCCCTCGACTTCAGGCCGACTTCAGTGGAATATGCTGTTTGATTACCTATAAGAAAGATCGGAATTGAGAGATGGATGGATGGATGGATGCGTGGATGCATACAATAAACATTCTCGATTGCCCGAGCGCCCCCGAAATGTTTACAATTAAATAATAATAAAACGAATATCAATTAAGACGCGTGTGAAATACGTCAGAGACCCCAACGGGTTCTAAATTTAGTTGCCCGGCTAAACGATTTCCCTTTCCATTTGGGTGCGTTTAGTTTTATTCATCAATCGACGGGGGCGGTGGCTGAATCATACCCCGATCAGGTCAAAACATCCCGCCCCCGGGCGCAGGAAGCGCGTTTTTCAGTGAAAAGCATTTGGAAAAGAAAACCAAATCGCAGCCAAACAAATAAAAGGAAAGGGAAACCAATAAAGCGGATCGATTGATGGTGGTGGCGGCCAGAAAGAACTCACCTCGGAGCACATGGTCTTGTAGATCTCGTCGGTGTCCCAGGGTCCGCGTTCGGGCAAGGCGATTCCCCGCCTACGCAGTTCCTGCACGCAGTCTGTTAGATCGAAAATGGGCAACGGATCGATGCCGGCCTTGGCCACCTTGGCAGCTAAATACTCTACATAGTGGGTGCTAAAGAGAAGGCCCAATCTGTAGTAAAAATCTTCGATTTGGAGGTGCATCCCCTGCTCTCTTACCGACACATGCCCGCATGCTTGTCGGGCACTTCCGTGTTGCACACTGTGTCCACCAGGCCCTGGGGCGTCTCCTTTTGGAGCGGTATGGGACAGCGGGCCATGGCTCGGGCCGTGGTCGAGCTACTCAGTTCGTCCTGGACCTGCACGGGCTCCGTGTCGAACGTGACCTTTTGCTCCTTGAGCAGGAACTGCAGCTGCAGGGGTATCTTGTCGCGCAGATAGAAGAGGCAGTTGCGCGGATGATGGGCATGCAGGCCGAGCTTGGCGCAGTAGGAGGACACCTGGCACTTGGCGCCCATCATGAAGGGACGCGCACAGCCGTAGCAGAACTCAAATTTGCACTGAGTGCAGGTGAAATGCATGCAGCCGCCCCTGGAATTGAAAAATTATGAATATATCTGCCATTTCGAAGGGTAAGCGTATCCCCACCTGGCCAGCGAATAGCGGAACTTGCACTTGGGACAGTCAATGCCGTTCTGGGCCAAATGCTCTTGGACACCCTGTGCCTGCTTCTCGGGATCGTTCTCCCGGCGCCACTCCAGGTAGGCCTCACAGCTGCTGCCCTCGTGCTGACGCTCCCAGGGCTTGCGGCACTGGGCACAGGTCACCGAGCCACAGTCCGGGCAAATCAGACGCTTCTGCTTGGGCCGGGCGAAGAATCCCGACGAGCATTGGATGCACCACTTGAAATTGGGGTCCTGCAGGAGGGTGCGATCGCGGAGCTTGCGCTGGAAGAGCTCGTGCACATCGGTGTCGAGAATACTCTTGAGAAAGATGTCCAGATTGGAGAAGTACTCCAGGTGCTCGTCCTCGTGCTGCTGCTCGTTGCTCAGCTCTGGCAGCTTGCAGAAGGGGCAACTGCAGTCATTGATACTGCGATCGGTGATCTGTTGGATGGAATAGAAGCTAAGTCCCCATCGGATAATCCCTGGATCTCCCGCACTGACCTGCACTGTAAAATAGCTCTTGGCGCACTGCTTGCAGCATTTGTGGGTGCACTTGAGCATGGACACGATCTGGTTCATCGGGTACGTGTTCATGCACAGCTCACAGTCCTGCTGCAGCATGGCTATGGCCTGGTCCAGGTCCGAGCACTCCCTAGCCGCCCACAGGGCCACGTCCTCTTGGAACTTCATGTTCACCAAGGTGGCAGCTATCTGGGCCTCGCCAATGCTCCTCAGCGTGCCTTGCGCCACGTATTTGCGGGCCAGGACCTGCAAGGGATAGGACATCAGATCTGGTTAGACATTTTGGGGGAGAGAGGGCTCTCTCGGACTCTACACACCGCTGGATCCTCTAGGACAGGCTCCTGGACACTAGGATATGCCCGGAAGACGGGGATACTCAGCTTACGCTTTAGAAGTTCTGCCTTGAGGGGCTCCGTGGTCTGCGGATCGTCGTTTGGCTCCTCCCCATCGCTGGCAGAGGTCTCGTAGTCATCGTCGGAGAAGCAGGTCTCGTGGTACTTCTTCTTGGGAATGCGAGGCTGGGAGCGTGGCTTCAGCAGTGCCGCAGCAGCCGCTGCCGCTGCTCCACTCGTGCTGGGTCCATCTAGGGGCGGCATCGTGGAGGTCTTTGTGTTGAATCTGCTGATGGCCTCGCTGATGGACTTCTTGGTGGTGGGACTGCTCTTGAGGGGCACTCGACTGGCTGTCAGGGTCGTCTGCTTCTGCAGATACTCCTGCTGGATGCGCTTCACGGACGATATGCCCATGGGTGCGGAGAAAGACTTGGAACGGAGTGGCTGCTTCTTTGTGTTTGGAGTGGGTTCGTTGGTGGGTTTGGGTATTTTACTGATCGTGGACTTGGCTGTCTTGGGTGTGGCACCTCCCTCAGTGTGGGCTGTGGCTGTCTTGTTAGCTGTTTTCGCTTGCTTCGGGCTTGTTACCTTTTTGGGCTCTTCCAATACGGTCTCAACGGGCAGCTCCACGGGACGGGACTCGGAATCGACTATGGGTGGTGCCGGTGTTATGGGTAGGGCTTCCACTTCTTCTGTGCGGACTTCCAGGACTATTTCTGTGGGTGGTTCGACGGGGCGACTCTCGGAATCTTCTATGAGGGCAGGAGGTTGTATGGGCAGGGCCTCGACTGTGCTGGAGGGAAGTTCAGTTGCTGGCTCCTCCTCCACGGCCTCCACTGCCTCCACTTGTGGCAACAGAAGACTGTTTCCTGTGGACGAAACAACCTCAGTCTCTGGGACATCATGGCTTGTGGGCGTGACTGATTGGGAGGGATCGGGGACTGGCGCTTCATGGGGGTTCGTTTTCTGTGTGTGTCCCTCCTCCTCCTCCTCCTGCTCTTCATCTTCTTCGATGATGTCCTTGATTTCGGTGCCCTCGTCACCGCTGGAGGCATCTCCCACGAAGGATGTGTGCTCGTTGTAGGTGGTGCCATCCTCCTCGTCAAAGTCGCCCTCTTCCTCGCCCTCGCTGTCGTACCACTCCTCCTCCTCGCCCTCGTCATATTCGTCCGAATACTCATCCGAGTACTCGTCCTCGTCGGTGGACTCGAAGTCGTCCAGGCTGATCTCGTCGCGCATTTGCTTGATCAGACGCTGAGTGTCCGAAACGAGTTCGCTGAGGTTTTGCTTGGCCGGATCTCCCGAGGGAACGAACTCTTTCAGGACCATTCGGGACGTTTCCGAGTGACTTGAATGCGACTCGATGCTGATGTTGCTGTTGGCCACGTCCTGTGCAGCAGAGTCCCCGCCAATCACAAGAAGCACCTCTTCTTCTGGGGACTTGGTCTCTTCACGCAGCGACTGTTCGTCGCTGTCGACAATGCTGTAGAGCTCTGTATCGGAGGCAGCCTCTTCGTCATGGGGTCGGGTCCCCTCGCTGCTGCTGAACTCTGGGGCATCTTCAAATATCTCATCGGATTCTACGGGACTAACTGGGGCTATTTCTTGCTCTGAGTGGGTGGCTTGAACTGTTGTCTTGGGGAGGCCTGAATTTGTTGAAGCCACCTGATTTTGCTCCTCTTCTCTGGTAACAATCTGCTCCTGCTGAAGTGGATCTCTCTCCTCCATTTCGATTTCTTCCGCTCCAGTTGGTGTGTGATTGCTGGCTCTACTTTCACTGCGCAGACTATGGGTACTGGAAGTTCTCACGGGTATCTTAGAGAACCGTTTTGGTCCACGTTTTTGATCGGTTTTAGTTGGCGACCTAATGCGGGTTTCCTCGGCTTCTGCAGCTGTTAATTGTGGCTCGATGAGAGGTAGAGGTTCTTGTATGAGAGAAGACTCGGAAGTAAGCGATTCTTCGATGTTGTTTTCAATAGTTTCCTCTGAGTTATCCTTTGCAACGGCCAAAGCTAGGTCTTCCTCTACCACTGTCCTTTCTTCGGGTTCATCTTTAGCATCTATAGGCTCGAAGTTCTGCCCAAAGGTGTCTGGAGATTGAGGTACTGTTTGGGTCTGAACAATCTGTTCCGATTGGGCGACTTTAACCTCTACAGCTTCGGAAATTGCTTCTATCGGGGTAATAGCTTCCTCTTGGACTGAGAGAGATATATTCGCATTCACAGTCGATTCAATCCCAGCGGATTCTGAACCTGATAGGACTGGTTGGTCTCTCTCTACTTCGCTTGGGAGAGCAGTTTTTGCCTCTGGTGAGATCTCACTAGAAGTAATATCAGCATCAGTTGTAGCTATGGGTTCTGTGGCAATGGAAGTTTCTGTGGGTTGGCTAAGACTCTCTATTTCTCTATCCGCAGGAATAGTATCTTTTGGGGCTTCTGTTTCTGCCTGAGTGGCATCTCTCAGGACCTCTTTGGCTTCATTTTGTTTCTGTTCAGCGTCTTTGGGAGGAAGCCGGACCCTGTTCACCGGCCTTTGACTCTGCTCACGAGCTCGAGCCTTTTTGGATTGCTGCGATCGTTTGTTCCTTCGATTGGCACCCTCCCGGCTCGTGCTGGGTCTGTCATCGAGGTCCACTTGGGAGGGCTCCTTTTGCAATATCTCCTTGGAGACTACCGAAGTATCTTCTTTGATTTCTTTTGCAGTTGGGGTTTCCGTCAAAGTATCTTTCAAGTGGGTTTCTTCTGCCGCAGCAACAGGTGTCGCTACGTCTTCAGTCTTTACAGGGACAATGGGAGTCTCAATTGTAGTTTCTTTTGGGGATTCTGCAGCTTGTTCTGGCACCTCCTCTACTAGTGGCGGTGCCTCCTCCTTGGGGGCTGTGTAACTCTTGTAAACAAGGTGCTCTGCATCTTCCAGATCCTCGGGCTCCCACTCCGCCTCGTGCAGCCTTTCGATGCCACGATCAAACTCCAATTTGAAGTTGGCTATTTCTGTGGCATAAATAAAGTTTGTGGCAAGTTCCTCGCGTATGGAGGCTTCCCGAATGTTGGGTCTGATAAACTCCTCCATTATATATACCCCAGGATCAACAATGGGTTCTGGCACAGTCTCCGGCTCTGGTAGAGGCTCTGCTTTGGCTACAGGAGGCTCTTCTTTGGGTACAGACTCCCCTTTGGCTACAGGAGGCACCTCTTTGGGTACAGGAGGCTCTTCTTTGGCTAGAGGAGGCTCCTCTTTGGGTTCTGGCTGCTCTTTTGGAGGGGGTTCTTCTGCTTCTTCCACTGGCACTGCATTGGAGGGGGCCTGTGGCTCTGCCTTGAGCTCCTGTTCCACCTGTTGCACTAGGTTTGGCACAATATCCTGGATGTGCTGCCAGACAAAGTTCTTTACATCCTCCGTGGACTTGTCCTCGACAAGCGAGGTCGATGCTAGCGGCTTCAGGGCGCTGATGGGACTCTTGGTGAGAATGCGCATGACCTCCGGATCCGTTTCGTACTCCAGCTCCGGCTTGCCCTTGAAGGTCTCGAGCATGCTCTCGATGGAGCGCAGGACGTCCTGGTTCTGCTTGGCCTGGTTCTGCTCCATGTTACCGATGAGGATCTCGAGATTCTTGAGCGTGCTGTCCTCCAGCTGGTAGGGACTGGGGGTGGCATACGTGGACTTGGCGGGGCTGCTGTGGCTGTCCTCGAAGTCGAATGGCTGTATCTGTATCTGTGACTGTGTCTGTATCTGTGGCTGTTGCAGGCAATCCAAAGCATGAGTGTTGAGGAAATCAGTGATATCTACACGCCCCACACAAGGTAATGAGAGAGAGAGAGAGAGAGATGGTGTGAGTGAGACTGATTGAACGCCTATTGATTGACTCGATCTACAAACTACAAACCGGACTTGGTGTCTATGGCCGCCATGGCTCCACTCTCGTTCTCGACGCCATTCGGCGAGCCCCAGATGCGCATTAGAAATGGTTTGAGTTGTGTGCGATTCAGCTCCAGCAGCGCCTGCTCCACATTACCTTGATGCGCCGTCAGCGCATTCACGATGTCCTCCCGCAGGAAGTTGCCCTTGGAGGCCAGCTTCCGGTACTTTTGCTGCCGCTGCTGGATGCAGTCGGCCACCGCCTGCCACACGTTCCCGCTGGAGCTGCGCAGCGCCTCCCGGGCCTCGTTCTGCGAGATGCTGCCAATGGTGTTCTCTCCCCGCTCTTGGCCGTATTTCGTGGACAAGCTCTGGACGGTCTGGACCAGCTTGTGCCAGTTCTCGCGCAGCCACTGGATGGGATGGGTGTCCGGGGAGCAGTACTTCAGCGCAGCCTCCAGTTCTTCCACCGTGAATTTGTAGAGCTCCAGCTCCTTCAGAATGATGTGCATTTCGGTCTCGGGATCTCTGGCTGGCTCGTGCTTCAGATTCAGCGAAAACGAGTCATGTGGCAGGTCAAAGGGTGACGAAGATTGCTGCAAGGGAGAGGAAATGTTTAGCTTGGAACCCATTCGGGGGCCAGAACTTACGTGTTGCAGCATTCGTAGATCGTTTATAAAGTTGGGTCGCCTCGTGACCTGTCCTGTGTTGAAAGGATCCAGGCCGTAGGATCCTCCTTCGTTGTTGGCGTATCGCAGATCATTCGCACTGCGATATCGTTCGTTCTCCTGCGGCAGTTGTGAGTTGCTGCGATAGTACGGACGTCGTTCCATTTTGGTGCTGGGTTCCGGGGTCCTAAAGCGCTCTGGCACTGGCGGTTCCTCCTTCTTTGCGACAAATGGCAGAGCGTCGTAGGTCTGCAAGTAGGATTGTGGGATTAGCCCCTTGCCAAAAGGTGTGCCTTCGAATGTTACTTGTGTGGAGATGCTCTGAGGCGGCGGCGAGGTGCCCATTTCCATCACCTCGCGGGGCTCCTTGTTCTGGGCCTGCTTGAAGACCTCCTCCGCCTGGGCCTGTATGCTCTCATCCAGAGTGTTCCAAATGTTCTCCACGGACTCTGGAAACGGTACGGGATGAGAGCTTTAGTCTTGGAAGTGGCGTGATGTGGGGTCTTAGAGGGGGACTCAAAACAAACTGAAACGCAGGCTGTGGTTGTGGACTTGTTTCTGTATTTGGTTCCGTATAAATGCGCGTTAATTGCAGTTGGCTTACAGTTGATTAATGCTTTATTAGAGTGGTACATTCTAGGCTTAGTCTGGGTCTGGGTCTAGGCCTTGGTGCCCTCGAAAAATGAGATTCGCTTTTGTAGCCTACCTTTCTGGATGAAGCCCCGGGCCAGAGAGTTATCGGACTCGTTTTCCGATGACGTCTTCAGCGCTGGCTTCGGGCTGGGCTTTACGTTGTTCTGCTGTGCGGAGGAGATCTTGGAGTGGCTTGTGGATGTCGTTGAGGAGCTCTTGGAGTTGCTTGTTGCAGCTGTGGAGGTCTTGGCGTTGCTTGTGGAGTTTCTAGAGCTAGTTGTGGCCGATGTGGTGCTCTTTGAGTGGCTCGGAGCTGCTGTGGTCTTCTGGGAGTGGCTCGGAGCTGCTGTGATCTTGTGGGAGTGGTTAGTGGATGCTGGAGAGCTCCTGGAGTTACTAGTGGCCGCTGGGGAGTTCCTGGAGCTACTGGCGGCTGTGTGGGCTGTCCTTGGGGCTGTCGAAGTGCTCGTACCACTGGTGGTCCTCTCGCTGGCTGGCTTCTGGGACTTCAACGAGGACCTGCGCACCATTTGGGCCTCTGGCTTGTCGGCAATCTTGGGCTTATTGGCCTCTGTCTTCTTTGATTTGTTTGGTGGCAATGGGGTCTTGCTAGGCGTCTTGCAGCATATCGAACAGATCTTAATGTTCGGCTCGTTCACGTACGTGCAGAACTCGCATTCCCACTCGTGATCCGGTGTCGATGGCGGCGGTCCCAGGTCATCTGCCTCCTCTTCTGCCACCTCTTCAGGTGTGGCTTGGACTTGCTCCGGACTTTCGGCCTCTGCCTCACTCTCCGAGGCCGTGACCTCTTCCACCACTTCCTCGTACTCGGAGGCGCTCTCCTCCTGGGCTGGCAGCACTTTCGGCACCACTGCTGCGGCCTGGGTGTTCTCGTCCTTCATTTCTGGTTTACGTTTGTGCTCGGAGGATTTCTTCGCGGACTTGTGCTGATCCTGTGCTTCCTGGAGCTTCTGCTGTATTTTGGCCTGGACTAAGGCCCGTGTGCCCGAGCCCTCCGACTCCAGATCGGAGTAGATCCGACTCGTTCGGGCGGATGCTTCCGCGGGGACTGCCTGACTTCTCTTGAGTGTTCCTTCGGCATTGGAGTCGCGTCTCTCTGGTAGCCATTCGCTCTGCACTGACTTGGCAATGGATCCACGACGATCCCGCAGCTTGTGCTGCCTCGAACCATGCCTCTGATCGCCGTCGACCTCGTCGTTGGCGATGAACTGGGAGGCGCTCGACAGACGCCTCTGACGCTGCTGCGGATGGTGGGATCGCGAGGCGCTGGTCATGGCCGATCTGTTCGAAACCAAGGACCGGCGATCGTCCTGGTCCGAGTCCTCATCATCGGTGAGCTCATCGTCTCCGTAGCTGCTTCGCTTCCGTCGCATGGACATGGACTTCCGGCTGGGGGTGGGCGAGGCGGCGTAGCGGGCACGGGAGGCTGCTCGAGAGGAAGTCGACGGAGGCATGCCCATGACACCTAGCAGAAGATTGCATTTTATTGGTGGCACAAAGGTACTCTGTGGCCTCTGCTCACCTGGATGCATCATGGGATAGCCGCCCGGTGCTCCGGGATACATGTGCGGCACCATGCCCCTCTGCGTCATGAACACAGGTGGCGGATAGTGGGGATGATGCGGATGCTGCTGCTGTGGCATGTAGCCCGGACCCACGTTCAGCGAGAGATTCGAGTGATTGAAGTGCTGCTGGGAGCCGAACTGTGACCACTCATCGGGATGCTGGGGATGCTGTTGGTGAGCCTGGGGCCAGCCACCTCGCTGCTGATTCTGCTGGCAGCCAGTGCAGTTCAACTGGGCCATGGATTGGGCCTGCAAAGAGAGAGCGTAAGAGATTGCGTATACGCCGCGTATGCCCACTCACCTGTTGCATCCGCTGATTGGCCAGCCATGCGGCTCCTCCTCCCCCATTCTGTGTTGTCTCCGATGCCAGGGGCCTGCGGTTGTTCACGTTCGAGGCGGTATTCAAATTGAACACCGAAGTGCTCATCTGACGCCGCTGGGCACCCGCTGCCTGTCGTCGTTGTTGTTGTTGTTGTTGTTGTTGGAACAACAGGGAATTCGAGTGAAAATTGTGTGAGAGATCATCCGAGAGATCGAAATGGGATGAATTCAAACCGGATGACATGCTGCCGGAACGAAAATGCGAGGGCGATGGTGAGATGTTTGACCAATGCTCGAAGCCCGATCCATTCAAAAAATGCTGCTGCTAGGGGTAGGGGGTGTGGGGCGTAGGGGAATGACCAGAGAACAGAGAACGAGAAAGAGAGAGACGAAACGAAACGAGACGATACGATACGATACGATACATAATGAGGGAAAGGATTCAAAGACATGTAAGGGATTCGTCCCTTACCTGATCATCGCCTGGATCCAGTCCCAGCGACTGCTGCTGGGCCTTCTGCTGACGGTATCGCTGCTGCAGGATGGCCATGCGGTCCAGCGTGGCACTGGCCTTGCTCTTGATCTTCTCCAGCTGCACCGACGGTGGCCTCTGTATGGCATCGAACACGGACTTGGGCGTGCCGGACCGGGAGGAGCCACCACCCTCACTCCTTGGCGGCTCCGGCAGCGGGCGATTGTTCATCAGCTGTGGGGCGGAAGCCGGCGGAAATGGGGGTGTGGCGGCGCCTCCCCGCCAGCCGCTGTGCGTGGACTTGTGCGAGGGTGTGGGCGAGGGCGGCGGTAGCATCTGCAATAGAGGTTCGGGTGTTTTGGGTTCCAGTTCCAGAATCAAAAGTACGACTACAAGTTCTGGCTTTGGTTTGTTGGACAGGCGTGGCATTTGAGGAGTGCTGATAGACTGATTTGGTTTTTTATTGAAGCTCTCAAAAGTGAAGATTACAAACTTGGTTCTAAAGAGTAGTAGGTGGTAGCCAGGGGCCCGGGGCCCGGGGGCCAGGGCGAGGCAGTGGCGGAGTTTTGTATGGTTTTTTTTTTGTTTGGTTTAAGAAATCGTGCAGTGGCGTACCTGATCCTTCCGTCCCAGGAACGGTGTCAAGAGGCCCCCGCGCTTGCTGCGGCGCGGTGGCGCCACTGGTGCTGCTGGTCCACCACCTGGCTGCACCTTGGGTGGTATGGGCGGAATGCCCTGCTCCACGGCCTGCGGGAAGTAACAGGGGAATTATCTGGTTCTCCATTGCAGGCAGGGGCTAGAGCTACCTTTCGCATATGCTGCTTGCGCTTGGGATGCTTGTGGAACATGTCGTCGCAGGAGGCGCAGAAGATCTGGCCCGCGCACTCGGCACAGGTCACCCACGGATTCTGGGAGCCGCACAGGGTGCACTTCAATTTGTTGTCTGTGTGAAGGGGTTACAGAATGATCCTTTATGTCTGCCATATCTATGAGACCTCCTTTACCTGGTGTCTTGGTTCGGATCACTGTGGTCTTCAGGGGTTCGTTGGAGTACTGCTGTTGCTGGTTGGAGAACTCAATGACCTCGTAGTCGGGCTCCGGCGTGGTCTTCACTTTCGGCGGCAGGGCTGGGGCCTTGGGCAGACTGCCGCCATTGCTGGCCACCCCATTTGGGGGCAGGGGCGGTGGCTTGGGGCCAATGCGATCATTTGCTTCCATCTGAAAGGGTGTCTCTGGTAATTCCATGGTACAGTTTTGGGCTTACTTCACTCACCACCCATGAGGGCATATTTCGAACATTTTTATTGAGCAATTGCTGTGTCGTCATCTTTTTGTCGGTTTCTTCTTGGTCGGGAGGCTTTTTCTGGCTTCTGTTTCAAATCTGTGGGTTATATAAAAGATGAATCGATCTATCTATGGGATAGAACTGTGTTGCCCCTCGTTCATAATTCTATTTATATTCCAACCCGTTCCCTGTGCCACATTCGGGACACTTCAAACGACTTCATATTCAATTAAGCAAACTGCCAACAAAATGTGTTTTACGAGCATATACTCGTCCGAGTATGTATACGATTTTGAGAATATTTTTAGCTGTCTCACCCAAATTCCGGAGGCAATGTCCTAGGTGGGGAAAATGCTCGCAAAAGTGCACTTTTCGTGGGGGGAACTAAACGCAGCCAGCGTTCGAACGCTAATACTCGCGAAAAGCCGCTAAATTTAGGCTAAAACATCTCTCTCGAGCGGCAAGAGAGCGAGCGAAAACAAATAATTTGGCAAAAACATTTTCTGGCTTGTTTATTTATGAAATGATGCGAAAAATTCAAAAGAGGAAAGAGGCTTTTTTCGTTTTTTGAGTGGATCAATTAGAGCACGCTGTCAACGTGGCTAAGTGGCTGAAGAAGAGCGGCCAAAAGAGGCGAAAAGATAGAGAGAAAATAGAGAGAAGAACGGGAATGGGTTAAGTAAATATTTAAATGAGAAAATCATTTGGGAGAGCTTTTTATTGTGTGTTCCCAGAGGTATATTACAATGAAACGCTCTCTTATAAACTATTGTAATGTGCAGTAGAGAATATGCTACGAAAATCTACAAGAATGAGCAGAGAAAGTAAGAGAGAGAGAGAGAATATTTTGTAATGACGCAGGTTGCATGCGAGACCTCATAGGCTGCCAAAAATGATGGAAAATTAATTCCTATCCAGTGCATATCGGCTGTGCCTTTATACTATACACATTTCTCTATCAAAAAATGCATATACCTTTTAATTGAAAATTTCGCTTATTTATGGCAAAATTTCTGTTCACTTTTTTGCGTAATAAATGTGTGATTTCTAAACAAATATCAACCTTTTTCCTTCTTTAATGGTTTCATTCTATTCTTCCTTTAATTCCATTCTCTAAGGAAGGAACTTTTTACTTAAAATCTGTACTAAAAGGTCCTACAGTTCTCTTTTAAATCCATCCATCTTTGCGGTGCATTTTTAAAAAGATTTTGTGGGTATATTCCAAATTCCAAGTATGAGGAAGTGTCCTCCATGCCTGAAACACATTTTTGTCTCGTAGACAGTACATTCATTTTATCGCACAGTGCTTAACTATTTATTTCTGAAGCAATTAATTTCCTTACAAAATATTCGCCCAAGAAAAACACAAGAAACGTTCACTACATGCGCACATCGCGTATACGCAACGTTGCCGGGGGTTCGTTCTTGCAATTCGGTATCTCTGGCACTATTTATAAAATCTTCTGCAGTTTTTGTCCATACTTCTCGGCCGAATATATGTCACACTGTGAGTTATATTTATGAAAGCCGCCTGCAGGCACTGGGTACTGGCTTGGTGGTTGGGGCATGAGATCACACATCCCATCCCATCACACCTTGGCCATTCATGTGGTGGATGCCCTGGGAGGCAGCCACCGAATACACACACACATACACACGCACAAAGCACACACCACACTGACACACACAGCCGCACAGTCCCGCAGAGAAAATGAAATAAAAGTTTTTTATTTTTATGGGAGGAACTATTTTTAAACATTTCTTTGGCTTGCCTAAATTTTCTTTTATTTTTTTTGGTACGATTCAAAGTTGGAAAAGTAACTAACAGAAAATATACAAATATTGATGTTTGTGCGTATGGGGGAATAATCGTTTTTAATTATTTATTTTTGTTTATTGAAATCGTTCGAAATCGTGCCTTGAACTTTTGTGTTTAAATTTAGGCAGGTTTTTATTCGTATTTTTAGCACACTTTTCTTCACTGCGATTCCCCGACTTTCCGACTTTCCGATTCTTCTATTGAACTCTTGGGTATTGTTTGGCTTTTTCTGCGTATCGGAGGCTACGATAGAGAGATCTCACTTACATAATTCGATTTCACTTGACGCGTCTTGCCGCACTCAAAACTGCCACTGCCAGCTGGTACCACATGAATATACTATATATATAGAGTATAGTAGGGATATGTACGTATATATATATTTTTATTGGTCTGTACCGCTGCTCGACATGAAATATTTTTGCTACGGTCTCGTTCGGCGATCGTCTCCCAACAAACTGAAATCTCTATAAAATTCTAAACAACATTTTTACTGCAGGCCAGGCCAGGCAGACAGGCCGCAAGTTGTCGTCGGTCTCTGGGTCTCCGTTCGAGTAGGAAGAAGTCAACCCAACGCAGAATTTTATTCTCATTTTGTCTGGCTCTCTCTTGTGTCTCTTGTCTTTCCCCATCTATTTTCAGTATTTTCGCGTTGTCTTAAAAATACATCACATCGTATCGTATCGGTATGGTCCGAGTATAGAAGATCGCGTGTGTTGTGTGATCAAATCTGCTTCTATATTATTTTATTTTATTTTACTTTTTGTTGTTGAATTCTTCTAATTTATTACCTGTTGCTGAGAGTTTCCTGTATTTTGAGTGAATGAAATAGGGTTGTAACCGTCTAACGATTTTCCATATTAAATACTTGATCGAAAAGCCAATGATTCATGGTTCATGCACCCCCAGAAGCTTACCCTTAATCGTTCATCGGGACACACCCCAAAAGCCGCAATAATATTATGATTATGATTTATTCCAAACAACAATCCACTGGGATCTCCTGCCAGGCAGCAGCCAGCAGCCAGCCAGACTCATCCGCTTGGAAATTCCCCTCCAAAAAGGCAACCTTGAATATTTCTGAATATATAACCCAACCATAAGAATAAATTACGAAGTCTTATAGGAGATGCAAGATGGAAGAAATGGGAGCACCAGAATAATAAGCACCACCTGCTGTCTGTGGGAGGTGGTGCAAATCAAAAGACCATTAGCTGATGGAATATTGTATGCTATTATGGGGATACTTAATTGAAGACGCCCCGTGGCAGGTCCACGTGGGGGTCCACGTGTCTGTCCGTAGGGAGAAACAATGGCAGGCAGTGGCCAACAAATGGTCTGAATGTACTCTTAAATGCATAATCAATTGACTGTGACACGAGTCAAAGTTCGGTAATTGCACGCACGCAGCTTTTTGGGGGGATAGAACACCCCCAACACGCCCACGCATTCACCTTGTCCATCGTCTACCCAATGACCTTGACTCACGGGTGACGTCGAAGCCGGCATGGCATGCGGCTGCGTCTACAGCTGATTCTGCACCGGCAAAATGTAGAAGCTCTCTCCTGCGAGAGAAAGCTCTTTCCTAGTACAGTGTAGAAGTATTGTACATCTGTCTAATGTCATGTAGATGCGGTGTAGATACGAGGGATTTTTCTTCGCCACGGTTTTCTGTTGATCTTTTTTTTTAAACATTGCTTTAGTCAGAATACAATAAATGGGAGTACTTAAAAGTAGTTCATCTCTTAGAAAAGGTATTCATCAATGGGACAAAACTATGTGGGCAGAGCTAAGGGTCTCAGTTAGCCGTCATTATTCAACGGAATATCAAAATCGAGGAATGAAGGCTGAGAGGTTAACCCATTGCTGACCAGGGGGGTATCAAAATACTCTCCACGAAAATTATGAATCTTTAAGAGTTTTAGCGCAGTTTAGGTAAACGATATCGTGGGCTTTCCTTAAGCAAAGATGAAGGATAGGTTGGACCTAGAAGAGTATTTATTATTATTATTGTTTGTATTATTTTTGGCGGCTTAACTCAACTTGTTATCCAGTTTAAATAAAGGGGGCCTAAGTGGGCTAAGTCGTTTTTCCATCGGTATGCTTACGGGATATTATGAGAATGAGACCGGTATAGTCGCGAACGATGCAAAACAAAGCTCCGTTGCAGGCGATGGACGCGCGTGGCAGAAGAACAAATTAAGTTTTCCACCTGCCACTCCCACACTGGCCCACAACCCGTTGCGTGTGCAAAAGGGGCGTGTGAGTGCACGAGTGTGTGTGCCTGTGTGTGCAAAGGGAAATGGAAAATTTAATATCCCGCTCGGGTTCTCAAAAGAAAGAATATATGCAAAATATAATACAAAAAGTGAAAGAAGTGCCTTTATAATTTAACGATTTTCGCGTCAGTATATTGCAGGCAGCAATGAAAATGATAATGATTCCAGAATACATAATTCCATTTCAAAATACATAATATATAACCAACAGTTTGTAGAAAGAAATCTCTAAGAGATGATAAAAGTTATATTTAATGTTGCTTAAATGAACTTTAACACAAAAAAAGCTACGTACCTTGGAAAATAGAGAGACATAAGTGTTGACTATAGTCAAAATATCAAGTATCAAGATAACTTTAGAGGATACAATACATCTAATATTGAAAAACAATAAAGAACCCACATAAATCTTCCTTGTTCCATATAAAATGCGCCAAAAAGTGCAGCATCAGCTGAGCAGAAAGTTCACCTTCACCCAATGAACACGGCCATACGACATCGTACCACTAACACACATACTACGAGTAGTTATAAGAAGAACAAAACATATGAAAAATCGATACTAAAATCTGCAACAGCAGCAGCAGCCGCAACGCGGTCCCCGGCCGCGCCCACTTATCCGACAACTACTCGTGAATCCCCATCGAAGCTACATACAAATCTAAAGGAAGAAATCCAATAGGCCAAAAGCATCAAAGTGTTCGGAAACCAGGCCATACCCAGCAGGGACACTACCGTCGAGGCGGGAAGCCGCAGAATGGTGGATGCCAAACCGCCGCCCGCCCCCACACCGGGAGCGGTGCCGGGAACAACTCCGCCTCTGGCCGCCTTTGCCGGTGAGCGATCCAAAATCAAATTGTTCATGGAGCGAACACCCAGCATTGGGGCCCTCAAGTCCAAGTTTCTCACTGTGCTGGGCAACAGCAATGAGCTGCTCAACGGAATATCAAATAAGGTACGTACGATGGATGGACTCGTACAAGAGAGGAGAACGTGAGTCACGATCAGGGGTCAAGAATATAGTATAACATAGAAAGTGATAGAACCAAAGACAGTTTGGTACACGATGTACCTGAAATTTATGGGCATTACACCTACTATTTATATTGTTTTTGATACAATCCATGCCAAAGATCAATAAATTGTCATCGAATGGTTCCTCCTACTATAGCTCCAATTCACGACCCCCTGACACGCACATCTCTAGGCGGCAAACTGGGTTAGCCTTGGTAATGAACGATGGGGAAAGGAGGTAATTGAGGGTGGTTCGGAGGCGGTTCGGAGGTGGTTCGGAGGTGGTGGCTGTTGCAGATTGTACATAGGTTCTGTCTATGCTGCAAAAGCGACTGACACTTTGATAGTTTTCTGCTGTGCTGTACTATTTGCTCTTGTTGTTTCCGCTTTGCCGCCGCCACCGCCGCCGCCGCCACTGCAATCGTTTGACCTTCACTTTGTGGCATCGAGCTGGTTGGGGGTTGGCTTTTGGGCTGAGAGGTGTGAAGGCTGTGGTCGCCGCTTGCGTTGGGATTGGGGCAAGGACTGACAGGAGGCACACGCTCAGCTGTTTCCATTGTACTTGACTTTCTCTGTGCTCTGCCCTGCAGCCTCGTCCTTGATTGAAATTAATTATATATTCAACAGAGCACCAGACGAGTGAGTAAGTGGGGAAAATGGGAAAACGAGTGCTAACTGGGTGCCAAGTCTGTTTACCGTTTGTCGGTTCCGTTAATTACTTATGCACCCCATGCCAACCATCTTCCTCATTAAGGCCGAGTATTTCCTAGACTTGACCTCTGTCTTGTTTATGGTTTACTTCTTCGGCAACAACCTTGATCTACATGTCTTCTATTCTAGTTATTCTGTTTAGGAATGCTTTAATCTATCTAATTTACATTTAATCTGTTTGAATGTCTACAAACATATGGATAAATCTTTGAATTAACAATTTGTTTACAATTTTATTGAAGGCAGATTATGTGGGGCAGCACAAGAAAGATAGGAGGATAGATCAGAAGATATCCATACATCCATTTTTATACTTGTTCTACAAATTTAAAAGCCTGGAGCCACTTTCAAATGCCACACTTATTATCTGATTACTTAAGGATAACGATTTAATAGGCATGATTGTAGCTTGTATTGAATTAAATGTCTACCCAAATATAGATCCAATACAGAATTAGGTATACTCGCAAATCTATGTTCAAGTTTCTGAAGAAAAGTCTCTCGTATTTTCAGTTGACTTTGAGCTACAGCAGTAGCGATTCGGATTACTGTGATGACGATGAGGACATCCCCAAGTGTGAGTAGAGCCCCTAAATCATCGTTCTATATCTCTATATCATGTAATACTCTCCGCAGTTGATGAGACGATTGACTACACAAAAATCGATTTTGAGGGACGTCGGGTGAAGGCTCGCCGTGCCCATGAGGAGATCATCTCGGGTCGCTACAGACAACCCAATCTGGCGCCACGTAAGATATAGTAGAACTTCAATGGGAAACTAGTCATTGCAGAACTCTAGTCCAACACTTAGGTCCCCGCCCGGAGCCCACTCGGGGCCGTCATGGGGCCCCGAAACGAGGGGCAGCTGCTGGGCAGCAAAGGTCCAACTCGGCTTCGTCCAGCAGCTCTGGGGGCAGCAGCAGCGACGAGAGCAGCTCCATATCGCTGCCCGAGAATGCGGCAGCGGCAGCGGCGGGGGCGGGGGCGGCAGCAGCACCGCGCTCCCACGATGTGAGCAGCACCACGCGCTCGGATTCCATTGAGAGCCGCAACTCGGGAGGCTATGAGCGGCCCAGGGCCATTGCCGGAGCCCGGCGCAGTGAGATGGACGTGCAGAAGGACATGCAACGCATTATTGAACTGCTGGAGGCCAATCCGCCCCACATCGATGTGCAGCCGCCCACAGAAGGGGGAGGAGAAGTCGGCGGCGGGGGAGGTGGCGCTGGCTCGGTCAACCGTCAGCCCTGGGGAGCCGGCAGCAACTCGATGCGAGTGCCACCGCGCAGTCGCACTTCCAATAGCAGCACCCTGACCAGCCTGCGGGATGAGGTGGACCAGGTGCTGGCCAGCCCCAGCGTTGAGTCCACCGACTGGCGGCACTTTATCCGCTCCGAGTCGCAGAATTCGGTGCCCTCGTGGGCCTCCTCCATCAGTCTGGACTGCCGCGCCGGGGAGGAGCCCGTCAAGGAGTTCATGAGGCTCTTCACCGAGCTGCTGTTCTACAATACTGCGTGCGTCAACCTGGAGCTGAAGTCGGAGTTCGGGGTCCTGCTCCGCCTGGAGATCGGTCGTCTCTGGTTCACGCGCTTCCTCACTGAGCAGCGCAACAAAACGAAGCGTCTCGAATCGGTCACCTTCCACGGACTGCCTCAGTACTTTGCCTTGGCCCTGTTCGAGTGTGGGGAATGCGAGGACTTTGGCCCGGCATCGGTGCTCATGAATCTCTGTTTTCTCTTCTACCACGAAAGTGAGTTCTGAAGGCAACCCAAATCAAAGAAACCTCCAATTTACAGTCTCATTTTCAGTTGAAGTTCCTGGCTGCGATCCCTATCGCGAGTACCTGTTTCTCTCCCTACGGCAGCAGCCCATCTGGCATCAGCTGCACTTCTGGGACACTGTCCTCTGGGACGCCATGCAGGCGGATCGGGAGCATCGCCTCGCCAACGTACAGCGGCGCCAGCAGAGACGTCAGCATAAGAAGCAGCAACGGGTCTCCATCCCAGGAACAGAGGCACCTCTAACGCCAGCTCCAACGGGGACCACAGCACCGGAAACTGCAGATAAACCCGTGCGCAAGCATGGACCCGATTCCTCATCCAGCTCCTCGCATCAGGGCGCAAACTCGGGTTATCCTCCGGCGACCCGAAGGCAAAGCAAATTGAGTCCCGGACAGCCGCCGGTGCTGGGTAAAGAACACGAGGACACTGTATTCCGGCATCTGGGGTGAGTTTTTCGGATGATAGTTCCCAACATTGTAGTCTAATATCCCCTCACCTTCAGCGCCCTGACCTGCAACATGCATTCGCTGGGCACACCCAAGGAATTGTGCATCGACTTTCTCAAACGACATGCTCAGGGCCACGAACTATCCAAGGGTAATAGATACAGCATCTGATTCAATCGTAGTTGTGTCTACAATCTCATACACTTTCCAGATAAAGCAAAGCTCATCCGAGACAATGTCCATCGCATGTACCATGAGACGGAACTCTGGGGCGCACGATAAGCCAAGGTAAGCCCATCTATCTTTCCTTATATAACTTACGAGTGTATTTAGATCACATTTCTTTGCCTCTCGACAGCTCTTACTTTTCCTCAAGTACCTAATGAAAGCGTTTCACACTTCGTCTCCTCCAAAGCTAAACCTTTTTCTGTCTCAAGACAACTCCAAAGCTAATCCTAACTTAAAGTAGCTAAGCAAACAGTCAAGTTTCAAGTTTTCGTTTGAAAGTTTTCAGTTTTTCGGATGCTTTTGGTGTTCTGCAACTGATTTTGATTTGCGATTTCGTCCTTTTTTGTTTCAAGTTCGATATAAAACCTAATATCTCTAGACATATCGAGAGATAGAAGCACGGCATATCCCTTATTTGAAAAAAAGTCGCAGGTTCCATTCGAAATAAGTTTTGGGTTTTAGCCAGTTGCAGTAATGCCATCAATGAAATGAATACAATACTAATATATACATGTATATCCATAAATTGTGATAATAATATTTTGTGATTACTTTATCTAGATATAACTGTAAATTAAATCTATGAAAGTACTATAATCGTATATGTCTACCAAACAAAAAACAACAGAAATGCAACAATACCTTAACTATCCAACCTTCGCAGCAACAACAAAAGCATTCCATTGTTACAAATCAAGATCCAATAACTATGCAATATTCTGTCTCTAATGTAAGAAAGAATATTTCGAAAATATGTTATTAAATTCGTACTAATAAAAAGTTGAATTAAAATATACATAATTTTGAATCTCGCGGCAGAAAATACAGCCTGGTGCCGTCAGGTGTCGCCACTTGTATGTACATGTAGCTATTATGTAGAGTATATGTAATTTACATTAGTGGTGCTGTTAGCGCAACACAGTCGCACTTAACAGTGCAATAACATTTTGTAGCGCTCAGAGCACAGCTGTTTATAAAGTTAGTGGCGTTTTATTGTCCCGCTTATTTTTAATTAAGAAAACTTGTTAAGCAAACTCGGTGCGCGATGCTCTATTTTTTTGAGCCCAATGCGTTCCAATGGACTTGACAAAGGTACGAGCTAATTTCTTATTCTTATTCTTTGTCCCGAGACGACCAACTCCAATAGATCCTTAATACATATACATATATATTCAATATGCACGACGAAATTTTCGATCGGATCGAAACCGCCACTGACTGACAAATATTTCTGTTTCTTTCTTTATTCATTAAATGTTTGCAACACAAAAACATAATTAGCTTAATTTCATTTCGTTTCGTTTTCGCACGAGTCGCGAGTAATCCCGAAAAATCTTATTAGATAAATGATACAAATGTTTTTTGTTTCGTGAAATTTCGTGGTGTGGTGTGTAATAATCGCGCGCTTGAATATGGCTGGAATTTCTCGGTTGGTTGCACTGTGGGTGGCAAAGCTCTTGACTTGAAAACTTTTTCAGTTGTTCGTAAAACGAAATAATCATTAGATTTAGGCAAACATGGAAGCGATTCGATACCAACGATTCCAACGGTTCCATGCTTTACATAAGATTTAACAATTACAATTTATTTAGTTACTTCTTTGTACAGAATTCAACGGGGTGGGCGGTGGAGCAACGGGCAAAGAGGTGGGGGTGGAGGAGGAGGAGAAAACAAACGAGAATCGAGTAGTTCTTGGGCATGGTATAACATTTATAAATACAAACTAAATACAACTGACAGAAGGTAATGATCGTAATTACAAGAATTCATAATAAAAATAATAGATAAATATTAATAATAATAACACTATAGCAGTAGACAAGCCGACAAGCTATAACAACAATTGCGTGTGTGTACGATTTGAACTTTTCATTTAAAGATTTTCATTTATGCATTTCCACATCTATTTCCGTTCCCATTCGTTTTGGGCCGTGTGCCGGTGAGCCACAATTTCTGTTTTGAATTGACGCTCGGATTACTCTTTCTTTTCTTCATATAAATATATACAATACTCTCTCTTCTCTCCATATGCATATCTTCTATATATGTATGTATCTTCTATCTTCTGTGTGGGTGTGTGTTTCTGTGTGTATCTCTTGTAGTTAGGTAGAATGGTAGGTGGTTGAATGGTGGTAGATGCGAATGCCATATCCTCGCCCCATGCATATGGCTAGTGTTTGTGGTTGCGATCACAAGTTGGCGACAGTTTCAGACGATCGGACCGGCGCTTACTCCACGACAATCTGGAAGGTCACCGAACCCATGCGATCGCGGGCACTGCCGCTGTAGATGACGTTCTTGGCCCAGGCACGGCACTCCACGTCCAGCATCTGGCCCTTGGGCGGCGAGTGGAACTGCACGGCGACCAGGGGACTCAGATAGCCCGGCTGATTGAGGTAGGGATAGTAGAAGCTGGGGAATCCCTGGCTGGGATAGTAGCTGATGTTCTGGAAGTTCTCCTTGTCCTTGCCCAGATGTCCATTGCAGCTGACCCAGATTTGTTTCCGCTGAAAGACAAGCGATACATCAGTTAATATCCCATAGAAAAAAGCTCGGAGAAATAGTTATGTACCTCCTCTTGACTCGTGTTGGTAATGAGCCGGGTCAGATCCTCGGGCATGCCCTTCTCGGGAGCGTCGTACACTTCGGGCACCCAGCCAAAGATCTTGTTCAGCTTGAGGAATATGCAGGGCTCGTTGGACTTGTAGCCATAGTTGTTGGCCTTCGAGCAGGCGCCAAACAGTTCCGTATTCACTACGCAAACGTCGATGGGATTGTGGGTCTGTCCAAAGCCGCAATGCTTCATCTCCCGACCCTCGGTGTGATTGTAGTCTGTAAAGCGAAATAGTTGAGTAGCTGTTTCGATATCCGTTCTGTGTAGGTGTGCCCTTTACCTATCAAGAATTCATCAATCAACTCAATCCAGTAGTCACTTTCTGCTGGCTTCTTGCCATCGAACTCGATGACCGATCCGCGCTCGGTTTGCTCGCTCAACGGACGGAAGCCCAGGCCGGGATTGGTGCCTATCAGGGAGTCCTTCAGCTGCCACTTGGGCTCTTTGCTGCTGATCGTAGACAACAGACCCTGCATGCAGATGGAGAACAAGGTGGCCAAAACGATGTAGAAGATGCCATAGAACAGCATCAGTTGTCCTGTAAATAGAGATACAAAGAATGCGGCTTTAGTAAGGAAATATCATCTTATATTTCCACCTTCCAGAGAACCTTCAAGAGCAGCGACACTTGTGCAATCTATTCCGTGTATTTATGCAGATTTGCATTGACACGTTTTTGATTGTTTTTTTCATTCACGGAAATGGGGGCCATTTGGTGGGGGGATGTGCATACTTGTGACTGTATACTGTGTGGGGGGGATGTGTGGGTTGTTGTCCGAGGGGTGGGCTTTATGCAATCCAAACAGAACAGAACAGCACGCAGCTAATCGAATGCTTACGACTGTGTTGCAGCAGCAGCAAACACAAACAGAAAGTCGGAGGACGGAATGGGATAGGGGAGCGGAACGTCGTTCTGTCCGGCGTATGTGCTCTGTATTTCAATGTCATTAACATTGACGACTCAGCGAGAATCCAGTGGATGGATGGATGGATGAATGGATACTCGTATGTTGGGTTTCGGACTGCTTGTTACTTTCGCTTGAGGTCCCGCATCGGACACCGGACCCGGGACCCGGTATCCGAGACCCAGAGACCCCAGAGCTATTGCATAAATAAGCGGGCAACATCGGACACACCAAACCGAAACTGACAGCCCGATCCCAGAGAGCACGGCACGGAACACAGAACACGGAGCGACATGACGGACCCAAAGCGATGGAATGAACACTCAAGTGAATCGTATGAATGAATCGAATCGAATCGAATACAATGCGCGAACTGGAAAAAGTACAGTGCTCCACCCCCCATCAAACCCCTGGCCGCTGCTCGACTTGCAACGATTACTTTTTTGGGGGAATTGGTATGGGACTACCCTTGACTGTCTGTCCATCTGTCATTTCCCTCATCATCATTGAGCAACACTTGTTTGAACAGCCGCAATGGAAGCAAGGAAGGAAGGAAGGAAAGCCTATCAATAGGTAATCGATAGACGGCCTTCACCGCTAACGACTTTCGACCATATTTGAGTTTTCAATTCTTCGCTCATCAAACTTTCAGACACTGCCCGCCAAAAGCCAATCGCCAAAATGGTTCGTTCTTTCGCCTGCCTGTTGCCAAGTCGAATTCTAGAAACACTATAATGTGCCTGTGTTCAAGTACAAGGAAATAAGTTTGGCAATGACCGCAGCGTAGAGGCCCAGAGACAGGCAATATGTGGTGATAGTTTGGTATGAGGTATGACGCCAGCAAGTCAACCACCACCACAACCGCCGTGACCACGAAGGTGGGACGAGACAACGCACGCCCCGTGGCTCTGGTAACCAATATCCAATGTACATATAATGAATTCTTGTCTGCTACATGCTTACGATTACATGACAGCAGCAGACAGTCAGTACAGGCAGTAGAGCCAGTCGAGAGTCCCCCAAAAACATTCATATGTCTTCGTGGCAATAAGGGAAGGGCAGGGCCCTCCACCCTCACCATTCGAAATCGATAAACTTCTTTATAGAACCTGCATTTGACAACTCCTTGATGGATAACCACCATATACCCCATACCATATAGCTACCACGTATTAGGTGCATGCGAAACAAATGACATACACATTTATTTGCTCACTTAATGGGACAGATGGAGCCGATTTCTCCCGTGGGGGGTTTTTTCCCATTGCATTAATGGACGAATCGTAAAAAATTACATTACCGCTTACTTGGGAATGGAATTAATATTTAATGTCTAGTTCCCTTTGCACTTGGCAAAGTTAAACATAATTAAAAATTCTAATTTCAAATATATGTTCCTTCAAGTATTTCGAACCAATTTGAATGCCACGCGATGTGTCGGATTTTGGCATATGCCTGCAAGCTGTCTTGCCTTGAAATATATTTCGTTTTTGACTCTTCGCAGACCAAAACGAAAATAAACTTGAGATCTACAGATACAT